CTTTCACGAGTGGCGGAACCAATCTGACGGCCCCGTGGCGTTCAACCCCGAAGATGTATTTCAGACCCTGTATAAAGACGCCTGCTATCAAGTGGGCAGGAGCGGTGTGCTTGTGTACGACAGCTCGATAAAATTGCTTCTTCCGTCTGGCTTCGTCCAAGCCGTCTCGGAGCAGCTGCGAAAATGTTTCGAGGACTTTGCCGCCGGCACGCCGTCCATGACGGTCCATCACAACAATCTGAAGAAGTTTAAGCTTCGCTGGAAGCGGGTGCGAAGCGACGACACCTGTCTCGTATGCTTGCGTCGCACGCCAGAGAACAACAACTTGCCCTGCGGCCACGCGGTCTGCGAGAACTGCCCTCGAGTCTTCGGACACCCGGATCAGAATGATCGGTGGGCGTTCGACATTCGGCGCTGTTTCCTCTGCGATATGGCGCTTCGAGATGTGACGGTAAAAGTAAAGCCTGACACCGCGGGTGTCAACGTATTGACCATCGATGGGGGCGGCGTCAAGGGAATCGTGCCGCTGCTGTTTTTGCAAATCTTGCAGGACAGGATGGGCCTACCGATCCCAGTGCAGGATAATTTCGAGATTTCGTTTGGCACTAGTTCCGGTAGGTGGACACGATCCACTGAACGGGCCTCGCTGACGCGGACCAGGCGGACTGATCGTCCTCGCATTATTTATCATGGGGTGGCCGGTGGAGGACTGTGCGAATATTTTCGAATCTTTTGCGAAAAGGGCATTCAGGCCGCGCTGGGTCTCCCACGTACCCGTTGTGTCCCGCATTCCGGTCCTGTCGCACATTCTTGGGTTTCTCGTGTCGTATTTGGCCGACGGTCTGTATCCAGCGGATAATTTGGAAGCTGCGCTAAAAGAAGTGTTCGGCGGCGACATGGGCATCCTGGACAACTCCCATGCAACTGCGATCGGCGCGAAAGTGGGAATCCCGGTGACCACGGTCCTGGAAACGGACCCGTGCCTCTTCACCAACTATAACGGGGCGGGACCGAGGCCGCAGGACTGCGGTATGCTGAGATTCGAACTGACAATGTGAGAGCGACCTCTAATGGATGAACAGGATACCGCATTGTCCGGTCACAAGATGGGCGGAAAAGGATTCGGCTGTGGGAGATGTGAGTGTTCATTTCCTTCCGTCACGGTTTGTTGGAGCATGAGAAGATGGCTGATATTGCAAACAAGAGCAATGAGTGGAGCTGCGGCACCGTGGTATGTTCCCTTCCGCCTCTTTCGAGGTTCTGATCAGCTCACAGGCCACGAGGTACTTTCCAGCAAAGCGCATTCCTGGGGTAGGGACCTTTCAAGACGGAGCCCTGTGGAGGAACAATCCCGTCGACCTTGCCCTGTGGGAAATCCCGGTGGTGTGGCCACTGATCCGAAGGCCCAATGTGGTCGTCTCCCTCGGTACCGGGTCCTCGGGACCACGCGTACCCACGTCACACTCCAGCAGACTACGTGCGATCTGGAGAGAGGGCTTCCTGCCACGATCGTACAGAGCCTTCATGGAATTAATCAACGGTAAAAAAATCGCCCAAGCGTTCAAGAATGGACGACGGGCAGAGTTAGATGGGCGGTACTTCCGATTCGACGTTGAACTAGACAGAGAGGTCGACTTGGATGATACAGGCAGGATGCACGAGCTGGCAACAAAAGCTCGGGAACAGTTCTGTCGGTCGGAGGATGTCGATGTCGTCGCGCGTTGCCTCGTTGCGACGCGTTTCTACTTTGAACTCGACTCAAAGCCGAAGAAGATTAAGGGGAAGTATTCTGGATCGGGCCATATCTTCTGTCGTTTGCCTCGAAATAGTCCCGAGCTCGAGGTGCTGCTGGAACAGTTGTCTAAACGGGCGGCGCGATTTATCGTGAACGGCCATGGGCTTCCCGGGTCGGTCGGCGATCGGTCGTTCATCGACCACCAAGGAACCTTTCGTAAAAGGGTCGAATTTGAAACCAAGGACACATTATCCGTTCTTCTTCAAGAAGGGCTAGCGGATCCGCAGCATATCAGTGGATCTCCATACGCAGTCCACGATCTAATGGATATGCAAGGCCTCAACAATGATTTTGGTACTCCGGATCATAGGAAGCGAAAAGAGCGCGAGGAGAAGGAGGATGAGGGAGAAACGAGGGTAGAGGAGCCGGCCAAGAAGCGTCGTCGGGCTCGGTAGAACGTCATCGGTGCTCGTGGAGGTGTCGCGCTCGCTGGGAACCGCAGCTCTTGTCTCTTATAACCCCAGAATGATCGTCTTCCTCCGTAATAAAACAGCAACTTCCCTTTTTCGTCGCCGTGGAGGAGGCCTTGACCGTGCAGTAGTTATTTTGGTCCTCAGATGCATCGCAGTTATCCCTTTTCGCAACGCAACAGCCAGACCGCTTCTCGGCACCAACACATTTATCGTCATTTGTACCAATGCGGCAGCATTTCTGCTCGGTACCGCCGCAATCAGCTCTGCTTGCACCGGAGTAGGTACCCCCTTCCTTCGTGTTACAATAGTTGTCCTTCTCAGCACTGTTCCTGTTGCCTTTCTTCGCCATCGAACAACCCAGTGTCTTCACCGAACCACAGCATTCATCTTCCATTGCGGAGCACTCGACGCCGTCGCCTCCGCAGGATCCCTTCTTGACACAGTCGCTCTCATCCACACTCGTATTTAGAATCGACGACGAGCTCGTCTTCCTGGCGGCTGCCGCTGTGGTCCAAGTCTGCATAGGCCTACCCGCTTTACAACACGGTTCAAGGCTGCGCGCTATAAGTGCTTTGCATATGCAACCCACTTCCTTGAGGGTGGTGGCGAACTGTTCACGGGCGCTGCGGGAATGGGTGCTACAAGCTCCTCGCTTGCGCTTGCGAGTTTGTGTGGGAAGGACGGAGGATTCGGGCTCGCCGGGAGATGCTATCACTTAACGAATTAGCAATACTCAAGTACACCATTCAAAGGGTTAAATACTTTGGTCGCAGCTGGAGGTTGTTGTCTCGTCCGCGCCACATTGCAAGGTACATAGCCGACGTGCCACGGACTCGAGGCAACTTTCTGTAAGTAAAGGATCAATCAATGCAAAGTCCATTCTAGCTTGGTGGCAAACTTACCATCGCAACAAGGCCCAGCGTCCGGACGGTGCTCCCAAGTGACTCCATCAGGCGGGCAAGCAATGCACGGGGTGAGAGAGGTTCGAGAGGACTCCATAAAGTCGAGATGACCGAATAACGAAGGTCGAACAAGTACAATATGGACTCGAGGGGCAGTAAGAACGGACGGCAGCAGAGTCCAGAAAGTAGACTTGTGGATAAAAGTTGAAGCAGTGCCCGGCCAAAGGAAGTTGACGTAGATAGGCTATCTGCACGTGATTTTTCGCCGCATCGAGAGCCAAGCATCTTAGCCAGCCTTCTGTCAGCGACACAGGCTCAAGCTGCACTGATTTACTATCTACCTCTTTACCGTTGGTGTAGTTATAACAACCAACGTGACATGAATGCTGTTGGCATCTTGATGCTCAATGCCAGAAGCAGCCTAACGGATTGACTCAGCTCTCTGCATGGCGCTGTCCATTGTATTCCTTCCCAAAGATGCAACCACTTGGCCCGCCGTCGAGTAAGACCCTCCTGGAGATCCGCTGGCTGCGGTCTACCATTGTTCAGTGTGTTTGGCTAACCACAGCATGGCCTTAGTATCGTGGCCGTCCACGGCCTCGGCGGCGATGCCATCACTACCTGGACACACCCGAAGTCAAAGGCGTTCTGGTTGAAAGATTTCCTCCCCCAACAGATCCCCGATGCTCGTGTAATAGCCTTCCGAACCAGAATATCTGTTCTCCGAGTTTCATTTATGAATGGTCTATATTTGATGGCATAGAAACCAATAGATGGGCATTTGTATGAAAAGATGTTGGTTGAAGGAGTAGCGGTCACACCATCCCTGGACTTCCCCTTGGACAAAAAGTGTGAACAATTCAGCCAGTCCTCGATAATATTTTCACCCATGCAAGGTCGTCTCCAGATGTGCTCCAATGTCATATCGTCCGAAAACGAGAGACCCAATGAAGGTTCCAACAAAGATAGAGAGGATGTAACCAACGTTCTTGGTCAAACCCAGACGAGGAGGGAGGGGGTTTGCATTACAGCAAGTAGAAAGTTCCTGCTACCAAAGTGTTCACGACCGCTCTGAGCACGTCCACAGAAATCATCCATTGCCTCGTGCTCCTCTGTCGCTGAGGTGGTACGGCAAGAGATAGTTCCACCTCTGTTCCATTCATCCTCAAGAAACTTCTCACACATTCCGCATCGTTGACAACTAGCTTCTGCAGGGTCAGCTTTTCCCATTTCAACCAAGCGAAGCTTGTTAACCTTGGTATTTCTCCGGCGTCTCTTAGACAACAGTGTCAAAGCGATGAGGAAGCGAAATAAAATGGCAAGGAGGACGAGGAATACACATGACCCCGTGTAGGTGACAATAGATGTCGGCGTCCATGTGGAAAAATACAGAGCCGTGGTGATGCTGGTGGAGAACATGAAGGGCGCGCGATTTCCTTCGTAGCTGTGCCTGAGAGCTCGGCTTTACTGTAGAAATGAGCTGGTTGACCTGGCGAGCAAAAGTTGCCTGCTCGTACTTGCTTTTTCATACTCTTGACGCGAACACGTAAGCAATGACCAAAGGCTGCATTAGCGAGCCACATCCTTTGCCATCGCTAGGCGCAAGAAGCTTTTTTCGACATCCTACTGGAACACCAACCCTCTCGAGAAATGAGTGACCAATATGGACAAGCAAACTCTGAAACGGTGGGAAGCTGACTACACAGAAAATGCGAGGAATAGGTCTCCTCTTCATTCCTTCGCGCCCGATGTCGTTTATTCCCTCATGGACCCTACTTGCGAGGGAAAATCGTTTTGGGCAAAATGCATCCTCAATGAGCACCTGCCATCCTCCTCCACCTGGCCTCACCTAGGGCTCAGCGGCTTTAGCTGTCATTCCAAAAGTGTGATTGGCTAGTCTGGCACTAGTCAGCCGGAGGGATCCCGGTTCGATCCCAAAATTAGTATAGTCCTTGAGCAAGTTTGAGCAAGTCTGAGCAAGTTTGAGCATGTTTCTCCATGCTAGCCCATATCTTATAGACGGCGGCGCAAAATGAAAAATGTATTTCGCCAACCGTACTCATCAGAAGTGCAGCCCTCTACAGCTATATCTGCGCCTAGTCCTAATTGGGTCAACGGATTCGCATTCAGCCCACGCATCTCACGGATTAACATTAATCCGACTGGCGCTTCCACCCGTGACTCCACATCTTTCTCCTTGGCATTCTAGCCCAATTGGGTGTACGAGGACCCTGCCAACCAGCTGTTCCTCCAGCTGTCCCGAGGCATCTCGTGGATGCCGCTTTAAAGTTTTGGAAGCATAGGGGGCGAACGGAGCTACGTGGCAGCCTAGAGTTTGAGTCCTTCACAGTGGGTGCACTCTGTAATCTAGGCTTCGTTCTTTGAACGATAAAAAATGTTTCCCGCCAAACATCTCAATATCAGGTACTGTAGTCCTCTCATATGATTAGTTGCGCTCTCCAAACATCGTTTGGGGACACCTCCTCCGGCTGGCTTCCGATTGTCAAGCATTTTCAGTTCCTGGCCTTGGCCTGATAAAGGGGCGTTTGACATTGCTGCCAATCTAATTACAACCCCGGTTGAAACTTGACCCTGTCGGCCTTCCCAAAGGCTTCTGCTCTGATATTTATAATCCTTACAACGGGGACCTTGGCGAGGTTCAGTCTTGTGATAGGCTTCCCTAATGAAGTGACCTGGAGCTGTCTTGACATGTACTGAATTAAAAACTTGTGCTAGTTGGGTGCGGTGCAGATCTCGGAAAGCTATCAATTGCACCGCGCACTCAATAAGCCCTCGAAAATGTTGTCTCGATAAGGAGCAACTTTCAACCACCGTCTGCCAGACGGCTCCCGTGTTCCGAGAACTTCCCTTCCCAAGCCCCTATTACGGAAACGAATGAAGGTGAAGATTATGCGAGCTTTGTTGCCTTTGTTGCACTGCCGCTGCCTCTGCCACTGCCACCTTCATCACTGGAAAGATCGCGGCCGGCTTCCACTCCTTCGAGGACTCCTTGAGCTTTCTCCGGATCAATGTTCGGTTTGCCATAGCGCTCATCGTATTCGTGACGACCGTCATGGAAGAAGGCGTATGGAAGTTCGCCATGGACCTCGCCATCGCCGATGAGCAGCTGGGCTTCGTTATATCTGAGGGGGATTCTCAGGACATATTTGATGAAAAGGCAAATCGCACTCGTCCAGAACATGTTCCAACCGATGATGAACAGGAAACCGACAATCTGGAGCCAGACTTGCCGTCCATTGCCATCAATTGCACCACCATTCGGAGCCAAGGCAAAAGCGGCGGTGCCTTCACTGGTTGCAAACAGACCAGTCAAGAATCCGCCAACAACACCCCCCACCAAATGGGTATGAAAATTTCCAACAACGTCGTCAGAGAACTCAAGAAACCACCTTTGCCTGCCCAAAATATTCATCGACATCCAGGGGATGGAGCCGGCGCATAAACCGATAATGATTGCTCCCCAACCGGCCACAAACCCGGCAGCTGGAGTAATTGTAACAAGGCCAGTGATTATTCCCTGTACTGCCCCAATCACTGCTGGCTTCTTGAAGAAAATCAAGTCCATGATGGTCCAAGTCAACATACTCGTCGCGGCGCTGATGTTTGTATTAAGCACGGCGGCACCGGCATCTGGCGAGGCCGTGTATGGATCACCACCGTTGAAGCCGTTCCAGCCAAGCCAGAGTATCCCAACGCCAACGAGCGCAAGAAGAACGTTGTTGGGATGGAATTCTATACGGTCGCGGGGATGTCGAGGTCCAACCCAGTAAGCTATGACGAAACCAGCAGTTCCAGAGGAGACGTGGATGACATATCCACCGGAGTAATCCAAAACACCCATATCATACAGAAAACCACCTCCCCAAAGGCTAAAAGCACCGACCGTATAGCTCAGTGTCAGCCATAGAGGTACGAATACCATCCACGCCAGAAAGTTCATCCTTGCAAGTCCGGATCCTGCAATGATCACCAGTGTGATGGCCCCGAAGACAAACTGGAAGTATATCATCGTACTCATTGGGTAGGCCGCGCTCAATCCTGCCTCAGGCAAAACGGCTTGTCTTAGCTCATAATCCATCTCGACAGCTGGACCGGGTACCCCGACAAACGGCAACATCTGTTTGCCAAATGCGGCTTTATAGGCCCAAACAACCCAACAGATGAGGACGGCAGCAAAGGCGTAAAGCGCCATGAATGCCGAGTTAATGGCCCATTTCTTTTTGACCAGGCCCGCATACATGACCATGAGACCAGGAAGTGATTGCAACCCAACGAGGGTTGCTGCTGTCATTTGCCAGGCATTGTCGCCATTGTTGAGCCAGTCAGGCGCAACAAGTTTGTCGGCATCCCAGCGTCGCAAGTGCCGCATGTGGACGAGATATTGAAGGATCCGGTCGTCTGCTGGATTGTGTCTGCAGTCGGGTGAGGAAAGACCAAGGAATCAAGAGACAACTGCAGGTCCTCCGAACGTACAGGCTCGGATGAGAAAGGGCGCAAACACGCGTCAAAGCAGATGAGTGGGAACAGAGGTTTTAAGCAGGAAGGCGAAGCAAGCCACGAAAAAGAAAAGTGAGCTCCCAAAGTTCCATGAAAGGTTCAATACGCAACCCCTCCCGCCCCTACGTGCAGCAACGTAGACCGGGATTCAAACGATATCAATCTTTGAGCAGGCAAGCTGATTTGCCAGGAGATATTATCTCTTCTTTGGCCGACTGCAACTCAACTTCCAGAGGGATATTCCCGTGTTAGCGAGCGATCTAGGAACTAACGTGGCGACGGGATTCGCCCTCTGGCTCGAACGATGGGCCAGGTGCATTTGCTTGCTTATCATCGACTGAAAATGCAATACGCGATTGGGTTTGCAAGCAATTCCAAACATGAGGTCAAGATATCACTGCCAATAGTGGAGAGGAATCTTATCAGCTCTTGCCCGACTAGGGCCCTGCTAACCACCGCTAAGCTCTGCTAAGCCTCGTGAAGCATGAACTGCTTGGCCTGCCTCGCAAGATCTCCGCCAATCCAAAGTGGTCTGATGCGATAAGCAAATCTGCAACCCGCAACTTGTATGCCAGTGCGGGGGTCAAAGGTGAACCCAAGGAAATTTTCCCGCAACATCGTCGCGCTCTCGAGATCAAAGACAAATACCATGGTGCGGCCCAGAGCTCTATATTTGGGACCTATGTCCAACTAAGATTCCAATGAAGCGTGCCGGAGCTTGTCTCATCATGACTTTGCTTAGTTCTTGACTAGATACCCAACAATATGCAGAATGGTTGACCAAGCGTTCAAGGTCTTCATCTCTACTCTGCTCCATCCAGGCCCATCTTCACTCTTGCCAGCCTCGCGCAAGACCATACCAATATCCCTGTCCAAATTGCAGCCTGCCATCCAGAACCTCCACCCACCAATCCACATGTACATCCACTGAAGAACTCTCGCCACCGTGCTGCCCTTCTCTGTCTTCCACGGGGAAACAACGTGCTCATAGGCAATGAACCTGCCGCCTGGTTTCAGTAGCTCGTACAGTCCTTCCACCGTCTCTTTTAGGTCGGGAACACCACATAGCACTCTTATCGATACGATATCGTCAAAAATACCTTCGCTGGTATTTCCCTCCCCGATCAATCCGACTCCCGCCAACGCGGGAATGAGCGATCGGGGCTCGGCACCGCAACCGAGTATATGATATTTGTCGCCAAGGCCCGCATCCATCGCCTTCATTTGGAGCTTCGGGTGTAACTTAATGGCTGGCTCTGCGCCGTAGATTGCACTCACCGAGGAACTCGTATAGCGATGAAGCTGTTCGCCGCTACCCGGGCCGATGTCAAGCACGGTGCCGCGCAGGGTAGAGAGCAGAGGTATGAGCTCCGGAGGCATCGCAGCGGACATCGCTGCGCCATTAGCTAGCCAGAACCGTAAGAATGCCTTTTCTCGGAGGGTGGAAAGGTCGAACAGGACGGAGAATTGCCGCTGGATGAAGACGATTTCAAGGATAGTCAGAACATGATCTGTCATGGTGGTAGGATCTAAGTCTAGAAGATCTCTTAGAATGTAGGCTCGACCCACAGTATATTCCCAGCGCTACCATTATGCCCGGTGTAATATAAGACAGCAGACGCTCCGTCAGCGCAGGATTCTCTGCGTCAATTCGAAGTATAAGGCTCTTCTTCCCTGCGAATGTAGCGGCGTCAGCTATCGATACAGAGAGTTCCTCAGGCTGGATTCACTTACAGCCTGCAACGGTCGAGATAGTGGCATCAGCCATCGATTCAACAGACAGATCGGCTCGGCTTGGGCGGGCTAGGTCCACTTGCAACCTGCAAAGGTCGAGAGGGCAGTGTGAGCCATCGATTCAACATACGGGTCTGCTCAAACCGGGTTCACTTGCCTTCTGCTGCCGTCAAGAGTGAGGAGGTAACCCGTTGATGCGATACCTTTGTTCGTGCGTTTTATGGACACGTTGTGAAGCTCAGCGAGCGGCCGTATTGAGCACATTCGCTAGATGCCTTGGCATTACGACCTCGCGTGGTCGGAGATATTCTAAGCCCTAATCGAGCATTCGGTGTAGCTTCCTGGGTGCTTTATTCAGCTGAGTAGGGAATGGAGAAGCTTCAAAACCTGCTCAAAATTAGGAGAGACTATCTATGGTGCACTCGGTGGTAGGCTTTGCGGGATTTGTGCTGATTTTTGGGAAGGTCCGTGCTCTGAACTTTACTCGTCAAGCGATAGCGAACTGCTAAAACAGGACTAGATCGACGATGCGAAGCCCCCCACAATCGCGATTGCCAGTTAAAAATTGCTTTGAGAGTAGGGTTGAGCAAGTTTGAGCAAGTTTAAGCTACCTCCGTGCACCGGCCAAAATCCGCCCAGTCACATAATGTAGGGTGGCGCAGACTTGGCAACCTGGGTAAGATCAATCGTACCTGTTTTTAATAGCCGCTGTTATCGTTGATTCATTGCCCTCTGGGACAACTCAGTGTAATGTTCCCGTAATTGTTCACAATCTAGCAACCAGCATCTAGTTGCCAGCAAAACATTTCGAACATCGATCAAGTCCATTGATGATTGTTCCAGACGAATGGCGCTCCATCCACTTCACCCGCCGCCAGCGGGCCATGTCACGACGACTGTTCTGATAAACAACGTCCACTGTGCCTCCTGCCTCTCCTACATCCAGGAGGTCCTCAGTACATTACAGCCAGCGCCGCTAACGATTACCGCGAACTATATATCACACGAGGTGACGATAGTCCACTTTCCGGACCACTCTGCAAGTGACATAGCTCGAGCTTTATCAGACGCAGCATTCGAAGTGCAGAGTGTGCAGACCGAAGATGAATCTGGCCATATTATCTACGAGCAAGATTTAGTCCAGACCCATCAAGAATGGTTGGAGCAGGCTGCTCAGATGCTGAGCGAACAAGCATCAACTCTGTCGCGGCACCAGACGGCAGGACATCATGAATCACGAGACGATGCCGGCTACCAATTTGATGAGAAGCATTTAGACCACTGTTTTCTTTGTCAAAAGGCGAACGAAAAAGCCGAGACATCTCAGGATGTTATCGTGACCATCCCTGAGGCGCAAAAGTTTACAGCCACTCTCAGTATCACTGGCATGACTTGCGCGGCATGCATCCTCTCCATTAATGAAGGGGTGCAGGGACTCCAATTCTTGACGGATGTCAGCGTTAGTTTACTTACTAATAGCGCAACCGTTGCCTTTACCGGCCCGAAGGATAACATCGATCAGATTGTGGAGAGAATCGAAGACAGAGGATACGACTGCCACATCGAGAGCATCATTGAAGTTGGACAACCAGAGCAGACAAAACAGCTGGTGGAAAGGACAATCATGATCAGAATAGCAGGAATGTTCTGCGATCAATGCCCACGAAGGGTCGTCGAGGCTTTGTCATCGCCGTTTCAGGGACGACTTGCTATCGACAAGCCACCGTCGTACGATGACCCCATCATAGTGATTACATATCGTCCCCAACCCGACATCATTACTATCAGAAGTATCCTAGCTACCATACATGGTGTCAGCGACCAACTTAGAGCCACAATATACCATCCTCCAACGATCGAAGAGCGCTCGCGAGCTATGCAGCTCCGCGAACGGCGTCGTCTACTCCTGCGGCTTCTCCTCAGCTTCATCGTCGCCATCCCAACCTTCCTCATCAGTGTGGTCTGGATGAGCCTAGTTCCCTCGACCAACCGCGTACGCATATTCTTCCAACAAATCATGTGGACTGGCGCCGACACTCGCGCCGAGTGGGCGCTTTTCTTCCTTGCGACGCCTGTGATGTTCCTCGCTGCCGACGTCTTCCACACCAGGGCAATCAAGGAGATCCGAGCACTGTGGAGCCGGAATAGCAACGTCCCCGTTCTTCGAAGATTTTACCGTTTCGGAAGCATGAACCTGCTCATGTCCGCTGGAACGTCGGTGGCGTACTTCCCTTCGATCGCCGTACTTGCTCTAGAAGCGCAAAAAACTGGGCAACACAACAGGCGACTGTCGACATACTTCGACACGGTTGTGTTCTTGACGATGTTCATTCTCGCTGGACGCTACTTAGAAGCGTACAGTAAATCTAAGGCCGGTGATGCTGTCACAATGCTCGGAAAGCTTCGGCCAACCGAAGCTCTGCTCGTGAGATCCAATCCGGAATCGGAAGATAGTGAGTTATCTCTTCCGATAACTAATGGCGAGAGAATCAATGTCGATGTTCTTGAAGTCGGAGACGTTGTCCGAGTACTTCATGGCGTATCTCCCCCAGCCGATGGCACGATCATCCTAGGCGATTCCACCTTCGATGAGAGTTCTTTAACCGGAGAGTCTCGGCCTATTACCAAGAACACGGGCGATCAAGTCTTTGCTGGAACAATCAACACCGGTAAACCGATTAATGTCCGAGTCACTGAAGTCTCAGGCGCATCTATGCTTGACCAAATCGTCAAAGTCGTTCGGGAAGGTCAGGCAAAAAGAGCGCCGGTGGAGAGAGTGGCTGATATCTTGACGGGATACTTCGTTCCAGTTATTACCCTCATTGCCGTATCAACGTTTGTTGTCTGGTTTGGACTAGGTCAGGGCGGGGCCCTCCCGGAGAGCTGGCTTGATGTCGACACAGGTGGTTGGGCATTCTGGGCATTACAGTTTGCCATTGCAGTCTTTGTCGGCGCGTGCCCTTGCGGCATTGCCCTTGCAGCCCCAACAGCTTTATTCGTGGGTTCTGGACTAGCGGCGCAACACGGAATATTGGTTAAAGGTGGCGGAGAAGCGTTTCAAGAAGCTTCCGATCTGGACGTGGTTGTCTTTGACAAAACCGGCACGCTCACCGAGGGCGGAAACCCAACGGTGACAAACCACGACATCATAGCTTCTAGTGAGGAGAAGATGAAGGACATCTGGGCAATCGCGCAAGCCCTAGAAGAGTCTTCAAGTCACCCCATAGCAAAAGCAATTGCTACGCTCTGCCGAGGACAAAACCGCACTACTATCGCCGACTCTGCTATTGAAGAACTCCCTGGTCGCGGTCTCAGAGGCACATTTACTATCCATACGTCCGCCAACGACACCCGGTACGAAGCTGCCATCGGCAGTGAAGCTTTCATCTCCTCCCTTGGCACTCCGATAACCACAGGCCAGTCCAACGTTATGTCGAGATGGAAGTCCGCTGGGAAAAGCGTCGCTCTTCTGGCTTTGCGTCCACTGTCCCTCTCGGACGGGGACGAACCCACTTTCAAACTCGTTGCACAGTTTGCAACCACTGATTCTCTCCGCCCTGAAGCTGCTTCCGTCCTTTCTGCTCTACGTGAGCAAGGGTTAAGCATCTGGATGATCTCAGGCGACAATCCCGTAACCGCTACAGCAGTTGGGCATCAACTAGGTATCCCGGCGACCAATATTATTGCTGGTGTTCTCCCTTCGGAAAAGGCTGAGCGAATCCGCTGGCTACAAGACTCCGCCCCTAAACGCAACGGCAAAGTGGGAAGAGCAATGGTGGCTATGGTTGGAGACGGCATCAATGATTCTCCCGCGCTCACTGCCGCTGACGCTGGAATTGCCATCGGCTCTGGCTCAGATGTCGCTATATCAAGCGCCAAATTCGTGCTCATGTCCTCAAACCTTCACTCCTTGTTGACTCTTATCACACTCTCCCGCACTGTTTTCCGGAGAGTCAAGTTCAACTTTGCGTGGGCATTGGTGTACAACGTCGCCTTAGTACCTATCGCGGCAGGAGTGATTTATCCGGCACCCGGACACCCAAAGCTGAACCCTGTGTGGGCGAGTCTGGCCATGGCGTTGAGTTCTCTGAGCGTCATATCCTCGAGTCTGGTTATGAGGACAGGTATTCCCGCTATTGGGTTTAGAGCATCCAGGAAGAGCCGGAATGGGCCCCTTCTTAGAAATCCCATTTTCGCTGCCGGGAGAACTAGGATGCAAGGAGAACCTGACCACAACCTATGGTGCATTCAGCGTCTTGTCAGGGTCGTTTCGATCCCCCCCGCGAAATTTAGTTTTCTACCTAGGGGAATGGTAACTAGAGTAATGGCAAAATCTCGGTTAACCATAGAGACACTGGCGCAACTTGCCGGACGGTGGAATGAATGACTACAAATAAGAACAGCACCTGCAAGCAGCAGTAGGGGTTGCAGCACAGAAGTTCAGCACAGAAGTTCAGCACAGAAGTTCAGCACAGAAGTTCAGCACAGAAGTTCAGCACAGGATATGGTGGGAACGACAGAAAACGAACCTCGAAAACGGGCTGCAGTATAATGCCCCGTGCGGCGCGTGGAAAGACGTTTCGTGTTTCAGGCTGTGACGTAATTTAGGTCGCCTAGTTCCCACGCTGGAAGTGTTACCCAATAATTGCCCGTGCCCTGAGGCATTTTCGCGTGTCCCAACCATAAACCCACGGGGAACAAAGTTTGGAATGTAACAGCACTGCGATTATGTTTCCCTCCACCAGCCGACCTCTAAAACCTCTAAAAAGATTTATTAGAAAGTTACTCCAGGGCGGTAAAAGGGAAATGAGCATGATACTTAGTTTGCTGGACCATGGTAGAGCTCAGTTGTTGGTAGGCGTACTCAGGCGCGCGTCGACAGCGCCAATCACTAACTCGACTCAGGTTATTGCCAACGTTCTGGTTCTAGTTGCGGCTTTGTTGGTCCTGAGCCTGCAACGATGTGTTTACGGGCGACTACCTTGTGATGAGGTAGAGAATATCTTCAAAAAGTACATCGTCAAGACCACAGAAACATTGTTGGTCACGTATTTGATCGGAGAAAGGCTGGATATTGACTACATATTGTGTTTCGTCGCCCTGTCGGCAGCAAGAGTTTGGGCCTGGATGACAGAGGGTAGAGTGAAATTTGTCGAACGGCAACCACTGACCGCCTGGAAGTTGCGAGCTCAATTCTGCATTTCACTCCCGTTGACCGACATCTTTAATATCATAATGTTTGCCTACGAAGCGAGTGTTCAGGCCACGGGACGACAAACTATGCCAATGTTCGTTTTCGAATCTGCAGACTTGGTCCTCCTTTCTTCATCAATGACAGCCCGTTACCTGCTGTGTATCGCAGAGGCAGTCCGACGGTCAAGTTCGACGGGCACAGGAATATTAGCTCACCACCCGTCCGACGGAGACCGAGACGCCTTGAATGCCATGTCCGAAGAAGATAGTGGAAACACGCGTTGGTTGTTCTACGTGGAATTATGCACAGGTAAGGACATTTATGGGACATCTTTCTGAGCTGTTCTCGGGTGGTCAAACGCTTTGCCATCATATCTACTGTCTGGCTGTTGTTTTGTCATCCGCGTTCTGGATAATCGTACTGTCTCAGGATATCAATCTAACTACTCGTCTACAGACATTTCGAGATGCACGCTTCGTCTTCATTACGTCCTCTTTTGGTCCATCTCCTACGCTTCCTGTGCGCACATCATACGCGACATTGCTATCACTGTTAATAAAATCACGAAAGATATTGATGGTCACATCCGCCGCCAACGGGTACTTCAACTGATTGAGAATACATTTGGCAATGCTATCGAAGATCAACTTCGCGTTGCGGGCGTGTGTGTTATTTGCCGCATGGAATTCGTACTTCGGTCACCGTTGTCACAGAATGGCGGCAATTCCACACCGACTACACTACCGCGGAGAGACATAAGCCTCCATAAGCAAAAGCGTCCAAAAGTCTTACTGTGCGGACATGTTTTCCACCAAAAATGTTTGCAAATTTGGTTTGTATCGCGGACCACCTGTCCATTATGCCGGGCCTGGGCCGGAGTACCGGAACCGAAAAATTTCAGAACCATTTTGGGAGGTCTGTACTGAAAAATAGTGAGATACGCTGTGGCATCCGTTATGCTTGGATAAGATCTTAACCTATCCAGAGCTTCAGTGAGAGAATGTTTCGATCGAACGACTTATGTCGACTTAAGATTAACTTTCAAATATGCCGACCTCAAGCCCTGGGCTATGACGGACAGATCCAGATAAGTTCTAAAGCACGCAACGATACGGCTTCCATTTCAATGACAGCGTCTTCCAAACAGGTTAGGCCAGGCGTAGTTGTTATGGCGACCGCGCCATGAAGCCTGCAGAAGTAGATGATGCCGCGGCTAGCCAAAATGCAGGATAGTCGAGGCCGGCATTCCGCCCATCAGGTTGCGATCCAAAAAATCAGGGCAGAGCTGTACTCCCATGGATTTGTCATAATCGAAAAATGGAACGGTGAAAAGGGTCATGATGGTTTTTGGTTGGCTAACATTGTTAGCGTCGCCTCTGACTTTACCAAATACCCTCTAAACCAAAATAGACGCCATCGAATCTGAAGAGGGCGGAGTTCAGCGTGCTGAATTGGCGGCAGTTTGTTCAGTCTTATGATTCGTTTCCGTTTGAGAGGTTTGTGCGTAAAACACATCTCTTTTGTCAGCCAGCGTGGTGGCTGTTTTGGTAATCTGGGAACCAAGTTTTGGTATTTCAGCGACCGTTTCGATTTGACATGCTCTGGTTCAACATTAGTCGCCCACTATCACGATGCCACACCTATCGACGACACACCCCTCGATGCCACCCGGTGTGAGCGCGTCAACAGACCAATCTACTCATATAGTGGCCAACTCTAGGGTCCTGCTTCTCCTACGGAGGCTACATGCACAGTCGCAAAAGGAAGAAAGGTCCTGGTCGCAGAAGTTCTTCTACCTGACTCGACTTGTTCGCTTCTTTGCGATCGGTGAACTGTGGTCGTCGGCGGCCGACGATCACATGCGGGACAAGTTCGTTGCGCTAGATAGAGACAAGTGCGAGTACATCTACCTCCTGGCAAGGGCTGTGGGAGCGCGCAACGTGGTTGAAGCCGGGACGAGCTTTGGCGTCTCAACGATATACCTTGCACTAGCTGTGGGACAGAACGTGCTACTTCAGCGGCGGAGGGCCATAGGATCTAGTATTGTCGCGGGAAAGGTTATTGCAACGGAGAAGGAACCATCAAAAGCAGAGAGAGCCAAGGCACACTGGAGGGAAGCCGGGGAGGAAGTGGAGCCATGGATTGAGATGCGAGAGGGAGACTTGCTGGAGACGCTGAAGGTTGAAGAAGGCATGCCTGAGCAGATTGACCTCCTGCTTCTCGATAGTGAGTTTCTCTTAACACTACTTCGTCACTCTTGGCTACACTGCTGACACCGATAGTATGGACTCCTCTAGCACTCCCTACACTCCGGCTCCTCCAGCCGCGGTTGAAACGTGGTGCTATTGTGATCACGGACAATGTGAGAATGGCAAAAATGTTGTATAAGGACTTCCTTGGGTACATCCGGAATCCCGAGAACGGGTTCAAGACCCTAACAGTACCGTTCAGCGGAGGATTGGAATTATCAGTGTATTTACCGGAACAGTGAGATTGGACACTCTGGAGAGCCACTCGGAACCTCGAGGTCTTTTATCGAGAAGATGAGTTGCTGAACGGTAGAAAGGCATCATTCGTGTGGGGCCCCGTCACCTCTAATCGATTAGAACGTGTCCCTTTCAGGCCTGCTTCCTACGCGTCATGCGTACATGTCATGCGCGACCTTGGTAACACCATCTGCCAAATCACGAAGAATGTTTGCAGCTATATCTCTGTTCCGCCGTTCAGCGCAACTGCTCTCATTGCTGGAATCGTACATATAAGGACAGCCAGGATACTGAACCTCGCCAATGGCGCTGCGGAGCAATCGACGCTGAAGCACTCGATCCCTGCAACACATTCCTCGAAATCCTTGGGTATGATCATGTCTCGATTGAAGAATGAGTCGAGAGTCTCTTGGTGGGAGACAGAATTCACTATGGCCGTAGGGCAGGCCGACTTGCAATTATGACTTGGGTATATGCACGAGCGGGCAGCAACTAGGGGTCACAAAGAAGGGAGGGTCTGCGTGGAGCCATGGACAACAATACGTTGTCCCTGTCATTAGGGCAGACTGACTCAGTCAGACTCAGGGAGGGTGGACCGTTCATGATCGAGATTTCGGGGTAGATGGCCTTGAACGGACGAAGTGACCCTGCAACACGAAGCTGCATACTGGAATAGGAAATGGCGGAATTGGGGCCAAGTTGTGCAAGAGCAGTAGAATCCGGCTCAGGAGACGTGAATTCCCTCAAGCATTGTGAAACCGTGTTCCAATGTCAATGGCATATCTGAGTATTCTTGTGCAGTTGTTCAATTCCGTGCTTCCTGCTGTCTGTCAGCGCCCAGCGTCTGATCGTCATATTGTATGCCTCAACACAGTGCCAATATGTTTTGTGTACGTTGTGAAAGCTGTAGTTGTCGCCGAGCACAGCATGCCATCATCTCCCCCTTCCACGACCCATCAAAACAATGATTTAGAACAAGCCCATGCTTGATAGCCCAACAGCAACCAAGGGAATCCAGCAAGTGATAGCGAAATATTCCGCGAGATTGGCGTTACCAGATGCGGTATTCGTCGATGGCGTAGCGCCGCTCGCAATGCTAGATGTGGCCGAGCTCATCATGGAACCAGTTATGGTATCCATCGTCATTGAAGGGTCCATGGTCGAGGCCATCGTCATCGAGGGATCCATGGTCGAGGCCATCGTCATCGAAGGGTCCACTGCGCCCGAAGACATGGACATTTGACCAAAGCCACTGCTGGCAAAGAGAATGGAGGCAATGATGGAACGGGCCAACATTCTGGTGACGATCAAAAGAGTGGATGAACTTGTTTTCTTTAGGAATGACAGTGGAGTGACGGGTGAGGATGCGCAAATGAGGATGAGTAGGAGATGAATACTAGAATCCAAATCATACGATGCTCAAGAGTGTGATTCAGGGCCTTTAATAGTTGGCATTCGAGCTGCAGAGTCTCCTCAAACTTGTACCTGTGGCCACTCAGAGAAGCCTTGAAAGGAGTAGACTTGCTTCTTATCACTCATTGTCTCATTCGCGTCGTAGGCACGAACTAGTAACCCCCCAACAACCAGTCAGCTACATGGCTTTGTCCAAGGACAGCTGAACGCCCAAGAGAGAAGAGACGAAAGGGGGCTTGGCGCTGTCCTATCATGAAACTGCGAGATTTGTGCGCCTTTTAGCGTTGACTTCATGATCCTTGGCTGGTCGATCATTCTACAGCCAAAACGACTACTCCGCTGTCGCGAACCGCCAATTAAATGAAACTCTGAGTCTGCAATGCCTCGTCCACAATCTTCCATCGAAATTAAATTCCAGGTTGCAATGCGCCATGTCTGATATTACACAAAGTGTTGTTTAAGGTGCCTTGCTGCAGCTGTCCGCGAGATCTCCAGCCAGATTACGAAATCGAGACTGCATGCTCCTCAAAAGTGGACTGCGTCGATAACGTTACCGCTGAACTCTGCCCTAGAACTTCTCTCCAATTTACGAAGTTGTCCCCTTATCGTTCGACCTTGCAAGTCAACGAAAGCTTCCTGAAAGCCAGTTATGATCAAGCTCTGGTGCGACAAATTGGTCCCATACGCCGAATCACAAATTGTGGGCGCCAACAACCTGGAAAGGCATGAGTTGTTAGTCGAAGCTCTTGATTCGAACGGGGGTGTCCTCAATCCATCTTTCCCACCCCAACTCAAAGACAAGCAAACGCAAAGTGCTTAGGCACTTTGATATCCCTGCTCAGGTGCACCATTACCACTCATCGTTATTCCACCACATAAGACGGGATCGCTCTGTAGAATTCAAAAGACCCTTGCAATTCTCTCCCGTCAATACCAAAATGACGTACCTTGCCCACAACCTTGTATCGGTTGGTGAAGAAAGTATACCACTCGTTTAGGACAGTCTTGTATTGGTCTTCGAGGTCATGCCATTCGGGAACACAGTCTTCAGGTCTGAGGCTGGATGTTGCCAGGGCACGGGAAGGATCCTTGCCCGCGTAGACTAGAAAGCAAGCTACATCAATTCTCTGGGAGAAAGACGCTGGATGTGTTCTCCACCACTGCGCAGCGCAATGTTGGAGGGGATGTTTGGGAGGCCGCCATGAGAGATATTGTCTAGAATGTGGCCTTTTCTCTCGCCAGGACTGTAGAGGAAGTCAGTTGCATACCGTGGTAAGGTCCATTGGGTCCGTAGGCTGGGTTTCGAGAAACATCGAACACGATCCCTTTAATCGCTACGAGCGTTGGCTTGAATGGATCGGTTCCTGGCTCGGACAAACGTTAGCATCTAGACCTGTGTCTGCCTGCAATTGTTCTAGAATCTGGTTGTTTTCTGTCGTACCATCACAATTACCCAGGTCCTCGTAAGTGATATGATCGTCTTTAGGATCATCAAGCTGCGATGGCGTCCTTATTGAAGAACTGCTCAGTTCTCGATAGTAGTGGCGTGGTTTAGTAGGATCAGGCAATGACATTGAGACAGGTCTCTTTGGATGATCAGGTCCTGCTTGAGGAGGAAAGTCCTTGGTCAAGGAGGGCGGATACAGGAAGAGGAGGTTAGAGATGTAGAAGATCCAAACACTCTAGCCATTTGTCTGCTCCATACATATGCACGGTCAGCCTGCTTCGCCTCTTCACGCACAAATGTCGCACCGCTGTGCAATCGTATTCGAGGCTTGGGGGCTTGGCTATGCTCAAGAGCATTGCGGGGACAGATGATCGGCCGCGGCCACCCAGTCCTCCATGCCTCAGACCGTGTACTCTATCAGATGAACCTGCTGCTATCATTTGAATTGCCGTGCTATTCTGGTCACATGAAGCACATAAATACCGGAACTATGCGATAGACACGTAGGCGAAGTGACCTTCTGACAGGGTCGAAAGTGTCAAGTCATTCGCGGCTCAAATTATTAAGGAGAGGTTGAACAAAGGCATTCATCTAAAAGTTAAATTTAAAATCAAAGGTCATCGGTCCTCAATACCAAAAAAGTGCTTTACAGTAAGTGCTCTATCTCTATAGTCGCCTGCATTACTATTTATCCAGCGGATGTACGATCCCCTTCGAATAGAACTTTATTGGGCGCTTCGCCAACAGAACTCTCCGATATGCTCGTAAAGCGTCTGGATCGAACGCAATGGAGATGCGTTCATGCTGAATGATTGAGGCCATCCGCTTGGTCCCTTTACAATAGAACGAAGAGCAACAGCAGCGAGAATAGAAAGCTAAGATATTGGCGAGGACAATTACCAGACAGGGTGCTAGCTGCAGAAGTCCCTTCTGCCTGCGAATTATTCGTTGCTGGATTGTTGAACGCATTCTGGATAGATCCTACCATATCCATCATTCGTTCCTCATTCTCAACAAGCACCACAGCCATGCCGCTCTGTTGATCAATTCAGGAGAGTGTCTCTCTACCAGTAGGTGAAATATGACTTACCACAAGATGCCATTGAACATGGCAATGAAACAACCATGCCCCCGGATTGTCAGTGATGTATCTAAGAACGTTAGTAAATTTTAGTGATCCGCCGAACAGCCTCTTTGCACACCTGATAACTGCCCAGCCCGAAGGCGGCAAATCGATGGTATCGCGATATGGCGGATTCTGGAGATTGATCATCGACGAAGGTGCATCAGTAACAGATTCGAATGGAAAGTCGCCTTCGCCGGACCCGAGGAACCAGAATTTGTGGCCGTGTAGGTGCATCGGATGGCCCATCTATAAAATGATATCTCGTGAGCCAGAAATTGCTATGACGTTGAGTCGAACGGATTGGCGAACTTACCGTGTCCATCGAATCATTCGCGACCTTCATAATAATATCAACGGTAGCGTTGGCAGGGGTAAGAAGTGTAGTGGTTGCATTCCAGCCGTCAGAGACGCTACCATAGATAATAGGCCGAGCAGGCTCTACGAATGGTTCCCTGTTAGCCACCCAAGTCACTATGTCTGTTTGGTTGATTGCAAAATGTCGAGTAACGTTGGCCGCCCCGGATGGTGCCGTGTTGCCCATGAATGGAGCAAGGGTCTGGTCGTCAAGCTCGACAGTCCCCGATGTGGCGGATCCGTTGACGAGCATCCACGGCGAGACCATGCGACTCATCATAGTCATGTTAGTATTGTTGGTCATATTCTGGAGGAATTAGTCATATAATCACATTGCCCGGGGTCATTGTCTCACTTGGTATGACAAAATGGCTTGCCCTTCGATGACTTGCTGCATGTCACCATAGGGATATGCTGCAAATCTAAAAGAATAGTCTCCGGGATTTTGATCAAGCCGTATCATGACGGAATACCGCTGGCCAATGGAGATGTGCAGAACCTGCCCGAAGGTTAACATGAATCAGTGTCAAGAGTTGCCGTGGACAGACCTGAACCTCTTGAAGAGTCACATATAGTCCATCCGCTTCGTAGACGAACATGGAATGACCGTCCAACGAGACACTGAGTCTGCTGACAGCTCCAGCATTGACGAGATGTAGAGCGGTCCAGCCACGAGATGCGTCCGCAGTGAAGGTGAAGAGTTCCGATGTAGTATTCGTGCAAGTTTCGAGTGGGAGTGAACTCGCGTTGAAGCCTGGCCTAAACATCATGGGTGGGCTGCACCCGCGTGGGCCTAAAGTCATTTGCGGCATGTCCACCGTGGTACTCATGGTTTGGTCCTCTGTGCCCACCGACGCCGTAGATGATCCCATTGTCGCCATCGAAGTCAATGTCGAAGACATGGCACTCATATCAGACATGGCAGTGCCGGTTGACGGGCTTGCGGTGTGATCTGACCTTTTCCGCATGCTCATGGACATAGCATCCGTTGTCAACGCGGGCATCGATGCTGTATCCATCGACATTGAAGCCATGCCCATTCCGCTGGTCGTTGACGACTCCATTGCCATCGACATAGCGTCAGGATCATGAGGATCGTTGGCGATGTTGGATTCAAGGCCCAGGCCTGGTCCGGCTTCAAGTATGTTTTGGGGTAGACATTGGACTCTTCCTCTCCCGTTCGCCAGAAGACTGTCAACGCACTGGGGAAATGCACCAGTCGTGAAATATTCATCGTATATTCGATCAGAGAGCCTGTGGTACCAGTCAGATAGCAGGAGAATTGTTCCGCTGCGCTCAACCTGTAACATCATATCAAACTCAGAGCTGCTCTGAGCAAGAGTCTTGAATGGACGCGGCCGGGATGGGGACGGATGTATTAAGAGCGGCCCGCGTAAGGCGTCGTTGTAGTAGGCTCGAAAGTGAGAATGGTACCAGTAAAATCCGTACTCGTCGGCTGTGGAAAATCGATAGGTGAAATTACCTCCTGGCGGGATGGGAAACTAGAGACGCATAAGACGGGCACGAGCAGTCAAATGTCCCACCAACCTGAGTTACGCCAGGAACACCGTCCATATCTGGAGTTCCACGCTGGAGAAGCCCTAGCGCGATCATGTCAATGTTTTGCTGAATCGCGTAGACCGCACGCCAGCCTTTTCGACTGGAGCGACCTACCATGCCAATGAATTGTTGTCTCGACTGGCAAATCGTTCTGGACAAATATTTCAAGATCATCTCCTTCTTCAGCTTCAATCAAGGGCCCCGGCTGTTGGTTATTGATGAGGTAAACTTCGCGCGCGAATCCATCTGGTTCAATGTCAGACAAAGCAATGAAAATCATCCTTTCAGGCTTACCAGGGCTTCGGATACCTGTACTGAGAGTCAGTTCGTATGAACGAGAGGCGGCCAGAGCATTTTGCACTGCTGAGCAGGCAAGCAACACAATTAAGTGTGGATATGATAGCATGTTGGAGTAGAGAATGAGGAACAAGGATCAGGCACACCAAAAGAGCAGAAAAGCGATGATTGTAAGCCGGGGGAGGAAGGCAACATAGGGGAAGGCGCAATCTCGTGAATGTTCTCCGCTACGAGTTATGTATTTGTCACAATCGAGGCACAGAGCATATTGTTGATTGCAGTCAGAGCCTGGTTTTTGCGGCGCGATTTCTGCGTATTTCTCGGCAGTGGCAGTGTTGATTGGTGTCGATCAACGAATAGGGCGGAAGTCACCCCACCGCCGTCCGGAAACGTATGCGGATAACCCCAGCGGCTGAACAACCAACAAGACTGTTTGGCCACATTTCGGGTGAGCCGAGCAGGGGGCGGGGCCCCCTTTCCTGGCGAGCTCCCTCTGCCAAAGGAAGCCAATCATTACTCTCTGCCGTTGAGGTGTTTTCGCGCATTCTGAATTCCGTTCTCAATTAAGCAAAGGTGTGATCGACACTGCTGGCTCTGATTCAAGACACTCCGAAACGACGACATCCAAAAGGACTGGATGTACTCCCGCTGTTTGTGGTTCGCCGCCGACCGATTCCACGAAGAATTGTTACAATATTAACTCCAAGGACATCAAGATCAGAAAAATGAGCGCGACACATGCATTGTTTGGTGAAACCAAGGCAGAATTAATGGTAAGAAAGCACTTCGGTGGGCCTTTCTTGTTGCTGATTCGGTGCAGGCTCTTGCCAATGTTCGCTTTCGAATTTGCAGATTTTGTCCTTTTGTCTTCATCCGTGACAGCTCGTTACCTATTGTGCATCGTGAATGTGGCCGAAACTACAGTGGAAAGATCAGACCAGCTGCCTTTCGACGGAGAACCAGACGCCTTAGATGTTGAGCCCGATGGAGGTAATGGAAGCACGCCTTGGTTGTTCCACGCGGAACTATGGACAGGTAAGAACGAGAATGAGATATCCTCCTGAGCTATTCTTGAGGTTTTATGCATAGTTGGTTGATGTTTTTTTATGCCAGCTTGCGACTATGGCAGTGTTTGAACCCTGACTGACTCCCTTGTAAAGACACTTCGAGATGCGCACTTTCTCTCCATTACATCCTTATTTGGTCCACCTACGCTTCCTGTGCCCATGTTATGCGCGATGCTGCTGCCGCCATCTACAAAATCACAAAGGATATTGATGGTCACATCCGTCGTCGACGGGTAATACGAATGGTTGGCAATACATTTCGCAATGCCGTCGAAGATCAACTTTGTATTGCGGGTATGTGTGCTATATGCCGCATAGAATTTATTCTTCATTCACAGTTGCCCCAGAAGAATGCCAGCCATCCCAAAGTCGTACCATGCGGGCACGTCTTCCATCGACAATGCTTGCAACTTTGGTTCCAATCTCGAACCACCTGTCCACTTTGCCGGGCCAGTGCTGGCGTGCCGGAATCGAGCGATTTCAAGGCCAGTTCGGGAGTTCTCTGAGGACAAAGTTGGGATACACAATGCTATACGGTTGCTTGGGACGTGGCACTCATCTCAGTTAAGGATCTTCCGGGTGTAGACTATATCTCGAACGGCTTGTGTTCACTTAAAGAGAAGTCTCTGCGCCGGACTTAGGGTCGACAGACGTCGATGGACTCAGATGGCTTCCTGGGCACTTCATTATCTGCCTGGCCACAACTGCTCTTACTTGCGTTGTAAAAACTATTCTAGATTATGATACAATGCTGCAAGTCCCAGGTGCTGCGACCATCGCAACATTGACGCTGCAAACTTCGAAAATGTTAGTACGAATATAGAAATCGCCATCGCCATTCAGCTCCAGGTTCTGTCCAATGCTTCGCTGGCACCACATATGTGAACGAATAGGACATGCTACGGTCACACTGAGGACGAGGCGTAAGATCGGACTCTATTGGACTCCGACTCCTTTTAGCAACAGCAACGAAAGAAGGCATTTCACCAAGGGGAAGATTAACTCCATGATACATATGTCCCTTTTAATGACACGCCTTTCCAAACAGTTTGAGCTGGGCATAGTTGTATGGTAACGGAGTGACGAAGCCCGCGAAATTAGATATAGCAGCGGCGAGCCAGAATGCAGGAGAGTCGAGGTTGACCATTCCGCCTGTCAAATGATAATCGACAAAATTCGCAGACGCCTCCATCGCCATCATAGAGACCAAGCTCATTCCAACCGCCGCTTTCGCTGCAGCTTTGAGAGGTAATCTGTCCTTACCCAGGCTGAGGAAGCATGTTTCTACCAAGATAGATGTCAAGATACCCATTGACACTGTAACGAGAGGAGCATGGTTAGTAGTTCGTTCTCAGCTGGATGAATGGCGTCAAACCATTGGGTTATTCGGCTTACTTGACGTTGCCATGATTATTCCAACTCCCAATTCAGGATGATGGACTTGAAGAAACCACATGGTTGAAAAGTCGCCGAGAGTACAGCCGACAAGACAGCGGAAGGTGTTCGCAAAGGCTCGCTTCCACAGCGTTGTTGACGTCCAGAAGCGGAAGTTCTGGATACGTGACCACACAGGAGCTTCTGATTGAACTTGAATCCCACATTGATTTTTGCGATGAGTTGAAATCTCCCTAGCTGAACAACGGGTTGCCACGTGGAACGAGGCTGAAGGTGGAGGGTTGATGGACATCGAGGCGATGCGAAAAGATTGGTGAATTCGAGGATTGCAGCACCAAATCGTCGTGCGGAGCAACCGAATTTGAAGTTCCGCGTGAGTGGCGGGGAGATGAGCCAACTTTGTGCTACATCCTCCCGATCGAAGAGGAGCAGCGTGCCGAAATAACATCATACTTCGGAAAGTATGTTCATCAATGGCAGGTCTCAAAGAGTCATGTTTCAATCCCGCATCAAATTGGAGAATGAAAGAGTGATAAAGTCGAAGAGGGGTGGAAGATCAGTATCACTGCCCTTTTCAGGTTGCGAAGATTTCTGACCCTCAATTCCAACGAAGTGCGCAATTTGTGCGTTTCTTCTTGGGGGCGTAGGTTCAGTCATGGCGATCCCCATGCTGACCCCATGAAATGTTGTCACCTCGCAGATCTGCAGCGATGAGGGACAAAGGGCTAAACCTTTTCGCTACTTCAATCCATTTAATCCTTTTATAAGGTTCATAGCTACGAAGAGGTTAAGTCCTCGTACATTTCACTTTGGCACAAACCAAGAGGATTTTGTAGTCATCGATCGCATAGATTGGCCTATTCAGGAAGTTGCACTGTTATATACTCCTCTCATAGTTTCTCCCCCCTCACACCAGTGTTGAAGCTGTGGTACAGGCAACGTATCAAAGAGTGAAGCTCGGGCGTCGTTCAAATCTACGCCACCCAGCCTGTGTCTCGGTTATCAGTTAGGCATAGTCAGCCGATGTGCCCACCGCTTTTCGTAGTCGAACGAAATGAACCAGAGCCGTAATGAAGACTGATCCTCGGGGTTCCAGCGGAAGGATTATTCATGACACACCTTCAAAGAAACTTGTCTCCATAAGATGTTTCGTTTGGTCATGCTTTCCGATTTGTTATTGATGTAAAATGACCACTTATCCTTTCTCTACAGTGTTGTTTCTTTTGCTGCTTGGAAACCCAAGACCGGCAGTCGCGTCCTCAGGAGCAGACTGCTGGTCACAACACTGATGCTGCTCAAGGCCATAGCCAATGCCGCCCAAACAGGGTCCAGCCGGATGTGGTTGCCGCCACTTTGTATTGGATATAGGACGCCCGCAGCGATAGGGAGCGCTAACATGTTGTAGACAGCGGCCCAGAAAAAGTTGAATTTGATCCTCCTGAATACCGTTCGACTAAGATCGATAAGAATAAGTAATGAGATGAGGTTTGATGAGATGAGGATGAAATCCGCTGACGAGATGGCCACTTCAGAGCCGGAGCCAATGGCTATGCCAACATCTGCCGTAGTCAGAGCAGGAGAGTCGTTAATTCCGTCCCCAACCATGGCAACCACGGTGTGCGAGCGCTTCTCATCTCTAGCCCCGGCCCTCTGCAGGTATTGAATTTTCTCCGCTTTCTGTTCTGGAAGGACGCCAGCGATGACATTAGTCATCTCGATCCCAACTTTGCTGGCGACTGCCCGGGCGGTCTTCTCGTTATCTCCTGAAATCATCCAGACGTCTATTCCTCGTTTGCGTAACGACTGCACGACCTGGATGGATTCTGGCCGTAGTGGGTCTGAAGTGGCGGCTATAGCCGACAATGAGAAAGGGGAGAAACCTCCATCGCCGTCGGAAGTGACAGCAGTGGCAACCAGGATGACTGACTTGCCTTGCATTTTCCATGAGTCAAGCTTCTCTTGGCTGTCAGAGGACAGAACGACATTGTTGTCGAACATTAAGGCTTCGTTGCCGACCAACGCCTTGAACTTACGCTGGGGTTGTGATGCTGCGACAACAAGCCCGCGCATGCCTTTGCCGCCAATTTCCTCCACATTCTCAGCATTGAAATTCGCAAACGTTCTCGACACAGAAAAGGCGACGGCAGCCTTGGCAAGCGGATGACTGCTGTCTTCCTCGAGACGCTTGAGGATACCCAGTACGTCCGACTCATTGAGAGAGTCGTTGTTGTCCACAAAAACCTCGAACTCTGTGACCTTGGGCTCTCCACCTTCCGTCAGAGTGCCGGTTTTGTCAAAGACAATGCAGTCCAATGTGCTGGCTTCCTGGAATGCCTCTCCTCCTCCCTTAACAAGAATGCCCAACTTCGCTGCCAGACCCCCTCCGACAAACAGCGCCGTAGGGGCTGCCAGTCCGAGACCACAAGGACAAGCGATCACGAATACAGCGATAGCAAACTGAAGCGACCAAAAAGGCCAGCCTCCGACGTCGGTGTCCCGATAGCTGGAAGGCAGGACTCCAGATTCGCCCAGAGAAAGCCAGATGATCCATGTTGCGATTACCACCAATACCACAAATGGAACAAAGTAGCCGGTCAGGAGATCCGCGATCTTCTCGACAGGAGCACGCTTGGTTTGTCCTTCACGAACGACTTCTATAATTGAATCCAGCATCGACTTCCCCGCAACGCCAGTAATTCGAATGGTTACTGGAGCGACCTTGTTGATAGTACCGCAGTACACAGGCTCCCCCACTTCTTTGGTGACGGGCATGGACTCTCCAGTCAGACTGGATTCGTCAAACTTTGACTTTCCTTCCAGAACGACTCCATCACAAGGAGGAGAGCTGCCATTGACGACCCTGACGATATCACCTGCTTCGATCAAATCGACGTGGACCGGGGATGTTGAAGATTGTCCACTTGTGCTGTCTGTTGAGACTAGCAGAGCTTCCGTCGACTTTAGCTTCGTCAGGGCCGCCACGGCATCGCCAGCTTGGGCCTTCATATATGCTTCGATATATCTGCCGATAAGGAGAAAAAGAGTCAAGAAGACCACTGAATCGAAATAGGACATTCCTGACCCACTCCCTTCCATGGACCCGTCCGCTGGCATGGCTGAGGTACGCGTTGCGGCAATGATGAGTTCTGCGATCGACGCAAAGTATGCGATGGATGTTCCAAAAGAGATTAGCATGTTCATACTGCCGAATCGATAAAATCTCTTGAGAATAGGAACTTGACTTCCCGGCCTCCACAGCGCGCGTAGCTCCTTGTATGTGCGCCGGTGGAAAAGATTTGCGGCGAAAAAGTAAACGGGAGTGGCCATAATGCAATTAGCCCACTCGGCACGTGTAACCCCCGCGAGCTCTGCCATGAGATATTTATACCCCGAATTGTCATGGGGGACGAGATTCATGTAGACAATGCCGATGATAAAGGCAGGAATAGCCACGACAGCAGATAAGCCAACGCGATAGAGGATATGGCGCCGTTCTCGTGCCATCATCTTTCTGGACCGCTCTTCAAGCGTTGGGGGGTGGTGAATCGAGACTTCGAAAGAAGGATCAGTGTCCTTCACTGCTGATAACAATGTCCTCACTGTGAAGTGCGGTGGGTTTGGGGTGTATGACACCGTCAAGATAGGATCTTTCAAAGTTGGCATGTTCTCGATGGTCACCGAGTTCACGCGCTTCATTGCCTGTACGACGCGATCGGGACACTGCCCGCAATGCATCCCGTCAATGCGAACTGAAATTGTGCGGTCCGAACCTGTTGTGGGGTGGGACTCAGCGGTAGACAACGTGTCGAGTCTGGCACCGTAGCCAACCCCTTCAATGGTGGTGGCGATGTCGTCGACATGATCCTTGCCTGCAAAGTAAACCGAGGCAGCATGGTTGATTAGGCTCACGTCTGCTTTCGAGACGTAATCCAAGTCTTGAAGAGCCCTTGTGATGTTCCCGACGCAGGAACTGCAAGTCATGCCGTCTATAGCGTACGTCGCATGCCACAAGTCGGCAACGGCGCGTTTGTCGGGTGGTCGAGATGCAAAATATTCTTGAACCGCGTCAAGGGACGCCGAGTAACCAACATCTTCGATCGCATCGATAATCTCTTTGACACGATGTTGCACGTCTTCCCCATCAAATATCACCACGGCGCTGTGAGTGATGAGACTAACATCGGCCGATTGAACCCAGACACGCTCGTTGAGTGCTCCGGTGATGGCACCGACACATGAGCTACAGGTCATGCCTTCCACCATAAAGTTGGCTTTGAACTGTTTGGGTACGTCTGGGAGATGGTCGACAACAAGCGAAAAACTCTCAACCTCTTCTGTCGCACTTTTCGAACTCGGCTGACATTGTTGGCAGTGCTCGAGGTGGCGGCTTCTCTTGTCCGCGTCGACCTCGCCGATATGGGAGCGCCATCGGGAAAGAGCGTATTCAAATGATGGCGGCTCAAGACCTTGGTGCAAGTTGGATGGCAGGTCTCGTTGCGACGAGGTTGGATCTGGGACAAGGTCAAAGATGTCATAACCGGCATCATCGAGAACTTGGGCGATGGTGGTGACGGCAAGCGAGCGTGAATGCCTCACTGTGACCGTGTGCGAGACAATTGACACCTGGACAGAATCTGGCGCAGGTCGCAGGCTGGAAAAGATGGATTCAATGTGCGACGCACAGGTCGGACAGTGCAGGTTGGAGATGAGAAAGGTGGTCTGCACCAGTAGACCACCCAAGGGGTTTCGGCGACCCAGGTACTTCATCTTTGAATTGTGAGGAGATTGGCACGTCTGGAAGAACTGGACGAGAAAACGCATTCGACGAGTTGATGTGGCGGCCATATCGTTGGGTCTGGAGACCCCTCTTATGTTTGCATATTGGGTAGCCGGCGTAGAGGGAGCCACATGCCGATGCGCGCTTTTCGCGTAAAGGTGACTCAAGCTCCTGGAGGCAGGGGACAGGCCGGCGTTAATATCGCACGCCCAGCTTGGGGAGTCGATAGTCGCCCAAGGGGCCTTGGTGCTACCCATAATCACCAGTGAACGCTTCTCCACCACCCAAGCGCCGAAGGTCGTGAGCCACACCCCGAAAACTGAAACAGACCCTCCGCCGGAGAAGATTCGAGCTTCAAAGCTCCCAAGGTCATCCATCACCAACTAGCGTTCAGACTGCGTTAAGCTGCCGTATGTCTGAATCGAAACAAGGTTGACTAAAACTTGGGCGCATAAATGCCTCAAGAAGATCCATGGCTGTAGCATTCTGGCCAAGAACAACCCTTTCGTACCCAACGGAACAACGCCCCTGTTTCTCATCCCTTCTATACTTGTGTTCTCAAGTAAGCGAATGTACGCTCTCTTTTCGGCCTGCCATCTGCGGCCTGTCTTGCACGCAATGATGGGCTTCATGAATCGCCAAAATCATATAAAGACGCAATGAGACCAACGAGAGCATCCCATGAGTCAACACGGTTCCTGGTTTAGGACTGTGGAGGCCGACCTATAAACCCCTACATTCCCTCTCGCATTCGCCTTCCGCAAAGGTCAATCCGTCAAAAACATGTACTGTAAAAGATGGAAGAGGATAATCGTCGACAGGTAAAGACCGAAATTGCGCAGACATGACCAGCACGTCACTGCGCGACCCTTCATCCGAATGATCCAGAGAAACACTAGTCGCTTCAGCACAGGCCGAGCGTGAGATATTTCACAATCTGTCCTAAGAGGTGCCGTTTCGGTGAGCCCAGCTGGACAGGAACTCTCCCAGAAATATTCCAACCAACAACGCGATCATGTACCCAGCGTTAAGGGTCATCACTGCGAGCATACTACCATTCGAGGAAGGGTTAGTAGAGGTCCGAGAAGTTGACTTGTGGTTGAACCTACACCAGGAAGCCAAGGGCCGCATCCAACACCTTTAGACCACTTTTGAGGAGAGCACGAACGATGAACCGTGACATGAATCGGCCGCTCGGCTGCACATCCTCCGCTATTTCAACCCAACTACCACTCTTTGATACCTGTCCCTCGTCATCTGCAGGCCGAGCGTGGTGCAAGTTTTGGGCGGCCTTTGTCTCGACGACCATCAGAAGCCGCTGGCCGAAACTCAACATCATCAGGAACAACATGACTGCCACATATCCGGAAGCATGTGTCGGCGTGAGAAGGCGGGCGAAGAAGGGATCTCCAAGGCCAAAGTGAATGAAGGATGACATTCCCTGCATTTGCATGTCGGTCGGCGGCATGATGTCACTTTGCAAGGCTTCAGGAATGGTTGAAGTGAGGCCCGCAGCTGTTGCCAGCACAGTGGCCGTAGGGGTTGCCGTCCCTGAGGTACTTATCATGGCCATACTCATTCCCTCCATGACTGAGAAGTGATGCGTGCTGCCGAGAATCGGGGAACTGAAAAGTACTGCGCGAGGAAAGGGACCAACAAAAGGATAATGAAGCTGGGGGAAAAGCGAAAAGAGTGTAGAAGTGAGAGAACGCGTTGACATCTATAGGGGCAGGTCACTGTCCACAGCACATAATAGGACTGGGTGAAACTCCTATGCTCTTGGCGGGGCTGACATGTTTGAGATCACCCTGAGCAACCTGAGACAACACCTACTGTACATGGAGAGCCGCTTGGAGCCAGCAGATGGCCGGCGCTTGGGCTCTCTCTGCCCAGAGGTGGCTGTGAGACTCGGGACAACGCTGCCATGTCATCCACCGAACATAGATGTGGGTAGCTAGGGGCTCCGAGACAGCCTACTCCTCGTCACAGTGCCCAGAGTAGATCCGTGCACATTTTCGTCTCCAACGCATTTCAAATACTATCTAACTAAAGGCTCAGGAATCAGACAGCCGCTCTGGGCTATGTGGAGGATATGTTCCGTGCACTGCGATAGGAGGCTGTTAGATTCTGTTGTAACCGGCAGTCAAGGCTGGGGCCGTCTTTGCACTTTCTGTCGCCTATGGCGTTACTTGGCAGACATGCTGTGTCTATATGCTGAAGCTTGCTATCTCAATTGCCCATTCATTGCCAGAGGAGACCAGGGAGTGAAATTGCAGAACGAGTGATCACGACGGCCCAATGAGCTTGGTTTTACAATACTTGTACCAAAGAGACATGATGCTCACGCATTTGGAAAATTCATTCGGCGTACGGTCAGTCCAATGTTGTAATCAAACAATTGTGAAGTATTCTTTATATCGGTTGCTTTGGGGTGTTTTGAGCTGCCTCAACAAGATCTGGTCCGCACGTTGATCGTCCCCCAGTACACAGTATCCACTCAAAGTACCCCAGTCCTCAGATCTTCCATGCTTGCTGCTCGACAGGAATTCAGTCCCTACAATAGGCTTCCAGTCTCTCAAGCTTTCCAGCCATAGATACGTAGCACTAAAAATGGTCTTTTCGCCTCCTGACACTCTTCATGTTCTGCCAATGTCGACCTAGTTTGCTTTGTTTTCTTCTCCATCCGATATCACCTCTCCGCCTTGCACCTCCTTTCCTGATGCCTGAATCGCTTGGGAGATGGCCTCGAAGGTCACGCCATCATCTGTAACCACTGTGACAGACTGTGCTTCGACGGAGGAGTCAACGGACTTCACGCCTGGTACGCCAATGACGAGGCGCTTGACGGAGGAAGCGCAGCCTTGCATTCGTAAGTTCATATTACAGTGACAAGAGATAGCTCTTCACTGACCTCCGCAGGACATTCGGACGTTGTAGCGGTATGTACGAGGCATCTTGCTTTGGCACGTCTAATGTGTTTGAATATGATAACGAGGATGAACTGACTCACAAGAAAGGGACATCACGAGCACTCTTTGTAGGAGAGCGGAGTCGGGCGATCGAGCAAAAATTACGCACTTGAGTAATGTCTCTGAACGTAATCTGAGGGTCTTTTGCGTGAAAAGAGACATTCCACCCAACCACCATATGCCACACAAGAGGTGAATGCAGCTGAAACAGAAAGGGCTCCTGAAAGCTACGTGTGTAAGTGAATGGCACAAATCCCTCGGGGACCAATTACGAGGCCGAATCGATTCCATAGTTCTCGGACCCGAACAGGTTGGGAGAACATGCCACTCCCTCGATACCGTCCAAGTCAATCCTATAGTTGTCTCCCATAGGTCAGCTTTTGTTTCCACGCACGGGATTGCACATACTGTCAAAGTCTAGCACTCGGCCATGATTTCATCGCCAGAAAGACATCCTTCCGCTGAAGTTTGTTTCGCAACCTCCGGACTCCCAGGACAGGATAGGGATTGGTCTGAGGAGAGTATACGGCCTTGAGTCCCGATGTTGGATCGCTCTGCGGCATTTGGCCCAGTCCGACGAGCAGGACGGGAGAAACGCCCCGAATTTTTGTGGCTTGTTCGCTTGTCCGCATTGGCCCTCTTCGTACTCCGCGGAGGCCGGGGCCGGACGAGGTACGTTTCCTTTGTCGTTATTGACGGGCGTTTCCTGTCGGTTACCTCAGCCATAAATTCCAGGTCTGGATGCCACTTAATCGTGTCGATAGATTTCAAGAAGGACCCCAACTCTTCATCTCCATGACCTTCCGGCTGACTTAAAATGTTATTGTCGTCTGCACCTGCCGCCGCAAGGGCCGTGACAGCGCGAACTCCTCCATGTCGGAAAAATCTAGCTTCAAGTGAAGCGTCGTCAATCTTCCCTTCCTTGCAGGCTGAGATAATAGAATGGAGGCGACATGGTGTTGATTCTCGCCCAGCTTGGAGAGAGTGGCGAAAAGCCTCGCCCAGTTGAATGCGCTGAATATTTTCTTCGTCAAGCGGAAGCAAAAGGAGAGCGGATAGGGGACTGTCGCGGACGACACCAGGTTGGGTTTGACAAGCATCCTCGATGTCGAGGAAAGAATCATCCAGCCTCAGTCTTAGCTGGATAGACATGCGACAAATATGGCCTCAAGAAAGTCACAAGAGGGAAAAGGATTATGTTTGTCATTCCTTCGCCTTCGCAGACTTCCTATAGTTACAGGTAGTGATGAACAGATTCCATTCGCTTCAAGTCACAACACCTCAGGAAACCCTGGTCCTGAACACCTGAAGGCCGCTGATAGAGTGCTAGCGTGGTTCGGCTAACCCAACTCAACGAGTGGACTTTACTGGGACAGCCAAACCTGTCCCCAGACACAACCGTCCTCGGCACAACCCTGTCGTCCTCTCGCAGATAGGAACACCCAACTCCGGCCCTGTTATTGTGCAACCTCAGGTGTATTGCCACTCCTATCTGTTTCAAGATTACATAGACAGTCTTTGTGTAGGTACTACTTGGAGCCGGAAGAGGTATCTAGTAGGAGCCTAAATTGGAATCCGCACAGACTATCCAGATGGACCCCTGGGGAAGAAGGACAAAGAGGGGGAGAAGGGGGGAGTTGTTGGTGATAATTGCACCTCGAGGATATCTGTTGTTCCTGCTGCCTTGGGCTGCATTGATTTACTGTCGCCCTCTTACTATTCAGTTACAGTCTTTCCCGAAACCGCCCTCCCGCTTGCTGACACTTTGCAACTTTCTCCCACCAAAAGCTAAGGATATAACTGGGGCACGCTTTCCCAATCTGACATTGTTCGACTAACCCAACTACGAATCATCAACGAGTGAATTTACGGTGGTATTTCTAATATCGTACGGCCTCGGTAATAAATCAGCAATTTCCTTGCAAAACCGTTGTCACGTGCATTCAACCGGGGATCGTGCCGCCCAATGGCTGGGCAGAATAAGTTTACCATCTTCTCAAAAAGGACAAAGGCCCCTTCTGGTAACTTATACGCTCAGCACAGTACCACTTATGACAGACTTCAGAGTTGGGAGGCGGGAGGGTAGGGGGTATTTTGCTCTCAGTACTCTGTATTTTGCTCTCAAAAAAAGGCGCTAACACACGCTTTTAGATTAGCGCAGCTTTCCTACTAACAAAATACGAATTGTCAGGCATAATTTTCCCCTTTTCTCTAGGTGTACTCTAGGCGGTCTATACCTAGAGCTTTAACTAAAACGCAGCCTAGGGCTTCCGTACCCCGGGTACTAATTAGGTGTCAAACGCCTAGAGGTTATCCATTATTTACCACCAAAACGCTATTTTTTAACAACATAATTTTACTATTTCCACTAAGATAATAGTATAATTTTCTACCCTATTCTTACATAGCTTTACAACTACCTTATTGCCTCAATAAAAATTTCCCGAAAAGATACGTGGCTATAGAATTATTTGGCGTTAATATCGAACTGCTTTGCACACCCATACGCCTTTGCGATTTTGAATGGAGAAAATTATGCCTGACACTTCATATTTTGTTAGTAGGATTGTTGAGCTAAGCTAAAAGCGGGTGTTAGCGCCCTTTTTTGAGAGCAAAATACAGAGTACTGAGAGCAAAATACCCCCTACCAGGCGGGAGCAGAAATTACCGGAATTGGAAATGATTGTTCAATTTCGTTCACCAGCATGAGATTGTCACTGATTCGCTTCGATTGGCTGGAGGGATGGGCACGTGATTGCTGAGCAGGGCATGTTCTTGCGGCCGCATGGTGCATCCTTAAGGACAACAAAAGCAAAGTATGTATGCTCGGTTTTAATCTCGGAATCGAGTCCTCTACGTCAGCCAATATCTGGCTGAGCAACGGAAGACAGGTCTGTTCCAGCTGCGATCTCTGCCTGACTGGATTTGAAAGCCCCTGCTGGGTTCTCTATCTATTCCGTCTTCCCTTTTTGGGCTCCGACATTCCATTTCACTTCCAGAAAACATGGATTGTGGATGTGAGAACAACGTGGGATCAGTAGTGACAGTAGTGTATGGCCTCCCATTTCTGTGAGCCGTATGAAGGGTGCGGATGGGGCCATTTTCTGGCATTTTGTAGAAACTCTCGACCGGAGAGCGAGAGTTTTGAGGGTCGTCACGGGTTGGAAACTTTGAACGTGGTAGTTGCTTGATATCATAGAACCGTCTTTCAGCGTGGATTTAAACTACCCAAATCACTTTAAAAATTCACGTTACAGTAGCTGGTTGAGAGGGTGACAGTGAATCAATGCAGCTCAAGGCAGCAGGAACCACAGACAGCCTCAAGTGCAATTGCTCCTAACGACTTTCTCATTTCTTTACCCTCTTGTCCTTCCCCGATAGGGGCCCATCTGGATCGTCCGATGCGGATTCCAATTTAGGCTCCTGCTGAATACCTCTTCCGGCTCCAAAGTACTACCTACACAGAGGGTGTCAGAATATAAGTGTGTGAGCAAACGATGCAAAATCTTGGTCATCCGCCAGCTACCAGCACAAACCAAGTTTCCCAGATCTCTTCTTGAAGATTGCTGTCGTCGGTGCTTCGGATTAATCACCCACGAGCCATAGAGGACTTTGAACACTGCCGTGAAGAATTCAAGAAATTAACTCGTAGGCTTAGGAAGGGCGACTTCAACAGTTCAGACTGCGAGGATATGCTCGTTGATGCCGTGGAATATGGAAACACCGTGGTACAGTACGCCATTGGACTTCAAAACACACAGAGTTCGAAGCGTCGCCGAGATGAGGTGGACTCTGGCAGCGACAGCAAGTGTTCGCTACAATAACCCATACTCGCAAGCTGATTAGTCTCAGGTGGGGGTGTGGCCCTGCCCTCGAAATTACTACGCGTGTCAGGCAGCAAGAAACGTGCACGAAACGACGATACCGGCAGTGAAGGTATGGACTGTTCAGTGAACACACATTCTCAAGTCTAACTGTGCTCCAGACGAGGATTACTCAAAGCCGTTGAAAAAAGTGCGAATGACGGCGACCAAAAAGCGTACTCGAGATGGGATGGAAGACTCTGGTGACGGTAAGTGTGCGGTTGTACCATTCCTAACGCGACTCTGATTGGTTCTAGACGGACAAACATGGAGGTCCTCCAAGAAAGCTCGGCTGGGAGGAGAGAAGGTGGAATTTGCCAAAGTATTCAAAGAACTCGATGCTTTCATAAAGACCTCCGTCAAAGGATCAAAATAGGGTCGGTTCTAGAGCCGGCGAGACAGAATACGACAAGGAAAAGCTCAGGCAAGGGATGCCGCCAATAGGAAATGGGGAATTCCACAAGCCTGAAAGTCAGAGGGAGGGAAGAAGAGAAGAGAAAAATGAAAAGAGCGAAAAGGTGCTCAATTTTTCATGCTTGGTACAGTGGTGGTTAGTTGACCTGTGGTGTGGGCAGCATGACCTTAGCCACAGGGACGAAATCGCAGAATGACTTAGCCGTCCCATTGATAGTTCCTATGAGGATGGTGTGACTAGAATTGTATGGTATAGATGTGAACAATATCTGAATCTCATCAAACATGATCCGTTGCAAAACCTGCAATACATTCCACCAACAAAACCGGCCGGCGGTTCCATTGCCAATTCCATCAGTGACCATCATCTTCAGATAGAACAACACAACGGAATCATTCATTGATGCCTGGGATCCGTGATGATGTGGGTACGGACGCGATATTGACCCATTACAAAAGCTCCCAGCTTAGCGAGGTACAAAAGTTGGTTTGGTCATACGACTGACCCATGGAGCTTGTTGCTTATCTTCATATAGGTTGGGGTTCTTTTGCGTCCAGGCCGACATCTCATAATCACCACGAAGTAGCTCCTTTCGTCGGCCCTGCTCTGCCGCAGGGAGCTCGACCGTGAGAGGAGCCTCAGTGGAGTTATCGGGGAAAGGGTTCTCGTAGATGTAACAGTGCACTTCCAGGACCATCACCGGTGGAGGCTTCGTCGATAGAGACCAAGCTCGTTTCTGGGCGCTGCATTCAGGTCGTGAACAGACCCCCGGGGTCGGTTGTTCTCCCGGAGCGATGGGATGATCTCTCTGGTAAGCCGAAGACCGAAGCTTGCGGCAGAGGGCACATCTGTGTCTGAACGTGGGTAGCTCGGAGTATCTCTTCAGATTGGGGGTAGATCTCGGATCTTCAAGCTCGACAGGTTGTCGATTCGTATGACGAGGTTGGTTTCTGGAAGGCATCCTGCTGAGTACTTGTCTGTCTTGCCCCTTCGAAATGCCAGCAATGACCATGATCAGCGCTCTGCACTATGTTCACCTGCGCAGTCGCCAAAAGAGCGTCGATTCAGCTTGCATATCGAGAAGAAATAGACGGGGAACGCCAGTCAACCTAGTGGTATCTTGTGAGGAGCCCAAAACGGAAACCAGATTCATGGCTTGTTCAAAATTGGATCTCGAAGGGCGGCGTTTGGAGCCTGTTCGAGTCTCTTCCTTCTGTCTGTTTCCTTTTCCTCGCTCGCTGTTCCAGGGTCTGGATTGAGCTCTCCTCACAGGACGACGGTTAGCCGTGATGTGTTAAAAGTATCTTCTCTTGTGCACCTCACAATCTCAATACTGGGACTCACAGTAGCATTTCGGCTTTCATGATGGCACGCTGTCATCACAGCGATTGGCTCAACCTCCGCATCGAACGAAACGAAGTCATCTTGTTCATCTCGGACCGGCTTCAAACGCTTATCGACGAATTTCCCAGCCCTGACCTTCAGCAGCCCAGCCTGTTGGTTTTCATCGGCCATACCGCCAAATTGTCAGCCCTTCGATCCCTCGGTGGAGAGGAGAACAGGCCGAAGTCGGCAGGCAGACGGAAACGTGGCGGCGGAGTACATCTCCAACGGGGAAATCGCGATGTGTTCCGGGACGTCCCCGTGCTTCTAGCAGATGGCGACCTTCCGTACCGGGACTTAAAAAAAAGGTCCTCGGCCCAATGCCACGAGACAAGACAGCTGATGCTTCCTCGCATCCGGGCAGGGGTCCGAGATCTGGCTTTAGAAGATGCCGCTGATCATCTCTATTCCCGTCTCCTGGGCGCCTTTGCCGATGTCTTTTGCTTCTTTTCCACCGACGTCGGCGGGTTTGGTCCCGTGGTACGTCGACTCGCATCGTGGCTCGAGCATGGCAAGCCGTCGACACTACCGAAGACAACATATCCACGGGTGGTCGTGGTGATGGAGGCCACAGACTCCGGAGCGGAAATCGACAAGGAGGCCAGTGAGGTCCTTCTGGGAGCGCTCAGAGAAGAGACCACCAAAAATCCCGCAGAGAGGTTATCGGCTCTCGAAGTGGTAACCGTGCCCCACGGAGGGCACTGCTACCGGCGGCTGGAGGAATACTTGGTCCGGGTACTGGATCAAGGTCGAAGGCACAAGCTAGAGGCAAGAATGCTCTTCTCTGCGAGACATTTGGCCGCATTCTTCAAATATGCGAGTGACCACTTTGGCAGAACCACAAGGGAGCCGTTCGATTTCGTCAAAGCGTCGCGTTTGCAAAATCCTGTCTCGCCCGACCTAGACATGCACCTGTCCAACTTCCTGAAGCACATCAAATCGCCCGAAGAGTTGACGGACTTCGCGGTGCCAATGATCGCATCGAGCCTCCTGCTGGATCACTACCCTCCCGGCATGCACGGTAAGTCGGCCCTCCTTTCTGCGTTTGGCGGGATCAGTCTAACGGCCCCATGGCGTTCAACCCCGGAGATGTATTTCACACCCTATACAATGACGCATGCTACCAGGTGGCCAGAACTGGTGTGCTAGTCCACGACGGTTCGACAAACTTTGTCCTCCCGTCTAGCTTCGTCAAAATCGTCTCGGAGGAGCTGGAGAAATGCTTTAATGACCTCATACGCGGCACCGGCACGCCATCCATGATGGTACACCGTAATAATCTCCAGAGGTTTAAGAATCGCTGGAAGCGGCTGCTGAGTGACGACCTCTGTTTTGTATGTTTGCGTCGCCTGCTGGAAACTAATCTGCCGTGCGGACACGGGGTCTGCGAAAATTGTGTACGAATTTTCGGGACGCCGGATAAGAATGATCGGTGGGCGTTCAGCATTCGGCGCTGTTTCCTCTGCGACATGGCGCTTCGAGACGTGACGGTAAAAATAAAGCCCGATACCGCCGGGGTCAACGTATTAACCATCGACGGAGGTGGTATCAAGGGGGCTATACCACTACCATTTTTACAAATACTGCAGGACAGGATCGGCCTACAGATCCCCGTTCAGGATTACTTCGACGTTGGATTCGGCACCAGTTCCGGTAAGTATGCTTGATTCGATGAATGACCAACGCTGAAGCTTGTTAGGGGGGCTTATCATCCTGGCCTTGTTCATCAATGGATGGCCAGTCGATGATTGCGCAAATGTGTTCGAATCTTTCGCAAGAAGGGCATTCAAGCCCCGTTGGATTTCTCACATACCCATCGTCTCCCGCATTCCGATCCTGTCGCATATTCTCTGGTTTCTTGTGTCGTATTGGGCCGACGGTCTGTACCCAGCTCATAATTTGGAAGGTGCGCTGAAGGGAGTTTTCGGCAACGACATGAGCATCCTGGATTACTCGTATGCAACCGCTATCGGGGCGAAAGTGGGAATACCGGTGACCACAGTTCTGGGAACAGACCCTTGCCTCTTCACCAACTATAATGGAGCGGGACCGAGGCCGCAGGACTGTGGTACTTTAAAACCCGAACTGGCAACGTGAGAGCGATTTCTGACGGATGGGCAGGATATCGCATTATCCGGTCGCAAGATGGGCGGAAAAGGATTCGTCTGTGGGAGATGTAAGTGTGCATTTGCTATTTCCTTTGTTCGTTGGAGTATGCAAAGATGACTGAAATTGCATGCAAGCGCAATGAGCGGATCTGCGGCACCGTGGTATGTTGCTGTCCAACCCTCTCAAAGTTCTGAGCAGCTCACACGGCCACGAGGTACTTTCCAGCAAAGCGCATTCCGGGGGTAGGAACCTTTCAAGACGGAGCTCTGTGGAGGAACAATCCCGTCGACCTCCCTCTGTGGGAAATCCCCGTGGTGTGGCCCCCGACTCGCAGGCCCAATGTGGTCGTCTCCCTCGGCACCGGGTCCTCAGGACCACGCGTACCAACGTCCCACTCCAGCAGACTGCGTGCGATCTGGAGAGAGGGCTTCCTGCCACGATCGTACAGAGCCTTCATGGAATTAATCAACGGTAAAAAAATCGCCCAAGCGTTCAAGAATGGACGACGGGCAGAGTTAGATGGGCGGTACTTCCGATTCGACGTTGAACTAGACAGAGAGGTCGACTTGGATGATACAGGCAGGATGCACGAGCTGGCAACAAAAGCTCGGGAACAGTTCTGTCGGTCGGAGGATGTCGATGTCGTCGCGCGTTGCCTCGTTGCGACGCGTTTCTACTTTGAACTCGACTCAAAGCCGAAGAAGATTAAGGGGAAGTATTCTGGATCGGGCCATATCTTCTGTCGTTTGCCTCGAAATAGTCCCGAGCTCGAGGTGCTGCTGGAACAGTTGTCTAAACGGGCGGCGCGATTTATCGTGAACGGCCATGGGCTTCCCGGGTCGGTCGGCGATCGGTCGTTCATCGACCACCAAGGAACCTTTCGTAAAAGGGTCGAATTTGAAACCAAGGACACATTATCCGTTCTTCTTCAAGAAGGGCTAGCGGATCCGCAGCATATCAGTGGATCTCCATACGCAGTCCACGATCTAATGGATATGCAAGGCCTCAACAATGATTTTGGTACTCCGGATCATAGGAAGCGAAAAGAGCGCGAGGAGAAGGAGGATGAGGGAGAAACGAGGGTAGAGGAGCCGGCCAAGAAGCGTCGTCGGGCTCGGTAGAACATCATCGGTGCTCGTGGAGGTGGTATCGCGCTCGAGGAGGGACGGATCGGACAAGGTTGTGAACCGGCGCAGTCTTCATAGTAACCTGGTACGGCATCTCCACCACCAGGATAAAGACAGTCTCTGATTGGCGTGAGACGCGGCTGGAAGGGAGTAGGGAGGTTGATAAAGGGACGATGAAGTTGAGGCCGTCGAGGGATGGAGAAAACGAGTCACTTCACGCTAAACCGCGGCAAAAACAACATTCCGGCAGGCATGTCAGCCGAGTGGACCTCGGTCCAACCGTCATTCCTTTCGCAAGGAGATGTATTCTGGTATTGTTCAATCAAATCTTCTCATCCGAGATCTATCACAGTCTACTTATTTACATCAGCTAGAGCTAGCTTTCAGATGGACCACTACTCGTACAGTGACACTTGATCCACGTGGAGCCCGACGCTCCTCGACAATTTTCTGAGTGATGTTGATTCGACAGCGATCCTTGTTCTCTTCCTCCGCTGCATAGGAATAAAACCGTCCTAGAATAGTTCTAGAGCTCTCCTCAGGGCAACAGGACTCAAGGTATGAGCATCATTGGCCCTTCCCGACCTGCCGTTTCAGCCCGAGTGAGACATCGACAGCTACTGTCGTAATTCGGGGCTTCTCGTGCCCGAGAGTTCAGCCATCACCCGTACAGTTGGCCCAAAGCAGAGACAACGCCACTACTGCTCACCAAGTTACCGTCCCCCGCGGCACACATGAACCAGGCATAGCCGGACACGTCGTCGTTGCCGTCGAGCCACGGCAGGACCGTTTCCAAAAACTGCATTTGCTGGTCAGTACCTCCGTAACCGCGTAACTCTGTAATCCAGAGAGTTCCTACGCCGTTTTCTGTTGCCAGTGCCGAGGCATTAGATACGAACGCCTGGAAATCCGACGTGTCGACTGCCGAGCCATACCAGTGGATGTTGACGGCATCGACCAAGCACCTCCCTGCACAGGCATCGAAGAATGATGATAACCACTCAAGACCGAGCGAGTCGCCGAGTCCATTCGTCACTGACGGAGTGGCCAGCTCGGCTTGCTCATGGAAAGGATTCATATACTGTATGAACCCATCGGCCGCTTCGGATGCATTGAGATTTGCTTGTGTTGCGATATCGGGTTCATTGAAAGAGAAGAGATGTTTTGATCCATAGCTGATGGCGGAGGAGGCCTGTGTAAACCACGAAGACGTCGCGTCTTCACTGAGACCCCAGAGCGTCGGGATAAATTCAAGGTTAGAGGGAAGGGAGCCGTTGGCGAATGGAGCCCAGTTATAACCCCAGCTCACGGAGGACTGGTTCGCGAAGAGGTGCGTGAGGGACGCATCGTTATAGGCCAGACCTCTTTTACCCCCTGTTAGACCTCCTGTTTTCTCTGGTGCAGGACTTGCAACAGAGCTCCTTGAAGGGTTATCAGCTCCTTGAGGAACTGATACGCAGGTATCCTTTTGAAAATTGGTATTTGTCGACGACGCAAGAGAGCTGGTTTGATGACGTAGTACGATGAGTAGGAAGCCCATGAGATACCTGAGGCAATTCAGGACGGACATCTTGATCAAAGCGGTAAGTATTCAACTGCGAATTCTGACTCGCGGGTGTGAGGTTCAAGGTAAAATTTCGCCACGGAACGACAAAAGGGAACTGCATTGGGAACAAGTATATTCCCTTTAGCATCACCACCAAAGAGACTATCATGGGATTGGGAGGGAATTCGACACCCAAATGACATTTCGAAAATAATTCATTCAGAGAATTCCATGCCAGCAAATGTGAGCTCCCTTTTGGGCTCCTCGAATCTCCCCTGGGACGCAAAAGGGACTTCAATAGGCTCCTCTCTTGCCTAGGAGAATGCCAGCACATCTCGAGCATAACTTTCCTTAATACTGTACCAATAGGGCAGAGTCCCGAATTTCTCAGATTTGTTCATTGCCACCTATCTCTGTGCGTTGCCTTTAAAGGCTTGAACCAACAATCGACCAATTTCCTCTAGGAGATGTGCAACGATGTCGGAGTGGGAGCATCCTTTCTTCGGCTCTTCTTTCGTCGATGAAACATGTATGGCCAGATAATCAGTGTTGTGAATGAACTAGTTGATTTTAACGGAGGGCTTAGGTGTACTTGGATGGCTTCTGCCCTGCTTCCTCTATGGAAAGACTCAAGCCCGTCTTCGGAACCGACGACTCTCGGATTTCACCTGGTTCAATCGCGAGGTGAGAACGTCTTCCTTTTGCCGGAATATTTAACTAATGTCTCCTTGAGTGCTGCGCTTGGGCTTTTCTTGCCTGGTGTGGTTTCTCATCGTGTATCCAAGGCGTGAGTCGTCATAACCTCAGGAAGAGGTTTGGACTGCCAGGCAATATTTGTTTCGATTTTTGCGGTTCACTCTGCTGTCCATGCTTCGCTTTAGTCCAGGAAGAAAGAGAAGTCGCAAAGAAAATGCGCAATAGCGACAGAGCATATCGAGAGCCGGAGGGAATGATCTACACCGGAAAGGACTATTTAGACAAAGGGCTGGAGAAATTGGTGTAGAGAGGAGCATTGTATTGGCTATACTGTAGCTGCTCATAGAGTGCTCAAGACGGTGGTGGTGTCTTAATAAAGAAGACTAGAGCAGCAAGGCCTTTGGCGGATACTATCAGGACCGTCGCCGCAAATTGGCACAATGGCACTGAGGACTGTAGTAACTGGGACTGTTTGTACTGTATCTATCGTACATCGTATTGACGACGACTCGACGCCTGAGAAAGAAGAAGAGCCAGTTTCGGGTGGGAGAAGCTTCTTATGGCTTCCCCTTTTCATCACGTGTGTAATACGGCTGTAGCCGGAAGTCTCCTGTCTTCCCAGCCTCGCTTCCGAATCGTCTGCTACCTGTCCTCCCACTCGAATCGGGTGGAGGTCTGGAAGGAACGGTAAGTTCGTCAAGGTAGGTTCGTGACAGATGCGCATATACTCGATTTCTTGTCAGGCAGACCCAGTGGAAAGGGTCTGTTCGGCGGGGATCAATTCGTCCATGGCCGAATACTGTAGTTTATTGGTGCCCAAAAGGGTTCTGAGAGCCATTTTGGGACGAAAGTTGGGCCCGAATGCTCGTTCAACAAACATAAGTGCGCTTGAGCCTGCTGAGCTCGATGTTGGCTCTATTCAGTCTCTGAAGTAAGTGCAGCGTGTCGACGGTAGAGAATCTATTCGTAGAATTTATGGAAATTATCAATAAACTTCCCCTCTTTCGACTGCTGTCATTGATTTGGAGAGGTATGTAAATCGAAACGCGCTCCATTTAGTTTATCTACTCATGTACTACAGGATGGCGCCACCAGAAAAGGAAGGGAAAGGGGAGAATGGGTGCCTGGCAAGAGCGAGCTCGACAGCCGTTTAGCTTCCCAATGCGACGGACTCCCCCCCAAAAGAACCTCTCTAGAGAAACAAGTTTTTGACAAGATGTGGAATGTGAAACCCGGATGGAACTGGAAAGAAACTGGCCGAGGCAAGATATTCTTCAACAATACGAGGACATGTGTTGAGGAAAGAGAAATGTCGAAAAGGCGTTTGGAAACCTTTGGCGACATTGGACCATGGAGGGACTTTGTCGAGGAAGTTGAGGCGACCTTTCACGAGATGAAAGAACCATTAGTTGAGGGACGCAAGTATGCGGCTGCTTTGAGTTGAGGCACCGGTTCGTAAAAGATCGCAAACAGTATCAAGGGATGGCCATTGCATGGAGCCATCACGCATCAAGCATGTATCTTCGCCACTGCCCAAATTCGACCTTGTCACACTGGTTATGGGCAGTGTGCCTCCCTTTCGGGCAGCCTCGGGGCGTTTTTTTTGGGCCCCAAACGGGTCCATTTTTGGTCCCAAACGGGGCCATTTTAGTCCCTCAAATATCGGCAAATCCATGCGTGAAAGCCTGCGCCCAGTACATCAAATTCCGATTCGGTTAAGTGCTGTAAAAGGGACCGAGATAGCATTATAAGAAGTTTCAATGTATAAGACCTTTGATTCTTCTCGCTTCCATTATCGCTTCTACAGTACAACAACTTCCATGTTTAATAGGTTGACGAGTAATCTTACTCAATATCGATTGTACAATACCCGATGAAGATTGTCGCTACCTTATCTTTCCTGGCTCTTGGCCTCATCGGTGCTTCTGCCGCTACTCCCTCTCTGCGATTCGCAAAGCGCAACTCACCCAACGGTTGTGCGGACGGCGTCCCAAGCCAGGCCGCCATCGCAGGCGCAATTAATCAGTGGAACAGTGATGTCACCACCGTCAATGATTTTCTCGATGTCGCGACTTCTCTGCAAGGGCTCCATTTACAATTACAGCTCGTAGGTTAGTATTAGCAATTCCTCTCCGTACTTCCTATTTTCTACAAATTTTCACAGTATTTTACTACTTCTTAATCGAAAACTACGGGGTCGACATGAAGCTAATACAACTAAACCTTCTTATAGTCGCCCTCAGAGCTGCTAACGACGAGCCCGACCAATTACAAATTCTCGCGTGTGCGTCAGATGTGAGTCCCAGCACGGTTGCGCAGGCCGCCGCAGACGACTTATTCACGGGGTTCGGGCCCAACGTACTCACGCCCTTAAGCAACATCCTCAACGATCCATCATCGATTACGCAGAATTTGCAGCTAATCAATCAATTTCGCTGCTGCGATGTGCTACCGGACCTTGACACCTTATGGAGCTTCACTGCCGAGGACGACGGCGTTGCCAATCAGGTGCCAATGTCGGCTCCTAGACCGACAGCCTGTGCGTCCATATATTGCTGAGTGGACATGGAAATACGACGACAGGGGATAGTGGCACAATCGAAAGTAATTATTTACCTGGTCGGAAGGCAAGGAGTAATTCGCGGAGGTGGGATTCTTGGAGGGCATTTGAGATAGCGAACGAGCCGTTCCATAGGAAAGCTTCAGCGCGGGCTACGCCCGTAGGGGACTAGCTAGTTTTCTACATGGCTCGCTTCCACAGTAAACTCCGGTTCATTCCTACTCACAGTTACGGCATAGAGTCTTGGGGAAAGGCAAGCAACCACGCCCGAGGAAGGCATGTGAAATAATGCCGCTGAACGGCGTTATATCACGTGTTTTACCCGATATTTCGCCAGAGCCAAGTTTCATAGAGTAAACAAAAAGGGACCAGAAACGGCCTCCCTGGTACGCTGAACAATGCAAGCTTTCGATAACCGGAGCGCACTCTGGTTATGGCACGTGCATGCCTAGACCAAAGTCTAGCCTCTTAAATTTCCTCATTGACCTGTAAGGTAATCATCCTTCCTAAACCCTCGACAAGCGGTATCCGAAGTATCAAATTTTTTTGTGAACAAGCTCAGCCACGCTGGCTGGAGACGATCTGTGATCAGTAACTAATGTATGAAAGCAAATTGAGGAAGGCTCGAGCTACGATGGCTACGCCTTTACCATACAAGACTTGACGCAACACCCTCAATTAACTCTACCTGAACAACTGCAGGACAGAGAGTAGCAGCACAAGGCTTCGGCCCTTTCACAGCGCCCTCAGATACCGAATCGGCCGTCCCAGATCTAAGCACAGAAGATGGGTGCTCCAAACAGAGCAGCCTCCACACACTTCACCAACGTATCTTAGCCGGCCCTTTCCCAAAAGGCTCGCCGTTGAACTTCACTCATACAAACTATCGTCTACTGATACATTACCTGGCTCGGGAACCATGTATCCGTTTGTTATCAAAGCTTTAGAGATGTGCAAAGAGGATAGAAGTTCCTCTTTCCCGTTGGCTAGGTCGACTGCGGTGGAGATGGCGTTTCTGATCTGGACGGTGTCACAGATGATACCCTCGTTTCACAAGGGGAACTTACCTGGCGGCCATTGAGCTGAACACTCGCGAAACGGTCCAAGTATTCCGCACTGATATCTGATGACTCCAGGTCGTCTTTGATCATTTTCAAAAACTGGATAATCACAGCCTTCCTTGCGCTTTTGTCGAGATCGTCATATTTCAACTTCAGGTGGATTCTATTGAGAATAGCGGCGTCAAAGTCATTCAGCATGTTCGTGGTTAAGAACAAGACTCCTTCAAAGAACTCCACTTTGCGGAGGAAAACCGCCACGAGGCGACTCCGGTCAAGACTGAGCTGGGAACGCTGTTGCAGGAACACGTCGGCTTCATCGAGCAAGAGAAGTGCACCCCAAGCTTTTGCAGTTTGGAAGATGCGATCGAGCTGTCCCTCCAACTCTGCAGCGTCGGTGCTCAATTCACCGGCGGAAATCTAGGAAGTCAGCGTTGTCTCCTCCCTGACAATTGGCAAGTTTTCCTACCGAGTACAGTGGTCGATGGAAGTGCTCGGAAAGCGCCTCTGCGGTGAATGTCTTTCCCACCCCGGGAGGGCCGCTAGTTCAGGTGAGTATACCGCGAACAACAAGAGCCACGAGGTCTTACTGTAGCAGCATAATGATCCCTCGTCCCTTTCCTTGAACAACATCGTCAAACGTCGGGGCACGGCGGCGAACTTGGCTGTCCTGAGTCGGCTGACCCAAGCGGTTCTTGGTAATGGCCAAAATGACCTCTTTCTTAGGCGAAGGAATCGTCAATGCAGTGAAGGGTAAGTCGGACCAGTCGATGGATCTTATATTTTCCACAGCATACTCGCCTGTACCAGTAAGTCATCTTCGGCCAGCAAAAGTACAGTAAGCAATCACCTAACTTACCCCAGAACTTGTCAGCGAGGCTGAATCCCATTACCGTGGGAGAGCAGATGAGGAGATCGTCTTCTTTCATCTCGCCTGGGATCGAGCCGTTACTCTTCACCCGCGGCGAGTTTGATTCTCTTGACGACACAAACAGGCTCACGTCGACCTCGAAGTCGGACTTTTTGGTGAAGAACCGCGGGTAACTGGGGATGCTCTTCCGAAATTGTTGGGCATCAATCATGATCCTTGAGTCAATTGTCTTTCGAACGATGCCGTCCTTATGCTGGAAGAAAGCGTGTCCTGTAAAACCCCGGTGGTGAGTGCCTATTAGCTCTATGAACTTCTGGCCACGGGTTGCAAGACTCTGCCTAATCTTCCCGTGGGTTGGATGAAAGCTGAGCGGAAATGAGTTCAGAGTGTGGATCTGTCTGGCTCCATGGAATTTTTCGATGGGAAGCTTAGCCTGGACCGTTCCAAATACTTTGCCGTCGAAATCGAGATACTGGCATTGCAGCTCGAAGTATTCCACACCTTGGTCGGTCTTTTTCTCCTCACCCATGTCGTATCTAAGGCATCTTAGCTTACCGCTTCCGGCACAGATTGAAATGACATGACTGTTGGCCTTGAAGAGAGCCCAGAGCAGGTCATAAGTGATTCTGCCCTCTTTCAGGAGTGGGACAAGACGCTCTGTGATAGACTTGTATCTGTCCCTGACGGTACGGATCAACAGATCAAGAGCGTTGACACGTTTACCACCTGTTGCTCGACTTCGAGCTTGATCTGCCCGATACGCTTCGAGCTCAGGAAGGTGGTGAAACAGTATGTTTTGCTCAATCTCGGGTGTTTGTCAGCTATAAGCAGCCTGCAACGTTATGCACATCGAACTAACAGTAGGTTTGTCTTCACCAAGGCTGAGCCATTTGATATCCTTGAGCACGATTCTCAAAATGTCCCGCAGGCCTTCCGATTTGATGTCGACGTACGCAATGGACTTGAGGCTCGTCCTGTCTATTACTGATGTCAGTCGATTTTCTAAGGGAAGGTCTGAAATACGCACCAATGCGAGTGCGAACCACAAAGACGTACGCATCCAGAGCAGTTAGTTCGGAAGTCGGAGGCGACTCGACAACTTTATACTGATACGCCTTGGAATCCCAGCTATACGGGCTTGTCAGGGGGACTGGACACTATGACTTTTGTGAGCTTACATTTCATGCACCTCCTTGACTTCAAGTTTTGAAGCTCTGGCGATTGGTTCAGAGACTTGGGCAGCGGGCTCAGCTTGAGGTCTAACGATTGGGACGGTGTCCTTGGAGTCGGATGTCTGAATGAGCTTTACCGTGTCAATAACTTGGCGGGCAAACTCAAGAGGATTGGATAGTTGAGTTGCTGGACTGTCCGGAGGAGTATCAGGACGGTCAGATCGTGAGGAATTACCCTGAGCATGCTTGCTCTGCTTCATGGCATTGGATGGTGCAGGCATCGTTGCACGGCTTCACAAGAAAAGTGCGAGGGTGAAAGAATGAAGAGGAAGAACTAGGCGGAGTCTCAAGGACACGGCGGAGAAAGATCGAGAAGAGACGAGGGAGAAGAGTGTCCATGGGCCAATATTTATGTGCCAGGTTGTCGTTACCTATGTTAGCTCGCTTCATATAAGTGATGGTATCAGATAGGCAAGTTTACACTGCAGCTCCTCCATTCCGGTTTGACAAAGACGCAGACTTCGCATGCAGACATGCTGGGAATCCCTGGCAAACTTATTCAATCCTGCAGAGAGGGATTCTCACACTGGAGTTCTTGTGTCAAGGAATGCACAAGCCCTAGATACGTGCTAACTAAAAGCCGTAGTAAGAACATATTTAAATGTCCTCCGGCAGTTACAACACCCTGTCTTATTTCAGCGTGCTCATTACCATCAGCATTACCGGACATCCGAAATGGTCCACGTCTCACAAGGTAACCCGGACCGATGAGGGAGTATCTAGCTACGTGCAGGATTACCACAGAAAGGACAAGTCCAACTAACAGAGGTAAACGAGAGCCGATGGCGCACTGGCGGATCCTCCAATACTCCTTGGACCACATTGGATTACCCTCCACACTCCATGTTTCCTTCTTCCATTTGAAATAGATGATTGTAAAGATTGAAAGTTCTGTACAACATATCTCCATTTTATCTGCCCTGGGAATATACCAAGGATGCCAGATAGGATCCAGAGTCTGTAGTTCTGTTAGAATCGAAATTCATAAGAGTAAGGGCACACAGAACACCTTATTTGCTATCTGGTCTCAGAAAACCCAGACGCTCCAGCGAATCTCGATCCAGAGGTTGCATAAAATCCATATTTCCAGACTGCGAAGTCGATCCAGCGCCGTCCTGAGGAGGTGGTTGCTTAGATTCTCCATTGCTGCCTGTAGTAGGCTGTTGAGGCTGAGCAGCTGGTGCCGTAGGTTCGCGAGTGACACTCACTGCAAAGCTCAATGTCGGTAGCATTTGAGGGTCGAATCTATTAATGAAGCCCATGCCGTTCTCTGTCGACGAATCAGTTGACCCAGTACCGTCTTGAGCTGCGGGACTTCCGTTGGACGCCGCTGGAAGGCCATTTTGGTCCTTGTTGGCTTGTTTAGGGGAGCCCATGGGGGATTCTCTGCGGTCTTCCGGCTGCGAAGTCAATTCACCGCTGTCCCGAGGAAGTGGTTGCTCATCATGGAAGAGCTGAGCCATGGCAAGGCCAGAGATGTCAAGAGTCTTGAGGAGAATTTGTTCGGGGTATATCAACGACCAATGTATTTGAATTCGAAAATCGCTCGAAATCTGCAGAACCTGACGTGTATTTCTTTGTCTCAATGTAGGGTGATCAGAACCAGTATGAATTGAGATGGGAAGGAGACTTGGTGATCCTGATTTCGAAGGAGAGGCCCTTCGGTGATCAAGGATAGAGTCGAAGGACCGGACAAGAGGGAAGCAAAGGGGATTTATAGACCACGCTCGGTTCCACCAGCACCAGGGACATGAGCCTGGTGAGACACTGTGAACTGTTCAGCTGCACATGGCTTTGGTTTCGTGCTAGCATTGGTCTGTGATACGTCGAGATGAGCTGCTCCTTCCTGGAATTTGCATGGTCACTCAACACGTCGTCGCTTAGTGGACAACACTTCATCCCACCAGCATCCGGGCCATGAGCTTGGAGAAACACTACAAACCGTATAGCTGCGCATGGCTTTGGTTTCATGGTTGTGAACTTTCCATAGTGTAGATGCAGGACTTCCGTGCATCCTGTATGCAACCATCACGAGAATCCATGATGGAAATGCACGTTAAGATCCTATCACAGTCCGATTCCAAGGTAAATGAGGCGCTCACATCATTTGTAAGAAGTTCCTGATATGCATGGCTGTGTTGTCCGCCAATACACGAGTCCGCCAACAAAGACGAAGAAAATGGAGCCAGATTTCTCTAGGTACCTTACCCTGTTTGTTCTCTTTGCCATGACACTGCATATTGCTGTCTATCGTTCACCCCACTGGATGTCTTCCTAATGGCAATGAAATTGGTTCGCATGCACCCTTAACAGTTCAGACAGGCAGTTGTTTCGTCCTCTAATGCGACAAGGGGCACTGCACGTTCCGGGCCGCCCATCTGGCCATCGATACGAATTGATGTATCAAAATGGATACAACGACTGACCATGATGGGGCCAACTCAGCGCGACGGGCATGAGCCGCAACCCACGTCGGCTGAAATGGCTTGACTTGCATGACTTTGCGTGTACGTCCTAGCGACCTTCATCCTTGAAATGCACCGTTCGGTCCTGCTGTTCCTCTCGTTAAGTCAAGATCGGTAGGCACAAAGCAAGGATTTGCATTGATTGTTCTTGGGGGAAAAACCACAATCCGACACCTACTCAAACTGAGACAAGAGACATAATACCTTTGAAGGCTCATACATTCGATGCAACTCTTTAGCATGTACCTCCGTCGGCGCAGATAAGAAGCTGCTTGCAGTAACGATGATACGGACGGAATGTGCACACCTCCTCCCATGCAGGCTTAGAAGACTTGGACAAGTCAGCGTTCAGCCAATTATAAAGTTCGCTTCGGTCTCAGGCGCTCGGTATCACGACCACGAATCAAGCACCGGCCAATATCTATCAAACTCCCTCTAGTGTCTATCAAACTTCCACTAGTTTATGTCAAACCTATTCCAGCTTCTATCAAACTCCCATTTCTATCACACTTCCACTTAATTCTATCAACCTCATTCTGCCTTCAATCAACATTCTGCAAACAACCATCGCAGTCATAAATAATTGCTACCAACCTCCCATTGGTTTCTATCGAAGTACGTCTAGCTTCCTCTGCACCGTCGGTAAGCTCAATTGCTGACTGATAACAGAATATTCATAGGTCAGAATATGGACCCCGGACTCGATAGCCAGCAAACGAGCGACGAGAGTGACGAGGTTGCAAAGACCTGTAAACTGCTCCACGCTACCATGAAGCGAATGAGGACGCGGGATCGTCTTTCAGGACGAAGTCCACGGCTTGTTCGCGAAGCTGTTGACATCTTGAAGACACCACAGACCGGCCGTGATAACCTCGTTTATCAGGAATTTTTGTGCGATGTCCTACATAATTGCGGACGAGGAGTCACGTTGTTATGTGCCGCCAGCCTCGGGAAATTCAGAGTGGTCCGGTTACAGGAGAAAGACAAGATCGGTTTGATCGATCACCTCAAGGACAATTTGATCAATTTTCAACATTCTTTTCTTGAGGCGCTTGCCAAAGCGCATGAGATTCCCTCTGCATATGGTCAGTTAGAGCTGATTTTCATTCATGGGAACAGACTAAGGTGCTGCAGATTTAGCGAAAGGGGTAGGAAAACATCAGTGTACGAAAATCCCCTCCCCCAAAACGCCAAAATGGCTGACCCGTTCAGACACACGGCCATATCGTACCGACGTACGCAACGAGGATCTCATAAAGTTTCTGCAAGACCATTCGACAGAATACCCGATCCTGGTAATAACCGCTGGGAAGAATGAAATGCCTTCAATTGAGTTATCGCTTGAAATGGGTCAAAATCTCATCATCCATATAATGGAAAGGGAAAAGGCGCGAATTGACCTTTCAACTCGAGCGGGGGCGAATATATAGGACCGTTGGTCTTCCGTAAAGCATACAGGATTGACCGTTGTGTATATCAATCTTAGCAAAACCAGAAGCACCATCTCCTGTGTTTATGCGTTGGGCTGGCTTGCCACCACCGGTTATCTGCACGAAGCCATTCTCGCTGCCCTTATCGACCACAACTCCGCAAACATCGGGCCATTTCTCATATATGAAATTATCTTCTCCAGTCGTTTCATCTGGATCCACCACAACATCTGCCCTGTCGCGCACCTAGCCATAAATCAGCAAAATTGTCGAGTGCGAGCACACTGACGCACTAGGTCTTGGGCCTTCTCTTTCAATCTTTTCTTGTCAGTGTCCTTCCTCGTCATGTCGAGCAAGCACAATATATTCCGAGAGTACAATCGGACTCGTGGTAGTTTGGATAAAGGCCGATGGGAGCTTGGTAGCTGCGCATGTATTTCCTTGCGGAGGCAGACCAGAAAAAGGCGCGGATCGTATCATGAATTGTGTCGCTTCGCAGGAATCGTCGAAGGCATTGTCCAAGATATAGATGCCGAGGAGCGAAGAGCGAGGGATTGCAAAAGCTCTGCTACGCTGTTTCCAGTAAATTGATTAGGCTGTTGATGCCCGACGAGATGTCGAGAAAGATTACTTGGTTGCCCCTCATGGACTCTTTTTCTGGTTGCTGGATATCACGTGTCAGTATTTGCACGTGGCGGAAATGAGCCCCTCACAAAATCCAAGCCCAAACTGTCAATTTTCTGCTGTGCGTGACTCGGCCCCAGCATCAAATCTCAAGCCCATAAAATTGAATGGAAGTGGCTCCAGCAAGCCCCTACGGGTGCAAAAGGAACTTTTGGTCTAAACTTCGTCGGAAGCAGCCACATGACCTTCTGCAGGAAGGTTCTCAGGATCAATTGAAGACGATGTTGGGTGCCAACCGTCATTCTCCGTATATCACGTATCATGGGGGCTTGGAGACGGGTGAGCGTTTCGTTCTTTCTTCCTCATTCGGAGAGGGCGTCTAGAAAGAGACGAAGACGTGGCCTAATGCGCTCCACAAGGTCATGCAGGTTAGACTCCCAATCCTCTGGGCTTTGGAGTCTGCCAGTCACGCACAAATTGAGTGGATAGCTTCCGTGTTCTTCTTGATCTGATGCTGGTCTCAAAGCTACATGTTGCTTACGACGCGTGACCTTTGAGACGCGGCAAGCTTCGTAGCGAACTGTCTATCACCGCAATCCTTAAACCAAGCTCACTGTGTCTGGAAACGCGTGGTTGCAACTTCAAATTTGTGGTAATCGTACCCAGTGACTTCCATGTGGCGTTAACTGCTGTGATCACCTTTAGATAGGGCCCTCTTCCTCGTGACCGAAAAAGTCGCTTTTGAAGTCACTCTCTTCCACCTCACTTGTTGCGGCCTTCAACCTGTCCATTTTCGTCTGTATCTGCTGCATGCGTGATAGTCTCCTCATTCCTCTTTCAGTTGAGCATACCGTTTCTTGTGGCTGCGTCGACTGGGACGTCTCGCCTGCTTCGCAAGAGGCGCTGCGCTATCAGCGGCCGTTTCCACGCAATGGTGCTCCTCTGCAAATGAGTTGACATATGGGAAATCTGCTATTGAAGTAGTGTCTATTCCTCGTGTCATGCCCTCTAAGGAAGAGAGACGCATTAGAGACGCAGTAACAAGCTCTCCGGGCACTGATCGCCTGTCATTTGGGATGGCAGATTGATAGTCCACTTGTTCGTCTCGTGTGTGTTCAACTGTGGATGTGTTTGTCGCGTCGCGCGAGGATTGTCTGACTGCCGTTTTCGGATAATACAATCTGTTGGATGACCGAGCCGTAGTGATTTTGAATCTCCTCGTTGGGTGGCTCGCTGGAAGGGGGTTGATACGGCTCGGCTTCTTCATCTCTCTTCCGTTTAGCAGTAGCTGGCATATTCCTGTCTTCGCAAGGATCTGCAGACACGTCCTCTAGCCATTTCTGAACCTTATCTCGATCAAATACCTCCCGAGCACCAGGGCCAGAGGCGTCAGATGCGTCTGACTCGTATTCTGATGACTCTCGATGTATCCATGGATGCATGTGAACTTTGCGCGTCTCATGTTCGTTACCCATATCAAGCCAGATGCCACCTTCCTCTGTCTCTTTGTGCCAATTGACAATGTTACGAGTAGCGTTCTCCGAAGCGTAATCACCATCATCGAGGAACCTCATTCAAGTTAGCCGCAGAGCCAACATGAAAATCGTTTACTTACTCCGATCGGAAGAGGCAAGGATTTCCTAAAGGCAGATCCTTGGCGGCCTGGAGACTGGCGCTCCGCCGTGGAAGTTGAAGGGACTGCGCAAGAATATCTTCATCTTCTTCCTCCTCCACAACCCAGAACATCTTGTAACTCTGAAGATAGTGATCGTGACAAAGATGAGTGCTCACCTCTAGGCTGAGGTTGTTCTTCTTGGTATATTCAAACGGCGGATAGGGCGTCTTCGGCTGGAATGCCAATTGGTTCACCAAGTATGTTACACGATATTCGTTAGCTCGTGGTATCGTCCCCTGCGGTCCGCGGGAAATGTAGTCGTACTGAATAAATGACTGCGGAATCCCAGTCCAAGTGGAAGCCGGGAGGTTAACAGATGAATACCCAAGAACAGCATTGTTGAGGATGTGCTCGGCCTGACCACACCAAATTGCAGCCAACCATAGTGGCGCTATAGTAGGTCTCTTCTGAATCATGAAATCTTCCAGGGACTTCATTTTTCCGCCCTCTGACAGAGCCTGGCGAGCTCCAAGGAGGTGGGCTCCAGCCAAAGTGCATGGCACTCCGGGCACTAGAAATGGACTGCACAAGATCGATTCGATACCTTCTTCGGCACAACTTAGGGTAATAGCTTTGTCCACCAAGAGATCAAACCTTTTGTGCCGAGATAAACCCCTGCCTGACTTGGCGGTCGGCAATGAGTACTTTGGGAGCTTGACGATCTTGTCGGGATATTGCGAAAGAAGGATGACCACACAGAGAGCAAGCGTAGCTTCTCTGTGCATGCTTTCGGTAGCACAAAAGTTTTCAAGTGCTTCTAGTGCCAAAACGGAGTTGGGGGGCCATTCTGGCAAGTCCACGCTATTATGTTTCTGTTAGCAGGGCATGAATATAAACTGGATTACGGACTTACTGAGAAGCTGAAGCATTCTTTGACCAAGACCAAGGGGCATGGTAGGTACTTCCGCCTCGATTAACTACAGCATGCCAGTCTCCCGCAAGAGTAGTCTCCCAAAAGTTGGACAAACTTGGCCGCGTCGGCTGCAGAAGTTGCGCATGTTGCCCGGCTATTGCAAGTCTCTCTACCCAGCGGCAAGAGAGAATATAACACCAAGCTCGTATTAAGCATGCCATATTCGGTGAAGCTCCCAACCCCAACGATAGTGTCGAGTTCAAGGTCCCCTCCTCATGGTCGTAGCTTATCGGCGTGGAGAGGCCCAATCTTGCGTAGTGAGTGAGACCTCTCACCTTCACATTACATGCTGAAGCCTTCGTTGTTCCCCATTCTGATTTACATTTCAGATGCAGCCACTCGCCATCGACCCACGAGAGCCTTTGCTTGGAATTAAAGAAGAAGGGTGGCACTCCCGTGAGAAGGTCGGACAAATATCGTTCAATGTCGAAATCTTGTGACTCGGTAGTCGGAACTGTCCAAAAGTTGTAGCTGTCAGTAGCGACAGCATAGAATTCTGCGCGGGTCGGACAAACGCGGTCCCCGGGATAGGGATCGTCCGGCTCTGCCCCCATCGCAGCACTGGGCCGCGTATTCGTAGGCGGCAATTTTTGCAGTTTTGGCAGTGCCTCAATATTGTATGCTCTGTTTCAAAAAGAACAGATTTTCACAGATTCTGAATTTGGACAGAGGGCGCGTAGAGGATGATGTCGACAAGGGAAAGACCTTTTGGCCGGGGGCCAAGCGTCACCATTAATTAGCTGCCAAGTCCGGCTTTCCAGTGGATCTTTCCAGTGGGGCACAACCAAACACGGCGCTTTACTCCAAGCTAGTCATCAGACTTTTCCCAGTGACCAGAGCCAGTCCCTACGCAAGTTCAATCTGAAACTACAAAAGCTGCTCTATATGAATAACTGCGTCAACATGTGACATGACTATACGCAACGGTCGTAGCTTCAAAGTCACTTGCAAAAGTAGCCTGGACGCAGATAAGGCTTGCTCGCGGCTGTATAAAGCGGTGAGACATGGGCAGGGAATTTGTCGAATCTGTTCTTTCTATCCTTCATTTCATCCTTGCGGAAAAGTCAAGACTCCAGAAGTACGGCATCTATATCCATTGCAAGAGCCAACAGGTCCGAGCCCTAAGGTACGTTACTTAACACTATTTCTCTCTCAAATAAATAAGTCTTTTTAGTATGTCGACGAGTTCTGGCAGACCTGGATTCTGTGGCAATCGTGCTTGTCGCCATGCCAATAACGAACATACAATCCGAAGGTGTCGGGGCCCGGGGTGTCGAGTCGAATGGAAACGCTGCCAAGTGTCAGGTCGGTGCAATGGAGAGCATTGGAGGATTTGCAAGACCTGCCCAAATCATCCAGGGGCCAGCCCGTTCTAGAGAGAAGCCTTGATCCCGACTACTCGGCAGGGGTTGTAGTGCGCCTTCGACTGTGTCCCTGGGCAGGAGGTGGGTGGGGAAGGGGAGAGGAAAAGAAAGGCAACGCTAACCGCCGCTGCGGTCCCTGGACAAGAGCAGCCGGGGGTTGGTCATCGGTGTCCAGCGACTTTGCCATGGATCTGCCTTGCACTTAAGAACAGACACCCAAGCCTCGGTTTTGGGCGGCAGGAAGAGAGGGAAGAGTTTGGGGCTAGCTGTCAAAGCGGTAGGCCACTAATATCTGCGAATGAGATGTCAAGTCCGAAATCCAAACATTGCCAGAGAACTCCAACTATCATTCTTTCGCCTTAGCTCGTGTTCGACGTGTCCTCTTTCGGTCACGTCTGCCTACAGGGGCCCGCTGCGTCTTTTGCTCCCCAACGTTAGGACAGGGCACAGGACGTTGCTGATTCATATTTGAGTGCCTTTCAAATTCTCGAAGCGTCCAATCGAACACATGGTCATACTCGAAACCTTTGCGGCGAAAGAGGCGACCGAATAAGCTCCGGAGGTACCTGTAATCGGGCTTATCCCCGCCCAATCCACGAACGTAGCTCATGTAGGTAGTAAACTCCGCAGGCAGACCCCGGCATAGTTCAATTACCTTGATCGTCTGCTTCCGCTCGAAGACAAGCCTGTATCTTTCCTGCCGAGTCGCGGCCTTCAGACCTTGCCAGGGAAGGGACCCATGAAGAAAATACAAGGCCATATACCCCAGCGACTCAAGGTCGTCACGCCATGATGGAGCTGTAGGAGGCCGAGTTTTAGTCGTTGAATCAACGATGGGATACATTCACGTCACTTACCGATGTTCAAATGGCCATTGACACTGGCATAGCGGCAGGTGCCGACCAAGGAAATCCGGGGACTGGCTGCAGGCTTGTAACTCATGGCTTGGTCGTGTGAGTCCATCCGATATGTGGCGAGTCCAAAATCGGTCATGTAGACAATGTTGCCGTGCTTACCGGTGCCCAGTAGAAAGTTTTCAGGCTTGATGTCGCGATGGAGATATCCCGCCGCGTGGAGACTTTCAACCCGATGGAGGAATTGATCCATCAGCATCAACGTCGTCTTCAGTGAGAATTTGTTGTCACAGTATCGAAAGAGATCCTCCAGATTGGGCCCCAGAAGTTCAAACACCACCACCTGGAAATCACAGTGGTAGCCGTGCCAGAACACTCGAGGGATGCCGGGTTGTCCAATCAATTCCTCATAGATCTCGATCTCTTGGCGGAGGAGTGATGGTGCAATCGAACGGTGCTCGAGTTTGATAGCCACCACATCACCCGTAGGAACATCGCGCCCTGCGTGGATCAGTCATAATCAATGTTCATCGTGTCTCTGAGGACTATCGTACCAATGTATACTTTTCCAAACGAGCCTGATCCTATACGTCGACAAATTTGGTAACGCCCACCCAGGCGTATTTCGAGAAAGTGTTGAATAAATGGGTCGTCCATCGTAGGGTGAGCATCAGAGAAATTACCGCCAGGACCCCATTCACAGCAAAAAGTTGTGCCGTTGCATCGTACTCGGCTAACCTTCCTTCTTCATTGAGCACAGTATTTGGCCCCCAAGGGCTGCCTGCGCAGACGACTTCGCAACTTGATACCGCGCCCTTCATGTCCAATCATGCTTGCAACCGCTCCACCACATGAGTTCGAATAAAGGCGCTACTGCGGGTGTTGAATGCTCCGACGTCGTCAGCCAATTGATTACTGCTTCGACGCGCCATCTGTGACATTGTCTGCACCGTTTGCAGACTGAACAACAACCCCTCAATCCGGCCACCGCGGCCTACTTTATTCCTCACCCGGTTTCTCAACCGCTACACTTGACGCACCATGTTTGTCCTCAACGAAGACCTTCCTTCGAAGAAGCGGCGACGAGATACTCTCGAATCTCTTCCTAAGGACTCCCCTGAGGACTCTCCCTCGCCGAAGAGAAAGAAACGCACATCAGAAGCCGAAACATACCGGTGGCACCGTACTCCAAGCTTCTGGAATCGGCTCTCCAAGGTCCATCTGACTCGAGGAGCGTTGAGAGAGTTCGACCGCAGGACTCTGAAGACCGAACAACCAGTACAACCAGTGTTGACACCCCAATCCGGCATCAACACTTCAGGGCCTGGGACCAAAAGCGCGAAGCGATTTTCACGACACGGCGGACCTGATTTAACCCATATTCGAGGAGTGAGTTCCGTTCGTGTGCCCGTTTCGAGTCCAATACTAACAGAATGCTCTTGTAGTTTGCCATTCTAGCTGACCAGGACGCCATGAGTCAATCCAATTCAAGCCGAAAGCGTTCGTCTGCATCCGGCGGCAGTGGTGCAACCAGCAAGACCGGCAAATCTTCTTACGATCCCAATTTCGAGCAGAACTTGATCGATGGTGGTATTTATCCTGAAGGATACGAACCAGACGACACCCATCCCCCCCTTGAACCAGGAAATATGGACGATATACAAACCACTATGCGTGCGCCTCGGGCATCGCTTTCACCATCTCGATTTACCCACGCTGACTTTCAAGAGTTTAAGAGAAAAGTTAAAAGAGCAGGCGATGAAGCGACTGCACGGGCCGAAATCATGTCCATCATTGCTGGCGATTCGAGAAGAAATCATTATTCCGCATCCGACCGCCAATTCAATCACCTAGAGCCGCTCGCCGACGACCTGCCAAAGCCCGTACCAGACTTGTATGACGGCGCTTATCCCCAACAAATCGATCGGAGTGTCCGCCGTGATCTCGGAAAGCACATTGTCCCATCCAACAACACCTCTCTGCCGGCGGCACCAAACTTTTTCCTGGAGGGAAAGAGTGAGGGTGGCCGTGCTGACGTCGCAAAGCGGCAAGCCTGTCACGATGGGGCAGTCGGCGCCAGGGCGATGCACAGTCTGCAGAATTACAAATCGGCAGAACCCACATATGATGGCAACGCCTACAGCTACTCAAACACTTACCACCAAGGCACCGCAACGCTGCAGCTCTATACTCACCATCTGACCGCGCCCAAGGCCCCTGGAGAACCTCCCGAGTGTCATATGAGTCAACTGAAGGGATTTCAAATGACCAGCGACAGGGAAACATTTGTGAAGGGAGCCGGTGGTTTACGCAACAACCGAGATCGGGCCAAAACCGATCGAGACAATCTCATTGACCACGCAAACCAGATAGCCCGACGCGCACCTGCGGTTACTCCGTCAACCACGTCCACGGACAGCCGTACGTCTCTATCAATGCTTCAAGAAGACGAATCCGATACTTCTACTGATGAGTTCGCCGCCGAGCAAATGACTGCCAAACGTACGAGACATGCTGCTCTGGAGAAATCAAGGCACCCTGCTATGACACCCACAGCAGCGCCCTACTCAACCACGCGTCTCAGTCATGAGTCTACGATATCTCGGCAGGCCATGACAAGTGCACAATATGTGCAATCTAGTGCACGTTCACGGCACCCCACTGAAGATGGAAAAAATCGGAGGCAAATCAGGCCAACACAGAAGGTCCTGGAGAACACTGATACTGGATTTCGGGATCGGAGACGATAATGTGGCTATGAAGTTTTTCCAGAATTGATCCATTTAGGCAACCTCGGCCTTCCACTGAAAGACCAGTTAGTGTGCACTTAGGGGCCTTCAATTTGGGGACATCGTATAACTCGTTCCAGTTGCGCTGCCTGACTAAAAAGGAACCAGCATATCCTCACTACTTCGTGGTCTGCCACTTGACCACAGCCTTCTGCAGTTCCTGGTGGCCATACCTTGTCATGAACAGCTCATCGCATCGTTGCCGTAGTTCTTCGCCAACAATGTTCTTCATCGAGCTAAGCGATGACTTCCATGTGACAAGGCACTGGATGGAACCATCCTCCCCGAGATAGACATCCTCAATGTCCGCCACCTTGCCAGCCACTCCCCACGTAACGGAATCCAGGGGAGCGAAAGGAGCCAGTTTCTTTCTGCGTCGATCCGATGAGATCTGGGACCTCTTGGGGTTTCGGCGTCAGGTCATCTTCAAAGTCTTGATGGACGTCAGTCAATCCAGTACAAACTTGAATAGCTCACTTGGGTCAAAGGAGAGATACCCAATCCAGCAGCAAGGAGACGCCTTTTTGTGACAGGGTTTGGCTCATTGTCTTCGAAGGCTCCGGCGACCTCTTGCGCTTCTTAGATAGCCGCTCTCTTTGAATGCCTGCATTCGCAACACGCGACTGGCAGTTCTCCACGACCTGCAAAGGCTCTCTGGCCAAAGGAGTGTTGGAGTTGTGACCAAGCCATTCGAAAACTCTTCATCGAGTAAAATCTTCACAGTGATTAACTTAGGTATCACGGTAGCTTCGCCTTTTTCAAACCCGAAAGGATCACGTGGCAGTGAGCTGGTGTGAACAACATGTCCGCGCACCAGGGAAATCATTTGGGAACCCTGGCAGGACTAGTCCACGTACAGACAGGAGCACGACCAATAAAAGCACGTGATTTGCATGTGAATATCGGTTCTGCAAACATGTCCCCGGAAGTTGGGCCCTTCCGAAGGTGATCCCTACGCTAGGTGCTTGGGCCGCTCAGTGCACGCTTCAGAACCCGCCAAGCCGTCCTCAGAAGTGCACTGGCACCCACTCTCTGTCGCTCGCCCAGTGCTCGAGCGCGCCTCTGCCTCTTCGATTCTGCGTCACGTTCCAAATTATCTTCACGCTGCTCAACACCAAGCTGTGGATCTGCAGAATTTACACTCAACCTAGACTCAATAATGCCCCAACTACGTTGGCTCGACACCCTCCCTTCTTCTGGAAAGTCCTTGACCTATATTGTGTAAATTCTTGATCTCTTGGAGACGTCCCGACATTGTAAAGCAACCTGCAAATTCCCGGTCCAATTGTACATATTGGGGTCCCATCTCCCAAAACGCAAATATGTCTTCAGCGATCATCCGAGTGTTCAGCGGGTATTGAATCGAAATTCAAGAGAAATTCTCAGTATGAGTACCGTCCTCGAGAGCGTGGTCAGTCGTAGTTAGATTAACTAAGAATGACAGCGATGTCGCATCTCAGTTCGCGGTTTAATGACTCGAGTAGCTTCGATGCGTTTTCGACTTGTTGTGAACATCTCTGTAAATAGGCTTGAAAATAGTCTCTTGTCGATGTCGACTTCTGTATTTCCTGTCGAAGTTGTTCGATCTCTCGATCCTTTCGATCTGCTTCCTCTTGAGCGTGTGTGGCCTGATCGTGCAATAATAGCACCTCTTTGGAGAGCTTTTGGTTTTCAATTTGCAATTGCTCAGTTGTGAGAAGTGGTCCGAGCTCTGGTTCTGACGACCGTGGGCGCTACGGACATAGAGTCAGCCTCTGGCTTAGAAAATAATAGACGGTGCTTTGCCGGACTTCATCATCGCTCGTTGCCCCTTCGTCAAGCCCTCCAGATTCATCTTGTGCTACTGCTATGATAGACTTTTTAACTTCGATCTCCCGGCATAGAATCTTATAGACCCCAATTGACTGATCGCTCATATTTTTAGTAAATAGTTTTTGAAGACGTGGAGGATATTTCCAACGGTATGGATCGTTGCTCGTTGGAACCAGGCGAACTTGTGACGGCTCTATATGCAATCCTAGCTTTTGTTCTGTAATTGTTAGAAGCTTTTCAGATCATAATTGGCATCTGATCTCACCGAGATGGTTTGATAACATACAACGGCATTTGCTTCTCCATCTTGCGCGGTCTTCATTATTCCGACGAGCGGGCATTCCCGGAAAGCCGACAGCGGTTCGAGCCAATTCTCAGTCTCGTTGAGAATATTATGCTCCGACACTGTACAGTAAACTAGTTACATTATATTGCAATCAACAATATGGGGGGAACAAAAGCAGAAGTAAGGGGGATCAGAATAGGATCTCATTTATCTCTTCTCTACATAGGAGCCCGAATCGGAGCCTAAGAGAACAAAGGGGACCCGAAAAGGCTGCTCGACGTTTACCTCAATGTCCACATGTTCTTGCCGCATTGGCCCTCGCAATCTGGCCATGTCCCGGATTTGTGCATAGAGTGAAATTAAGAGATTGAGCGCTATTCTGTGGGCAGCGCGGAAGCGTTTCCATTCGCGTCCTGTCTGAAGCAGAGGACAGCGGATGAGAGATCTTTACTGGGAGAGAAAAATCAACCTCTCGCTGTTGATGAGGCCGTTTTGTCGAAATCTAGGTCACCATCGTTTCAGCAACTGGTCGCAGCCAGGATGGAGCGAGTCATTGGAAGACATATCAAGTGGACGGAGACGAGGCACCAAACGGGTCCTAACATGGCTTTCGGAACTACCAAAAGTGCGGATCCAGTACCACGAGAAAGTCAAAGAAAGCCGAAGGAACCTCGTCGATGACGGGTAAAATATCATGCTTAAGCATTTTAGAACTCGTAGATTCCTCATCTTCAATGTAAGGAGTACAGGGCCTTTTTAGGGATAAAGAATTCAGACCCTATGCTGGTGAGATTGAAGACGATATTTGTCTTCATTGGTTTGGTAGGGGAGTTGCGAGTCACCGAACTCCGCAGTGTACCTGCAGTCAAGGGAGGCATGAGGCGTCTCGGCGCCTAGATCAACTGCCGCTCTCTCGCACCGCCAGTCCCAAGGTTAGGCAGCAGCGTAAGGGCGGGCGATTTGCCAGGTCCCCTGGCGCCCGTCTGAAACAGATGCACAGTCGAGAGGCAGGTTTAGCCGATTACGAGGGGCCTGATTAGGCACTCGGTGTGGTGCTCAGGGAGCGCTCCCGGAGCGCTCAGTGATGCTCAGCCAAAGGCTCAGGTAAAGCTCAGGTTAAAGCGGCCTTCGCTCACCCACTAGGATCAAACCGTATATGGCAATTAGGTTTTTCATTCTCGAGTAATAGAGGTACTAGGTATTATATGTATTATGATGTTTATCCACTTGGACATCGCAGATTTGACATGTGATAATAATGCCAACCAGCACAGTACACCCCTCCTAATTTCCTACCTCCCTGCATGCCTGGCACCATATCAACCAACCAACCAAATGTCGTGATCGCTGGCCTTTTTGACTGGACGGGTTGAGAGCCGTATGATGTAATATGGATGGCCACCTTATCTCAATAGGAACAAGCAAATCAATTCAACCAAGGCACGGCGAACTGGAAATTCATTGTATTATTTTAGATATGGCAAACATAGATCGATGATATACATGTATGTTATCTATCTCGATTTACTTCAACTGTATTTGATTTTTGATTTGGTTGTTCATTATAATTGCGGTTATCCTAGACAGATATCACTTCATTTGCGACCATGACAGCGATATCAATCCAATTGGCGGAGGAGTCATTGGGCTCGTTGCATAAACAACACTCTGACAACTCCAACCCAACTAGTTTTCTATCCCTACCGACGAGATATGAAATTGATGTCAGCGACAAGGCAGAGCTTATAACGAGAAACACAACAGCTACTAACGATGAGGAGTTGTCGCATCAAGACATCAAATCATCCGCTGGAGCTGGAACTGTTCTAGTGGCAAAGATATGTGATGCCTTGACTCGTTATATCAACGATAATGGGGACTGCAGGTACAACGAGGAAACGGTGCGCAAAGTTGGGATGTTGGTGGGAAAGAATACCTTGACGGTTGAGTCGACGCAGCTGGATTCGATCAACGATAGCACAGACGACCTTGGAAAAGAAGACAAAATGAATCAAACAGTGGCAGCGATGTTGAACGGAATTCTAGACCACAAAGTTACTCGGACGAGGTCCGTTCATTTTAATTCTAACGAGCCTGTGCTTCTGGTCAATGGGAGCAGCGACATCTCATTATCAGACCTCATGGATGCCATCGATGCGGCAACTGTACAAGTACAGCAGGGTCGTGGTATCTGGCCTGTTCGTGTCTATGGAGGGAGATTCTGGCCCGTGCAGGGAGGCGGATTCTCTATTTCTCTGTTGAACGTGGTCAATACCGACATCGGGGGACCCAGTATGGTGCAGCTTCTGGATGAACATTGTGATGCCCCCGAGTGGAATGGATTTCTCCGGCATGATGTTTGGCGTGGGAGGGATTTGGTCTCGAGAGAAGAAAGAGCCCACTGGGGATCTGGCGGTCAACAAATCCACGATGATGATGATGGTTCTGAGCACTCGATGCACAGTGAGGATTCGACGTCAACGCACCAGGAGGACTATCTGGATGACAATGCCGAGTCGATGGCAAAGTTTCAGGAAGGTTCGAGGCAGTCCGAGCCGGAATTTGAGCCAATTGATCAACATAACATTCCAGTGGCAGCCATGGCTGAACCTGCGACAGCACTCGATATATTGCCCCATGAGGGCGGGGAGACCGACACTCCTGATCCTGCCGAGCCCGAGCATAACATATCGGTGCCACAGGAGTTGAATGTCCCCGAACGGACAATCGGGTATCCAACATGGGATCGTCGTCATGACAGTGTATCTCTGATCGATCTCATCCGGTCTCAAGCGCTGGACTCATCACCTCTGGATTTGGAGGAGAGCGGAGCGGAGGCAGAACAGGATGAGACTGCGAGAGAGCAGCCGCTGCCACCAGAGTCGGTGTCGAAAGACGAAGACGAGTTTGTCTTGATATGAGTTTCATAAGAACATAGTCGCAAAGTCGACATTGATAGTTCTCAGCCAGCGTGTAATGCAATCCAAACATCCTGTTTTCAGTCACTCGCTGACCTGCTGCGACTTCTGCTGTATGATTTCGAGCTTCTCCGTCTAGGACTTTGGCCGTTCTCGCTGGCGGTGCCGTTCCGGTCCGCATCTTCCATGACCTCGTCATATTCACCCTCGTTTTGATCACCGTCCCCTTCCTCCTCTTCCATGGCATCCAACTCGGCCTGCAGTGGACTGACTCGTTCTTCCAACTGATCAAGATCCTCCAACAACTGCCTGGCAGGCAGTTTCCATAAACTGGTACCGCACACACGTTCCTTTGTCAAGAGATTATCGACAAACTCATCCATGTGCACTAGGACATAGGCTTCTTTCCTCCTTTGGCGCAGTTTCCTCGAATCTTCCAAGAAAGGCTCTAAGGTCTTGTAGACCATGGGAGGGTCGAAGGTGAGGCGGACGTAGAAGGCAGCCAGAGCTCGAAGGTACTTCCACTCTTCACCACCAACGTTGAGATACTCGAGAATGATCTCGCGATCGGGAACAAGGGTCAATAGTTTGAAAGCCAGGCAGATGAATGGGGTCGGTTTCATCGCCACGCCGTATGTGCCGCCAATATGTGTGAGTTCCACCGCACGGTCGCATAATGTCGCAGCGTTGAGTCCGAAGCATTGCTCTTTCCAGTACAGCGAATCTGTTATCCGATCACGCATAGCCGTCTCAAGGAGGAGGGCTGGGTTCTGGCCCCGAATTAACGGTCCTGAGTAACCCCGATTGTCGAGCGTATTCGAGGCATCGGCGCGGTGAGACATTGTGCGAGAGAGGAGGGGGGGCTCGAATAGGGAAAGAGACAGGGTACGGTGACTTCTAGTCACCTCCCACTCGAAAGGTGGTCGCTATAGTATTCGCTATGGTTGCGCTGTGGTTGTGATGATCTTTGGCTGTCTCTCATTTGAAAGTTTTGGGCAGGTTGCACGTGATCTCGTGATTCTCCGCGTTGCAAGCGTTGTGATCGACGTCATTGTGCCAAGAATTTGGTTGCCCTTCGAGACGCCAAAGTAAACATTTGACGAGGCTGATCCATTGTCGCTGCAGACAATTTGCATGCACCAAAAAGTTACACGAGTTGACCTGAACGAAGACAGCCAAAGTCGTACATTCGAGTGCTTATTGAAATCTGCACGTTTGACATATCCTTCGCACCTACACAGCAATATTTATCCTTAACCTCACCCAGACCGCAAGTCCCACCCGGTCTGTGGTCATACCGGACCAGAGATTGGCCCCTGCTCAAAGATCGAGGGAGTACGGAGTGCAGAGATGGTCCTCCTCACCTCAGGAACAGTGTCGGTCATCATATCTAGTGGAGTGATCTGCACATTTACATTCTTGCTCTTTCTGTGTGGATATGTCCTACAACAGCAAAGTGTCCGATCACTACAAGAGGCCATACGGCAACCGCCAGAGAGAAAACCAGTACCGACTCTCCCCGCGAAGTTCCGACATCCCCAGAATGAATTGTTCGAGGCTGTTGTTGGAGAGAACATTGATGGGTCGATGGAGTCGACAATTGTCAATGAGATAATGGGGCCTCGAGGCTCGAAACCTGGCGATAACATCCAGGTCCCCGTTGATGTGGACGACCAAGGCCTGCGGAGAGTGAAGCAGTCTCTGATATCAGAGGATGGATCCTCTTTTGAAAGATTGGCATACTTCTTTGCTCTGCAGGAGCCATCGGACCTGTGCTCTGCCCTGTATTTCGCAGATTTGCATCGGAATGCGTCCAACCTCTCCATTCCACCATCCTTGGTTCTGCTGTACCCCGCAACGTGGGAATCATCTGGGAGCGTTCTTCACACATCGATCCTCTCATTCATGAGGACAATTCAGGAATCTCAAGATCTCATCTACCATCCAGTTCCCATCGACGAAAGGCTCGGAGTGAAGGCTCAGTTGTTGGGCGAGTTACAATGGACGCGGTGGAGTTATGACCGAGGAATGTACCTACGCTTACCTGGTATGGCGATTGACATTCAGTTGTTGGATGACGCATTACGTCAATCCGAGTATAGAAAAGCTTGGGGGGCAGTTCATGGAGCTGGCAGACTTGACCCAGAGATTCTTCTGTATACGCCACAGGGGTTGAAGACTCCAAGGAAGGATGTGCAACCACTTGCAGCATCACCCATAACACCAAAAACTTTCGAGGACCAAGTATATCTTGAGTCGCAGGTCAAGAGTGCTGGATATGTGCTGCTGGACCAGTATACATCTGAATCTGCATCGGAGATAGACCCTTGGCTAAGGAATATTGTCGGAGAATACGATCGGGGTCGAAAGGGGGTATGCGCTGGGAGTAATCTGTTGCACGGCATTGACTGATGATTTGCCTGGTTTGATAAGGAGGAAGGATCTCCTGACATCTTAGCACTGAACGATATGAATGAAAGCAAACTGGAATTGTGATGGGACGATTAGGCGTTCTCAGAAGGCAGACTCTGCGTATGTGGTTCTGTCCGCTTAATTGTAGACGATTGATCACCTGGGAACAGCATCATCTTGGCTGGGATCTGTGGCAAGTTTAGCCCTGAAAGCTTTCGCAGATAACCATCCCTGAAGTAGCGAGGTCATGTACTGCCACATGACAGCTGCTAGTAACAGCAACCCTATTCCCAAACATGATCTGGCGGACAGCGTGTCTCCACGTGTTCCTTCATCCGCCAGCTTTTCGGCGCATCTTGCGAGGTCTGTTTGGTAATTCTTAAATGCAAGAATCTTGCAGGAGTCATAAAAGTTTGATCGATCTTGTCGAGAATATTTCAGGTATGGAACAACGACGGTGGAGAATATCAGGAGTGAAGTAAGCCGGATGGACTTTTCTAGAGAAAGCGTGGAGAAGCATCGTCTGAGAGATTCAAATCTCAACATCGTGTGTGGTGAGGTTGGTGAACAATGTCGTTGGTTGGAACTCGCTGTTGCACAAGGTCGACGCTGAAGGCCATGCAGGATATCACACTGTTCTGTAGTCTCGGACGATATCTCTATGGCCGAGGAGGGCTGCGGAGTATCTGTACTCACTCGTACTTTAACAATGACGCGCATCTGTGAAGATAGGAGATGAGGTAGGATGGGTAGGGCATAGAGTAGAATTATCCGTACAAGGAGAAGAGCGCAGATGGGAGTCCAGATGTTGTAGCCTGGTGTCTGGACGCACCTTCGCACCTTCCGATCGAGAAGCTGGTTGGGTTCCTTCCTCCTCACCTGATGCTACTGCTCTGGAACTGGTTCGCAACTTCCATCCAGGTAACTGCCAGGTTGCTGCCATGACTGGTACCCACAGCGCAGGGAGAACGTCCTAGGGAAGCAGTCAGCATAGAGCGCATGAAATATAACCGACAGAGGTAAGAAAGTCGTGGATTACTATTCATTGAAAGGTTGCCGAATATTGCCGATGCTATTGAATAATTAATTCCAAATGCCTACAGAACTGGGGAAAAGGTAAGGAATTATCTGTTTGGTGGATGCGAAATACTGGAGAACAGAATCCACCCTCAAAATGCATAATATTGTAACGAGTGTTGATGCGATTCCAAATCACAAGAATTTTAGTAGTAGCTTATATATGTCAAGACTTGAGATGTTAAAGCGCCATAAGTACGGCCGAGATGGTGGACAAAATCTGAGTTCGAGGGCCCCTCCGGCATGTTGAACACGGCCGTAGGTGCACTGGCACCCCTCCTTAGGAGATTTTTGCTTTGCCGTATTGCACGACGTCGACGTGGGTGCACGGTGGATCTGACCCCATTTTATTCTTTTCACTATGACCTCGAGGTTCTAGCACAATACAACATTCTCCGTGATCTGCATCATGCACACCAAGAAGCAAGTTGGTTAACCATGCAAGGAGTGAATCTGGGAGACTAAGGAGGTGTGGTGGATAAGTACCAGGAAGCTGCTTATCTACATTCTGGCAGGCAAATGCGCGGTAGACTGGAAGGGGTAGTAGCACTTGGGCCCTCAGGCCTCACTGAGCGCCCAGACGCAACCTCGCGGAGGCACCAAGTGCCTAAAAGAGAATCGTGTTCATGCCTATCGACTCCCCGTTATAGGCGACTTGTTGCCTATGGGGACCTTGATGACTCAGAGCCTACTAAATTAAGCGAACCTTCTTGGTGCAGGCTGCTTTTGTTCTCATCACTACTTGGCGACTGAACCACAAGAGCGTGAGTTGCTGAATCACCCGCTACAAGTAGGACTCTTGCCATAATGAGATTTTTGGCGTCCACTTAGGTATCAAGTACCAGGGATCATGACAGATAGTCGTATTCGTTAGGCTTGGACTCGCCGAGGCATCGAATTGATTTGTGCGCATCCGACGCTAGGGATTCCATGGCCGAGGAATTAGCAGGAGCTCTGGGCACATGCAAGTCGATTTGAATTACTGACCACAACCACTTTGACCATGACGTCTACAATCCCCTGCGCTCTCGTATTGTCGCCATCACCAAAGCAAACATGTCGACAAGGTTCAAAGCTCGTCGTATTGTGAGTCTGACTAACCTCTTCTCTCGTATCTAAACAGTATATATTCTCTTGTTGACAAACCTCCATGATTCTTCTCCTCTCTGCCAGACCATCAGCCTCCTCTCAATTGATCCTTGCAAGCCTTCAAGCACGACCGCTCTTCGTCCATCCATCCCGTTTTCCACCCTTTCACACTTTCAAAACCCTCACAATGTCTACATCCAAATCTGCCGCTTCCTTGATCCCCACTGACCCAGCCAAGGTCATGGTCATTCGCGATGTCACGCCGACCATCACAACCCTCAGCGTTCCCTTTGCGCGCTTTGGCCGCATAAAGTTGGGAGGGAGAGCAACTCTAGTGAAGATGCAAAGTGGCAATGTCGCAGTCTTCTCTCCTGTAGCACTCACACCAGATGTCAAGGCAAAAGTCAAGTCCTTGGGCCCTGTCAAATACATTGTCGCACCCGACATTGAACACCACATCTTCATCTCCACCTGGGTTCAGGAATACCCTGACGCAGAAGTCATTGGACCTGAAGGTCTGCCAGAAAAGAGAGAACAAGATCCGGCCACAAAGGGCACCAAATTTGCCCACGTCTTCTCAGCCAAGAACAAACTTGACCTGAAGATCTCCCCCGAGTTCGACCAGGAATTCTCCACCGAATTCTTCCATTCTCATGTTAACAAGGAGCTCGTCTTCCTGCACAAGCCCACCAAGACCATGATTGAGGCTGATCTTTTGTTCAATCTTCCTGCCACTGAACAGTACTCAAAGACAGGCCTAGACCCCCGCTCAGGATTCTTGACCAAACTCTTCGTCGGCATCCAAAACACAAAGGGCAACATGACCTGGCAGAAACGTTTCCTTTGGTATGGAGCTAGCAGTAAGGATCGAGCTGGCTTCACCGAGTCTGTCAAGAGAATCAACACCTGGGACTATGACCGAATCATTCCTTGTCACGGAGAGGTGATCGAGACTGGCGGCAAGGCCACGATGAACACTGCGACTGAATGGTTTACCGCCCAGAAATAATGGTCGCAGGTTGCAGTTGGGTGCTAATTTCGTTGAGTTGAGATACCCAAAAGATTCGGTTGAAGAAGCGGGCATTGTTTATTGTCGTGGGGTTGGAGTTTTATCGGTAGAACATTCACACCTGTTACATAATATAATAATTCATCACTTACAGTTATCAAGACTCATTATCCTGCTCGAAGCTCTTCTGCCGTGTCATTGCCATGATATTCAATGGGTCAGGTGACAGCGCAGTCAGTTTAGGTGATCTGTGGATAGGAAAGCGCGACCAAGGCTGTATCAGAGCTGCTCTTTCCTTGTTCGCAAGGCTCTTGAAATCTGTCTCGACTTCACATTTTCAGCTTGTTGTCTTCTGGCCACGACAGTGTCTCCTCATCACTTCGCCACGTCACCATCTTGCATTGACCCACCTAACGCTTGTCTCGAGAAACCTGTGTACAGAGTGCCGTCGTCCTCTTCTCGCGTTGTTCCTGTCACTTCGACTAAACCATGTCCTCGAGGGCGACGATGAGTGTGAACAACCCCGAAAGGTCTGGCGCATCTTAGGAATTCAAGCTGCATCAACACAGAAGACAGAGTCCACAAACAAAGAGACAGGGGAAGACATCAAGCCTCTCGACAAGAAAGCAGGTGAATGATTCTGGAGATGAAACTCGAACCGCTACAGGCACCATCACAGGAATCATCACAGGAACCACTTGGGAACGGGTGGGGTGAGATTTGTAGCCATCTGCAAGTAGGTGCTGATCATCTCAACATTCGATCGAAGATGCTTATGGACCACCAGTGACAGACAACCTATACAACGGACAAATCAAACACTCGATATCGTCTCAGCCTTGCGGCATGACTTCTTCTCTCCAATTCATGGGGTTACGTCATTTCCCCTGGGATCTACGTCGCTTTGAGCCAAGCGTGGCACGCGTGGCCAAGTTTTGACGCCTCCGAACATCCTCCAGGCTGTGTCCAACCTCTTCTCTTTGCCAATTTCCACTTTCAAGGATTGCCAACAGACAACCACCACCCACCGCCGTTGGACATAAACTTGTTTGGGCATCCAGCAAGCCTTGTCCGCTGTCTCCAATGACGTATTGCCATGTCTTTCATCTTCGTGTCGTCGGCCACGCGTTGACTGTCACGCGCCCATCCTTGGCCCCGATCCCGTTTGATTTGGGCAAGGATCGGACACTTCAATGTTATGGCTTCCATGAATCAAGGTGAGACTAACTTGACCGGGAGTGCCCATGCCAGCGACACTGGTGGATGATGCCATATCTCGATGGCCATAGAGACCGAAATACTTGGCTTTTTATCTTGTTTGCTACCTGGTTGTATGTGTGTCTCGAATTCGCACTTGACACGACCATACACGCATTGCGGCCGGCGATGAGGCTAGCTTTGGGGCCAACTGCCTCCTTACAATCGTCGTCATCTTGCTCCATGCCATCGTGTACATATACCTGAGGGTGCCCAACCTCTACGCTTGCGACTTCTTCTATCCTCCACATCTGATTCTCACGGCCATCTTCCTTTTCCGCCTCTCCTGATCTTCAAGTCTACCACTCTCGTCAGCCCCGTGCGCGAGCAACATGCCTGTTATCTCACGACTCATCTCTCCCATCCTTAGGTTGGCTGAGCTCGTCTTTGCCGGTGTATGTCCACCCTGATCTTGCGTCCCACCTTGACATAGACCTGACCCTCTCTCAGATTGTAGCCGGCTTGGTCGGCGTGTACCTGCACGACTACACTCGCGCCAGTGGTCTCCCTCTCGGTCGCTTTATTTATGCCGAAGTCGTTGCCGGCATATCCCTGCTACTTGGATTGCTTTGGCTCCTCCCATTTGCCAGTAGCTTCACCAGCTGGCCAGTCGATGTCCTCATTTCGTTCGCCTGGTTTGCCGTTTTTGGTGTTCTCGTCCACTGGATGAGAACTGGCACCGCCTGTCAAGGTGACACATTTGCTTGGGACCAGATTGGCTTTGCTCGCAATAACATCTGCGGCCGCTGGAGAGCCGTCGAGGCCTTCTCCTTCTTGTCAGCAATTGTCTGGTTGGTTAGCGCCTTGGTTGGATTGTGGTTTGTCCACCGTGAGAGACGCAAGGCTAGAACTGTTCATGGACCGTATGGCAGCTCCCTCCCTGATCTGTCCCCCTAGGCGTGGTCCAGTTGCGCTAACATGTCATCTTTGCAGTCGTTCCCGCCGTCGTTGGTACGGTCGATCGAGGGTCTAGATTCGTCGACAAGGCTTCACTGTCTTGACAAGACACCCAGTATAGGATTGGGAAAGACCCTGGCCAGAGACGAGCGAGACTTGAATGTACGAAATCTGTTGGGAGTTTGGTATCCCCTCATCAGCCATTAGCCTAATATGTTCTTGCGCGGAGATACCCCCACCACGCAGTTGATTTACGAAATGATGCAAGTTGTAATGCCACTATATGTACCATCAGTGGAATGGAATATTTTGTTGATATGAAAGTATCATTGTTCTTTGTCAATGATCATAATTTTATGCCTTCATAAGCAATCCACACAACGAGCTAAGCGGTGGAGGCACCAACCTTCTTGTGACCCTCGTTGGCAGTGATATAAAGTAGGATGATTTGCACCCAGCGACTACGTTGAAAATTGACAGAGAATGTAAAATCGATATAAAGCCAAATGTTGATTGTCAAGGGTTACTTGTTGTGGTACGTCCATCAACGTCAACATTATCTCTCTTGGAAACAACTATCCTCAAGCCAACCGCCCAACAGGCTCGACCGACCAACTCAAAATACTCATACAAAACATAATAATGTCATAAATAGTTTCCGTCCAAATGACGATGACGCTAAACAACATGCATCAGACACCCAGCTGATGAACACTTGTAGTTCATGTCATCGTCGAGATATTGAAATCGTTGCAAATCTAGCATCTTCGGCCTCCCATTCGTCGGCGACCGCCCATACCCATACCACCACCGCCATAGCGTCTTCCTCCGCCCATCATTCCTCCGCCGCCATGGTAGCGTCCACCACCTCCCATTCCACCGCCATGGTGGTGGTGGTTGACGATGACGGGCTGTCGGGCTGGACGAGGTCCGTAGCCGCCGCCATAGCCCATTTGGTTACTGCGCGAGGATCCGAAGCACATTGTGGTGGTTGGTGGTTTGTTGTGTTTGTTGTGTTTGTCGTATATACAAGTGTACAGTGGTAGTGTGCTGGTTTTTTGACAACCTGGAAGTTTTTATTCTCTTGAAGGGTTGATGTGGATATGTTCGACAGGTGAGAGAGATGGAGTCGAACGAATGATTGACTTGAGGTTGTAAACAAGTCTATTGAATAATGTATCAAATGACGATGTAAATGTATGTATCAAAGAAAGCGCATGGGAAAAGAAGTGGACGGGGCATCGCATATATAAGTACCACATGGATCTATCTCGCTCTTGTCTTGTCTCTTTGCGACAGTCCCTGAATCCCTGAATCCCCGAGTCGCAGAGTCTCTGCCCTGCCATGCCATGCCACGATACGACATGACATGACCCGTGTTTGCACTTGACCACGCCTAGTCAGGGTCGGTTGGACGACACGAACCAACCCGATCGCCTGGGAGATATGCTTCCTCCACCAAAGTGCGGGACCCAGCACTGGAGGACTGGAGGACTGGATCAGGTTGCAGGGACTTCAAAACATTGGCGTCATCTTGTCATGCAATAGCGCAGCGCATGCTCGAGTAAGACGAAGCGCGCAGATCGCAGAGACTCATGAGAGGGTACGTACATATGAGCAAAAGTGGTTTTTTGGGGAACTCCCGCTCCTGCTTCAGCCACAATGCCACACCGATCGACACGACGCATGCAATGACAGACAGTACCAAACAGTAGCAGAGACAGGCACGAGTGACACACGAGACACAATCTCTCTTGGATATTTCTCGGCGGGATGATACTAGGTTTCTGATATGACGAATTCCGCCATAAAGTGATTTCATGGCGGAGCCTTGCGTGTCTTGTCTTTTCGTGGCGGGTGGCTCGGCATCGAAAAGTATTTTCGTACCAGGCCACGCAGGCAGGCGTGCCAGGGAACGCCCAGGTCTCCACGGGTACGGTCCCTGAGCCCCTCGGCCTCAACGACGTCAACGTCGACTAGCGTTGTAAGTGATTGTTGATTGGGTGTGTTGAAGCGGGGGCGCCGACGTTCTGGGCATCATCCACCCACAAGGCCACGACGGCTATCGCAAGGCTTGGGGGTGGAGATGCCTTACGTATGTGTACGCAAACATCTCTCACTTTTTGTAGCATGTCTGGGGCGCCCAGTTCCACAGCCCACGGTTACGCGAGCCTTGGACGCGACATGGAGGGGAGGGTGTGGCGTTCATGGCACAACTGGCGGAACCTCACTCACGTGCAGGTCGGGTACACGGCAATGCGGAGATTGTCATTATGGGGGCGAAAGAGTCTTTTCAGTCTTTGTTTGCATGTTTCTTTCTGAGTATAACTTATTCCAGCACTCCAGCGGCTATCTGTCTGTCAGTTTCTGACGTTTCTTACGGCGAATTCCGAGGTTGCCATTTCTGCGGAGAATTGTAGTGATGATCCAATGACTTGTCCTGCACGGTGCTCCTGATTTCGGGATGCTTCCTGGAGGTCTCTTGTTTCTCCATTTTTTTCGACAAGGTCATCCCTATCCAATTCTAGGCATTTGTCTTGTCCTTTTGTTAATCTCTCCTGGTTTGCGCCCTGCGAAGGGAAGGAGTTGAATGTTTCCCCTCTGTGAATTTCAAACTTTTGCTTTGATTATCTCTCAGTTATCCCACAGCAGATATTGCACAAACTACCATATCGTATTCTATGCAATATGCTTGAGAGCAGAGAGATCACTCGGGGTTCCGAGGGTTCGAGGCATAGTACCGGCCGTCATCGGTCGTAATGAGGTTAAAACGATTGCTGTTCTTAGGGCCATTCCAGAAAAGTCGTGAAGGCGGCAATCCGTCGTTGCTGTGCGCAAAGGGCACTCTCGAGTCCACGTCCATCGCTACTACGCTCATTTTGTCCCCAGCGCAGGTACAGTCATTGACACTTGTTTGAGAGCCACAATTTTGCGAAAGACATCAACACTCGAGGGAACTGTTTCGGTGATTCCAGAAGGATGCGGATTCCATGCTTAAGAGAGATGAAATGACCAGTATGTGCCGGCCAGCCTCTTCGCAGTTTGTTGCTGTGGGGGCTTAATCCGTGGTCAACGCCGAGTGCCAAAATTCACCAAATTTCAGATGCTGAAGTTGTCCATCAGAATTCTGGACTTTGGATCCATCATAAGATATGTACACGGCGAGGAACAAAGAGTGTGTCACTGCCTTAGTAATTGACCAATGATATCGCCTGGATGTTCGTCCGAGGCAACGCAGCTAATCCCAAAACAGCAACTGGGACAACGTCCGTGTTTCCCACCAATGTCATCCAATGAGTCAATTTACTGTTGGAAGAGCCTAGATCTCTTGGCTGTGCGATTGTCGACTTGATATAACCTGAGGCCTCTACGGTCATAAAGGAGTGTCACTAACACCAAATCATACACACCAAAAACGAATTTGATCACCAGCACTCCGACACTACAAACCGTTCTTTAGAGCCTTTCACACTTTGCGAACCCGTCAGAGTCAATGCCATTGGGCACTACCACTACTGCAACTCTCACCGTCACTGCTCCAGTCAATATGGATTCCCAATTTCAACAAAACACCTCAACAACAATCTCGAGTCGAGAACAGACCCCCGAGACCTTCGAAGACGACACCGTCGAGTCATCTCCTCCCAGTACAGATTACGAATTCGATGAGTCCCAATGTCTATTTTGCAACCAGAAGAACACAGACTTGGACCAGAACTTAGCCCACATGTTGAAGGCGCATGGATTGTACCTCGAGAAGAACAATCTGCTGGTTGAAGTCTCCTCACTGCTTGCGTACTTCCATCTTATCATCTCCGGATACTACGAATGCCTCTACTGTGGAACAGAGCGTAATACTCGCCAAGCCGTACAGCAACATATGATGGCCAAGGGTCATTGCAAATACGACATTTCCGACGAGGATTCCGAACTCAGAGACTTCTACGACTTCCCCTCGTCGGAAGCGAAAGAGAAACTCCAAAACACCTTGGACTCTCAACTTCCATCCCAGGCAAAATCTAAGAAACCACGACCATCGAAGCGGTCGCCCCGGAGCAGCACCGAAATAATAGATTCTCCACTCCAAGAGGAACAACCACCCTCCCTGTCGACGACAACGTCCGGCGGGGAACAAACGTCGAATGTTGCCGAGAATAACGGTGACAATCAAGTCCAACTCAGCACAAGAGCACAGAAGCAGGAAGATACACTCAACAACCAATTATCACGGCTTCGTGCCGATGAGCGAAGAAGTCTTGTACATTTACCGGCTTCACAGCAACGCGCCATTCTTGCAACTCACCACAAGCAGATGGAGAAGGCTAGAAGAACGGAACAGCATAAGCGGGGTCGTTTGGAATCTTCAGGTAACATCTTCGGTCGTTTAGGCACGGTGCGGCTGGTTCGTCAACCCCCGCACTTTGGCAATGTCTCCGGCTTGAACCGATGATTCCATAGAGGGAGGGGATTGATGAGATTACACAACAACATGATACTTCTTTGTACCGACTTCGCATTCTGTGTTGTACCCCAGAAGATTGTGTCAAATACCAATATCTGAATGGTACAGCACAAGAACCGATATCACATTATTTTCTTCCGGGTGTCATGGAAAAGGAGATGCAACGATGAAAAATGATGGGCTGAGCCAAGAACTTCGATTGGTTCTCTTATGTTGACTGGCTATCAGGACCGCTGAAGGGATAGGGTCAAGATCGGGGTGCTTCCACCAAATATGATGCCAGCAAGCCACTGATCCTCAATTCCAGCATCCAGTGAGTTTGGAGTGGTATCGAGCTAGTGGTTAAGGATACCAATCTTAGCCAGAGTGCTCACGAACCCATGCCTTGTATGATTATGATTTTAATGACGACTCTGGAAGCCGTTCATCAACCTCAATTTGTATCTTCTCAAGAGGTGCATCAATATGCGAAGTAAATGTCTCCACGGGATCGAGGATAAACACAGACACTGAATTCAGAGCAATCAGCCTCGAACATCGAGAGCACGGACATGATAGGATAGTACTCACATATCAATGGTACAACAGAGAAGCATGCTGCTGCAGCCCATACATTCTTGAACGAAGCCACATAAGTATCTGTCACTGCAGCCACTGCAGAGCCAATTATTTCAGGCGTGACACCATCGATCTGTGCCAAAGCCTCGTTGTCTCTGGCTAAGAGGGCTGAAATCAGCTCGCCGAGCGAGCTTGCTGGAAAACCTAGCGGTAGGGTCGCATCGGCAATCTTGGGAGCCAAATTAGCACCAAAGGTGTGATTGAAGATGGCGTTGTAGATTGCGACTGCCACACTGGCACCCAAGGAACGAATTGAAATCATCAACCCAGAGGCGATGGCTATCAGTGCGGGAGGCGTCGATAGTTGTGCGACCGTGAGTAACGCCACTATACTGATTCCCACTCCTGCACCCAACAATGCCGGAAGACCCCAGAGGACGGCTAGAGAGGTATTCGCCTTCACGCTTGTCATTGCTCCATTGAACCCCACAAAGCATGCGAAAGAGAAGACCAGTGGCCCTCTCAATGATCTTCGCCAGGAGCAGTACACTCCTGCGCCGAGGGCACTCACACTCATGACGTAAAACATGACTGAATAGTGTAGGCCAACCACTAGAGGATCTTGAGAACTCAGTACGCTGACTTCGAAAGCGAAATAGTTGTTGGCCGCGAAGAATATAACTCCCTCGACAAAGATGCAAACCAAGGCAAGGGCGAAATTGCGATGTTTGAACAACCCATGATGAACCATGCCGTCTTTTCTGCCAATGGATTCATAGAGGATGAAGATAATGGCGAGTACTGAACCGACCAGAAATGGTGCCAGAACGTTTGCAGTCGACCATGGATATGGGTTCTGGGCCCAGGAGAGGCCGAGAGAAAAGAGCACCAGGCCAGATATCAAGATTCCATAGCCAATCCAGTCGAGTTTCCGGAGCTTTTGCATGGTTGAGAATTCCTTTTGAAGCTCTCTTGGTGGCGGGTTGTACAACACCGCACAGAGAACTGTGGATACAGCATAAATGGCTGCGGTGATATAGAAGAATGCTCTGAATCCTTCATCGTTCCCATTCCGAGTCAACTGCCCACCAACAAGGAGACCAAACACGCCTCCCACGGAGGCGAAGATATTAATGCTTGCTTGAGCCCAAGGTCTCCATTTTCGCGGGAGGACTTCCGATGGCACAGCATGCACTAGGGGTTGTGCGCTGAAAGAGAGTCCAGAGAGAGAAAAGCCGGCAATGGCGACGCCGATGCTGTTGGCTCGAGAGACGATAATAGTACCTATTATCCCCAAAGCCGTCAAGATCACAAGGAACCATTTTCGACCCCAGTAATCAGCAGCCTGACTGATGGGTGGACCGAGGACCGTAGGAACAATCACGAGACTTGCTGTCAACCAGACGATTTGAGATTGTCCGCCAATGACGGCGGTGATGCTGCAGGCGTAAGCGCCGCATCCAACAAGTAAAACGAGCTGAGCAAGGTAGATAAGGTCAATGGCCTGGATGTTGTTAGAGGACTTCCTGGCGTGAGATGTGTAAGGTAGACATACCATGACGAGAACGATTGTTTTGACGTTGACTCTGCCATTGGGCTCGTCCAGTGGCGCAGCCTCGACATGAATAGTTGACCCAGAGCTCATACTTAGGTGATGCGAGGAATAGTTGAGGCTTTTGAAGGGAGTTAATGGATCACTAAGGAATGCCTGAAGTGTGGCTAGCTAGAAAACATCCCTCTAATATAGAACAGGCCCCAGCTGGGTACTTTATAGCCAGTCATAGTATCCGAATGTGTTCCTCCTTTTTCGACCTCGGATGGAGTCCTAGGCTATCGTATCCAGAGCCTTGATGGCAACCCCGGATATCCCTAGACAACTACTTAAACCCCACATTCAGACAGCCTCCATCTCCGTACTCGAGAACTCGCTAACTCAATCCTTTACTTCACGAGTGAAAAGCGGAGAGCCGAAGGAGGCATCGCTAAGACCACTTCTCCTGGCTCGTATTATAAAGTCTCCACAGGACATGCATGTCTGCCTGGCTCTGGAGATTACATCGGGGCTTGTCGTCTGGGCGGATGACAAAGCTAGTAGCTAGGTGTGGTTTGAATAGGATGTGACGGGCTGGAGGGTGAGAGAGTAGTATCATTTAGCTGCCTAAGAAATGAGAGATCGCTGTACAAACTACACCCGTGTAGCATTGTGACTCCTGCATACAGACATCAAGCAAGCCCGAAGAAGGACATTTTGAGAATTTTACCCTTCCAGCCCGTAATGTTACCTTCCGAAGCACGCTTATTGACATCCAGCGGGAACACTGTTGTCAGAGATATCTCCTGTTCGATATAACTCAGGCTGCCGGTACATATTTCGCAGCAAACCAGCCCTTGGGGTCCTGACCGTCAATAACTAGCTTACGATCGAAAATAAGCCAGGCACCATCTTCAGATCGTGTAAAGATGTCCTCCCAATGACCCCAATGATCTGGGACAGCTTGATCCGTAACCGCAATAAACTGTGCAATTGTGCGTGCTTGTGTCTCGCTCTCAAAATGAATATCAATCCCGGTGATATGGTGACGGATATAATCAGCTTCTCCGTCTTGGACCACCGCACTCATTTCTATCGGCTTAACAGCATGTCCATTGGGCAATCGAAAGAAACCGTCTTGTCGAAAACACGCCTTCGCCAACTTGGTGAAATCGACCTTGTCTCGAGCCATGACGGCATAACGATTGAGAATGGTTTGAATCTCCATCAACGCGACTGTTCGTTCAATAGATCCTGGTTGATTGAGGTCGACCATTTTGTCTAGAGTTATGATGAGTGTTGTTGGTGTTTAGAGTTGGGCTACTCTTACCCGTGGAAGTGCGTTTGAAGTTGAATGTCTGATAGGACCTTACGATTTTCCCAGCTGAAGCAACGAAAGTCAGTACCTAGTACTTGCCTTGATATCATGCATTGACCCATCTCAAGTCTGTGGAGCGCCGAAGCACCTGCAAATCAGGTCGGCGTCGGCATGGGGGTGGGGTATTCCAAACATCTTGGGAATCTGCCATCTATCCGCATTGCGAATGAGCCAAAGCTATAAATGGGAAAGTCTATTAGGATAATGTAATGACCCAGATCTGGGAGGTGGGTGGTGCTCTAGGTAGGGTAAGAAAACCTTCTACTTGATGAGTTAGGGTCCAAGAGCCGCTCGGGCCGAGGATGGTGACGGTTCATTGATCAAATCACATCAACAACACGGTGAGAAGAATCTTAATACCAGCATGTAGGTGTGCTCAAATTGAGCATCTTCAAGTGATATTTAAAATACAATAGCTGTGATTACCACCGTATGCTGGCTAGGATGAAAGATAGTGAGACTATCCATTTGTTACCTCACTATTAGTTCCAAATATAATCTCCTCACCTTAGCCAAGGGTTGTGAACAGTGCAGAACAGCATGCAGGCAGCCAATCGAGCACGTATGGTCCTTGAGGCTGGAGAGAGGCCTTGCCTTGGGATTTGGCAAATGTTACCAGGATCCGACCTGTCCAGGTATATTGCACAGACAGGGTGCGACTGGGTAATGCTTGATCTAGAACATGGCAACATCGACGGTATTCCCAACCTGAACTTCTGCTATACGCGAGAGCCTGACTAACGTCTTTATCATCTGGGCCAGATCATACCATGCACGAAAGTATAAGTGCAATAGCCAGCTCCTCTGCCAGCCCAATGGTACGGGTAGCCGCGAACGAGGAGTGGTTGATCAAGAGTACTGAAATCCCAGAATTCCGTAACACAAAAGCATTTGTAATGATGCACATTAGGTTCTGACAAGAATCTACAGGAGCTTTGGACGCCGGTGCACATGGCATCAGTGTTCCAATGCTACGAACCGAAGACGATGCTCGAAAGATGGTCAGCTATGCAAAATATCCGCCACTGGGTATAAGAGGATTCGGCCCACCATTTGCAGTATCGAGACTTGGGCTTAGAAATGCGCAGGAATATCTATTGACAGCAAACGAGAGTCTACTAACCATTGCCCAAATTGAAACCAAAGAGGCTTTAGCAAATGTGAGTTCATATTATGATATCGAAGTCTCTCTGCCACCACTGAAGCAGGTAAACTAGGTCGATGCGATCGCCGCGGTACCTGGTGTAGATGTTCTTATCGTCGGCCCATCAGACCTGGGGAACAGCATTGGACGTCCTATTCTAAATGGTGCGATGCATGATGAGCTCAAGAACGGCATTCTGCGTGTGTTAGAAGCTTCGCGCAAGCATCAAAAACATGCATGCATGTACTGTGCATCGGCAGCGGAAGCGGAATTTTGGTTGAAGAAAGGGTTCCGAATGGTACGTATACTTGCAGACATTCGTGTTTTCGGGGCTGATCAAAACAGCTCTCTGTAACTACAGACGCTGTGCACATCCCCGTGAGCTTGAGTGGAGAAATTAACAAGATGAGATCTTTCGATATTGAAGGGAATATCACTCTTGCGAAAGAAAGCTGATAGAAATTAAGCCACTGATTAAAGACTCGAAATATTGACATTCACGAGTTCGCTTCCTGCATCTAGAAAAGCAGTGAGACCCTCCACCAGCTTATCCCACCCAATCGAGTTTTTGTACTTGAAAATAACGTCCTTTCTCCCAACTTCGAGTGCAACGTTTGGTTTAATCTGTGAAGTATTGGCACAATTTCCAAATACCAGTGCCACGTTCTGATCCTCCGTCGAGTCTTGCCATGGAATCTGTCCGGTCACAAATCTGATTATACCATCTCCAAAAGCTTTCCCAACTTGCACCGTCTGAGGAGGCAGTAGGTGATCAAAGTTGCGAAAGAACAGTACCACATCCAGTATATGGGTGGCTTGACCTTGGAATGGACCTGGCCATGGATTCGGTTCGTTGAGATGGTAGACATGGGTCGTGCCGGGAAAATGACGACCGAACACCTCCGAGCAGAGGTAGAAGCAAAGATCGCTAGCTAAGTAGGGATGTTCCAAAAAGCGTCGTCGTCGGATATGGATTCATTGATCTGATAATCTGAGAAGAGTGAGATAACTGCATCATCTTGATGCGAACAACTCCTTTTTAGGGATTCTTCAAAGGCTCTGGCAATTCCTCGTTTGCGATGGTTTAATGCGAGCTGGTAAATATGTCCCTAGCATTTCTTGATCAGAGAGGTTGACGGAAAATTTGTCAGAGATACTTACATCCATCTGGCAGTCCCCAATGAGAAGTTCCTTACACCATCCGAGTCCTGGGATACTTGAACTTCCGTGTGTAGACCACTGCTCGATATCATCAAACGTGAGTGCGACTTTGACGATATCTCCATCTATCATTGGTAGAGGAGGGATACTAGGAGGTGTGTTTGAGAATAAGTGGAAACTGTCCAATTCTTCTATCGCCTTGATGCGCTCTTGACCTGGCATCTTGTCTAAGCCTTGGGCTTCACAGAACTCCTGATAGATTGCCTCGTGGACTTCCCCTGAGACTGGTCTTAGAAGTAGACAAGTTCCGGACATGATCACCAAATGCTGAAAGAGAGCCTCCTCAGACTGCAGCAGGAGGGTCAAGGATGCTACAGCGATGTCAGCGGAATGGCATGTATATGATTCGAGGAGACAATGATTCGAGGAGACAATGAAACTCACCACCGCCAGCACTTTGACCAAGAGCCGTCGCTTGGCTTGGGTCTCCCCCAAAACCCTGAATATATTTTTGAATCCATTCAAAAGCCACTTTCTGATCACGAAGACCGCTGTTAGGCTTGAAGCCTGCTGCACGGAGTTCTACCGAGGTCAAGAACCCGAAAATACTTGTCCGATAGCTTTGGAAAATGAGCACGGTTGTTTGAAAAAAGGTGGATATAGGGCATACTTCATGGATACACCAATAAAAGGGCTGCCTACCTGGACCGATTGCATTACTAAAGATCTAAAGTCGTACTGCGGCCAGGTTCCTGAGCCTGTTCTCAAAGCACCTCCATGAACGAAAACTAGAACTGGAAGAGGTCTAAGAGCTTGGACTTCAGGGGTTGTGATATTCAACCTCAGACATTCAGTATCGGACATCTGAAATTCTGCGTCTAAAGGAAGTTTCTGCTGGATGAGATCGAATTCCCTTTCGCAGGCATCTGGGGCATTAATACAACACGGTCTGTGATGATTTCGAGTGATTTAGCAGGTTTTGGGGCTTCAGGTCTCCTGACTATCGCTAGATCTACGTACCCTTGTTCAGTGGCAACGTTGTCACTTGATGCTCCTGCACCATTATGCAGCACAGGCTCTCCAAATCGGTTCCTTAAGGTTGCATACTTTACACCTAGAAACTGGATTACTCCCTTTGTAGAGGTTACGCGAAATTTGCCCAGTTCTGGATGATGAATGGTGGCCATTTTAGGAGTCAAGGAGAAGATGAGATTGACGACCGCTAAGCGTCAGGGTGTCTCAAAATATTGTATAGGTCACTGGGTGTACGGAGATAGGGCTTACTAGATGAAAAAAACACTACTCCTCGCAAACGCAGAAACATCGTAACTTGAGGACGAATGATCGGGGTCTCAAACTCTGCTCCTGCATTAACGCATTGCTGACGCTGGACATTGGACTCGCTTACTGCTCGAAACTTCCTGGACGCTGTCTGCCTATTAAATTTATGCACACATCGTGGAGAGCCGATGCATTATTCTCACATTAACAGCCTCATCAAGAGTGCCTCCCCACGTAACCCAGACCATAACATTCGGATAATATGCGGAGACTTCTCCGCGCGTTGTAGGATTAGATTATTACGATAATCGCTCTATGCCAAAGCCTTACCCGTGTGTCAGGTATATCAATTCGAACCCAAGGAGACTATTCCCGCATTGACATGGATAGTCGGCTACAAATGAAGCTTTGTTGGCTTGTATTCTGTGCCACCACACCGCCCCCACAGTCTTTGATGTGTGCTGACCAGATGTTGCGGGGGCGGAGAGCCGAACTCAGATCGAAAGGCCTGAACCTCAAAGACCAGCTCCTCGTCCTGAACGGCTTCAACTGGGAAAGGCCTAGTAAAGCATGAAAGACGTCGCCATTTGATTTCCCCATTGTTTTGCCTGTATGAAGAACCTCTCCTGGCGTACGTGAGAGCTTCGGCACACTTCCTGGCAGCCGCACTGGCCCCCATTCCGGCGGGAAGGCTGTCGTATCGCAATAACAGACGACGAGGTTTTCATAAAGATAAGGAAGAAAAGGGGTTGGAGTCATAATAGCTTCAATTATAGCTATAGTAGCTAAAGAATTCCAACTATCTAAGTTGTTTATTCTGTATAGAGGAGGAGGAGGAGGATTAGATAGAGGCATCTACTCGTTACACCTTCCTAGTTAGTCATGAAACCTACGTGACATAGCCATTGTCACGTGAGATGGCAAAGGCCAACCGCGGCTCCGTCTTCTAGATTACTCAACTTGCTAGCTGTGACAACACCCTGATGAAATCCACCTGCACTGAGTGGTAGATGACCGGGTCTTCATCGTCACAGCCTGCATGGGGCATTATCTGCAAGACTGGCTGACCAAGCAAACATGTAGGCCGGCCCCTCTCACCACTGTATCTATCAACGGTGTTGTGTCTCGTCAAGTCAACACGGTACGAAAACTGCAAGATGAGGGAAATGGCTAGTGCTACAGGCTCAAGTATCTTGGTGGAGGCCGAGTCATTCCACGACTTCGGTGGATGGACGCTGGACTCACAATTCGATCTTGAGATGGGCTCGCCTTATCTACTGGCTCATGGCTATGGCAAACCAGTTGCGGATGCCATAACCACGATCCGTGTGGAAAGTCCTGGACATTATCACGTCTGGGTGCGCGCAAAAGACTGGGTTCCTGACCACCACCCGGGAAGATTTACCCTGAGCATCAACGGAGACAAGCTCAACACGGAGTTTGGCGCCAATGGCTTGGACTGGAACTGGCAGGCAGGAGGTTCTGTACGGCTTCCTCGTGGCGAGACAAAGCTCATACTGCACGACTTGACTGGTTTTTCTGGTCGTTGTGACGCGATATATCTCAGCACTGACATCAAGCCACTACCTGAGGGAGCGAGTGAGGCTACAAGAACGTGGAGGCGTCAACTTCTCGGGCTGCCGGATGAGCCTGTTAATCTCGAGCCACCATTTGACGTTGTGGTCATTGGAGGCGGCGTGACAGGGGCTGCCGCTGCTCTAACCGCGGCTCGACTCGGAGATCGTGTCGCTCTCGTCCAAGATCGCCCCGTCCTGGGAGGCAATGCCAGTGTGGAGATCGGTCTCAGACCACGCGGCGTATGGGGACCCCTCATCGAAGAGCTGGCGGATCGTCATCCTGACGGTGATCTGCTTGCAAAATCTCTCCTTGATTCCGAACCAAACGCAACCCTATTCCTTGAACATTCAGTGTACAATGCTACCACTGCGAAGTCCAAGATTATATCAATCGATGCACGCCATGCACGCACTGGGCGAGAGTTACGCCTCTCTGCTGCAACGTTCATCGACTGCTCAGGACGAGCTCTGTTCGGGCACTATGCAGGTGCAGATACTCTCTTCGGTCAGGAATCAAGGGCTGAGTTTGGCGAGGATCTCGCGCCAGAGGAGCGCGTAGAGGAGCACCATGGAAATACGCTTTTCTTCCGAACACGAATGGCAAACTTACCAGTCTCTTTCCCTACCATGCCATGGGCTACGGAGGTAGCGAAGGACTTCAGTGACCTCCGTGGTCAATTGACAAAACCTGGTATCGATAATGGGGATGGTCCGCGGGTAACGCAAAAGAACTCTCAACCCAGTACTAAAGTTCGTAGGCGAATGCTGGGCCCCATGACTCACTTTTGGGAGTATGGACAACAGCTTGATCCTTACACAAACGGCGAGCACATTCGAGATCACCTACTACGAGCTATCTACGGCACATTTTCGAACGTGAAGACAATGGAGCCTGTGAAATACGCCAACCTCGACTTCGAGTGGATCGCTTTTGTTGCTGCACAAGGAGAGTACCGACGGTATCAGGGGGACTACATCCTCACTGAAAGTGATATCCGGGGGCATAAGTACTTCGATGATGCTATTGTGCTCAATGGAGGTGCTTTCTGCCTACACTATCCAGGCCATGAGAAGTATTCATTTCGCCTAAAGGACTGGGAGTGGGACGAACGAGACGGCAAGAACTACGCTATTCCGTTCCGCTGTCTTTATTCGCGGAACATTACAAATGTCATGATGGCAGGCAAACACCTTAGCGTCACTCACGTTGCTGGATCTTCGACTAAGTTCATGGGAAATGGCGGGCAGCACGCTATTGCTACTGCGGCGGCAGCCCACCTGTGCAAAAAGTATCGCACTGATCCTAGAGGCATTTGCAAGAGTCACATGGCTGAGCTCCGGCGAGTTGTCAGAAGAATCACCCATATGGACTGCGGTGTGCCTGACAGCAGTTTGTGACTCGATGAACACGGCCTCGTGATTGGAATATCTTGTTTGACTAGAAACTCTCAACGTAAACCGTCTTCAAAAAGTCTGACAAGATTAAGTAGCAAGATGTTATCATTATTATCTGTTGAGTAGCACTACCCCTGAAAGCCAAATGCATTATTTCGTGCATATCATTGAAGATTCGAATCAATGAGTGCGGAAGGTAACAAAATCTGCCCCGACCACTCGCTTTCGGATGACAGGAGTGGTCTGCATAGTTCTGTGAAAGGCGGCGGGAGACTTAGCAACGCGGGACCGGCGAAGTCCACACCATGAAATTGGAGATAGTGCAACAACCACCTAGCACTGGGACAGACTTCTGACAGCTTTCAAAGACCTCAGCACCCATGATGATCGGCTCGTACGACGAAACCTTGCGAGATTGATCACAATAATCACATAACATGACCAACACATCCAGGACTGTTGTCGAATCACTGAACGGATCAGCGGACCCGCACCGTGGAAGGTGCGGTTCTCGCGTTTAGGAACCCGCGGGTCCGACGGTGACTTCGTCAAACCATCAGATAAGGCACGCATATGCTCAGAAAGTTTGCTCAGAATGTAGGGAAAGAAGATTAAAACTATCCCGAGGGTGGTCGTCCGAGCTACTGGAACTGCTCTCACCATTACAACAGTGAACAACACACCGATTCAACAATTCTGCTTCACCTACTTACAACACTTGCCTCCAACAACAAGCCAGTATGATTGCAAATCCAGCCATGGATTGGGATCCCAGGGCCCCAATCGCCATGACAGACGCCGTCAACGCCCAGCCCGGCGTCTGCAGCTTCAACGCCGACTCCGTCACTGTCGAAGACGTCGTCGCGGCCCTCGTCCGCGACGGCGGGTGCTTCGTCCGCAATTTCATCTCCCGCGACGATGCCGCGGCCATCGAGCGCGAGATCCGCCCTTACCTGGACGGCGACCAGCCGCTCGAAGGCGACTTCTTCCCCAAACAAACCCGCAAAGTATGCGGCCTGGCCGGCAAATCCCCTACATTCGTCAAAGCCGCGTTTGGCGAGAACGTCTATCAACTCGCCTGTGACCGCCTGTTGAGCTCGCACGTGTCGTCCTGGTTCGGCGAGGAGCTTTTGGAATGCGTGTCCCACCCCATTCTCAACGCACACACTGTCTTCTCTATTGGTCCTGGGGCGCGCGCTCAAGCACTGCATCGCGATGACTCGATCCACCACAATGTTCTGCCCGCCATCAAGCAAGACGACTACCGCGTCGGTCGAGATACCGCAATCGGATGCTTCATTGCGGGCAAAAAGACCACCCGCCAGAATGGTGCTACGCGATTCGTGCCCAAAACTCATCTGCAGCAGACTCATGAGAAGCCATCAGAGGAAGGCGCCGTATATGCGGAAATGGAGCCCGGAGACGCATTTCTCATGCTAGCAAGCTGCTACCATGGTGGATCGGCTAACACCACTGAGCAGGAGGAGAGATTGTTGTATGGCTGCTTTATGTGCAAGGGCTTTCTCCGGCAGGTTAGTGATAATACTTTTCGTTCAACGGCCTCCGCATTCTTCGCTCTCCCCTCCCCTAAAAAGAAGCAGGAAGAAAAAAAGTATTTCTTCTGTACGCCAAAAAATGTTGTGTCTAACAAGAAGTTTCAAATCAAAAACAGGAAGAAAACATGCCCCTCGCAGTCCCCAACGAGAAGATTGCAGAATTCTCTACCGAGATTCAAGCCAAGTTAGGCTACGATGTCAGTGCCCCGTACCTGGGCTGGGTCGAGCTTAGGAGTCCCCTGGAGGTGCTGTTTGGTAAGAAGAGCTTGTATGGGATTCAATGATGACGAGGACCAACACCATGGTCGTAGTCCCAGACGTGTGTGGCGGGGAGTCGCTCGATAAAAAATAGCATTTTCTCGCCGTACAAAGCAAGATTGACTCTCTTTAAGTAGCAAGACATCTGTGGTAATTGTGGAAGCTCACCGAAAGGTTCGGTTTCCAACAACAGTCATTACTTTTCTCAGAACTACAAAACTGTGCCTGGTGTCGTATGGATGGAAAATCTGGTTCCTTGGCCTTCTTTTAGCAGGCGAGATGACGGTAGTCGTCGAAGCCCCGTGTGAGCTGGTCAAGGCATGTTCCATAGACGGATAGATGATTTTCGGTGGGGGAGCTCTCGATAATTTCGTGAACCCTCTCAGTTCAGCCATTAGGTTGATCTAGTCGACGCCCTCTATGACAACTGCGCTTGACCTGATAAGATTCATTTCCAGAAGACCGAGTTTCCAGAAAGTGTGAGATGATATGAATCTGTTACCAGAGCATGTTTCTACCGACCATATATGACAACAACTACGAAACCAAAATAGCATCATTATAATCACCCAATAATCTTAACCGGCAACTCGTCCTTGGGTGCGCCTAACCTCTCGAAAATCTTGTACAAAGCCTGCGGATCAACCCAATCCTCTGGACACAAAACACCCCCCCTGCTGGTACTACTAGCACGATCGTAACCGGTCTCCACTGCCAAAATCATAAACGCCGCGCACGCCCCTCCAGTACAACTTCCCATATCTTTGAAAAATTTGGCCTGTGTCCCAACTTTCGGCAATTTCACCGTCGAAACAATTGGATGCCCGTTCTTCGTTCCCACAACCCTGCACAGTATCCCACCGCGGTAGGGCATCGCTGTTCCCTGCACGGCCGACATGAGGAACCTAGCAATCTCCGAGACTGTACTTTCGCCTGTGCGAATACAGTCGAGCAGGCCGGTCAGTGCGTAGCGCCAGGGCCCGATTGTCGTGGCGGCGCTACCAAGTAGGCTGAAAAGGTCTTTGAGGGTGATGTCGCTGCTGCTACCTTGGAGACTGGCCGACAGTGAGCTATAGGCACTGGAAAGGCTCGGGATGCTGATTTTGTGGTTGTAGAGGTTGTACATGAAATCCACGGCCACGTCCATGGGAATGATGTTGCGACGGACGGCGTCGCCCAGGCCGCGAGAGATGCCGTTAAATGGCGGTGGGTCTAAGCCTCCAAGACAGCGGATACGTTTAGCGTTGGGGAATCGACGGGGCAGTGTGACCGGTTCTGGATGTGCGACCTCATGTAGAAGAGCTTCGACGCCACCGTCGAGGATAGGGGCGTATGCTGTTTCCAGCCAGGTCTCATTGATTGCGGCTTGTCCGTCCTTCCAGGTCAAGCAGGGGCCAGCGGCGATGTGCATAGAATGCTCCAGTACGGCTTTGCCCATTCCAGGTCGTTCATCTCCAACGACCCAGCATACGTCAATGGTATTGACAGAGTCCACATTCTGCGCGGCGTCCATCGCAAGGACGTTGGCTATGCCAGGAGATGCACCACAGCCAATATAGCAGGGTACTCCAGCCGCTTTGGCCTTCTCGTGAAGGTCGAGTGCCATGACGGTCGATTCGACATCGTCGTCGAAATCGAGGTACGGGACTTTGGCTTCCAAGCAAGCCGTCATCACGGGCTCGGCAGTTCGCTGGTATGGCCCCGCGCCAAGGACCACCAGTCCAGCATCTTTGATCGTCGCGATTACAGCAGCCGGGTCATAAAGGTCCAACTTTTTGATTGTGGTCCGGCCGTCGGGAAGGGCTTTCGCCAGGGCCCTGACGCCCTCGATGTTGATGTCTGCCAGAACGAGGTGGGCGTCGCTCGCAGAGGCGAATTGTTCAATGGCAACGCGGCACATCTCTCCCGCTGCGCCGATGAAGACAACCCGCTTGGGGCTCTCGTTGTTGTCACCCATCGTGTAAGTCGTTGATGTGATTTTTAGGCTGCAGATTGATCAGCAGCTTCTCAGCGAGGAAGTAAATGGTATGTTGTGCGTGCGGTCAAAGCCAGGGCCAATCCGGGAAAAAGATGTATAATATAGGTGAGCCTTCTGTGTCGGAGCCGCTAGGATCCATGAAGACTATGGTCATGAGCGGAAACGGTGAATGTACCACTCCGACGAGCTGCTGATAGCGAGTTTGACTATTAGCCAGGCGGCTAGCAAGGTACCTTGCGGGCAATTAGATCCCGCCGGCTTCCAACGGACCAGCCGATTCACTCTCGAAAAGGGAGTTAACCTGCAGCCAACCATGGATGATTATAGTCAATGAGTTTCTCCATATCTGTGAGATGTCAGGATAGGAGTAGTTGCAGCTGTCGGCTCAATTGATCAAGTGTAGTAGCATATCCAGCGCAGGCGGATTGATGGGTCACGTTTGGAGTGGAGGAGCATCCCCGCCGAAGCTGGCTTTCATGGGCTGGAAAGTTCAACTATTGCACGAACCCTGAATCGCCCCTGCAATTTCATCGGAGCCGCAACTTACTTAGACAGCCCAATCTATTCTACAGTGAAATACAGGGACATGTTTTCGGAGCCTCGGGTCCTACTACATTCGGACACGGATGAGTGTGTATGCATGTGTAATGAAGATTCTTCCAACACGAAGGCAATTGGTCACGCTCGCTTAGAGAAATGTCCTGCGTTCTTGGCCATGGGCAGTGTTGCTAGAACATACTATCAAAGTGCTACAGGGCATTAGGTAGAATATCGCAAATGCCACGAATCGGTCTGCTCATCATGGCTGTTGACACTGGGAACATTCGACAGAGAGCATTTCAAGCCATCCAACCCCTGCAAACACAAATTCAGGCCCGACGCCATTTCCGCAGCTCTTTGCGTGTCCACATTCATAATACAGACCTGTATCTCATCTGTAAATGCTTCAGCGGCCAGTGTATGCGCTTGAACGACCAGGGCAGGATACTGCAGAATGTTAGTACTAGCCATACTCTGCCTGTAAATATTCACTCACTGGATGACACGCAATGCCCGGCATATATGTCTTGTGAGTCTTGGTGCCTTTGATGACCGTAGAAGCTAGGTTCGACACCTGAATTGCACTTTCAACGCGATGATCCCGGAACGAAGTCCACATTGAGCGGATCGTTGCAGCCAGGAGATCATGGGCTGGTGATGATTTGTGTTCCCGAATATCGTCATCGAGTCGACACAAAAGCTTGTACAGTAAGAGAACGGCAAGATCGCCATCACCCACGAGGGAGAACATTAGCGACCGTACATTTGAGGCGGAACTCTGTACGCGCAAAGTGGTGCTGCCATCGAACTTTCCAAAGGTCGTTCTCCAGACCTCGACAAGAGCAAATACGGTCAGAAGATGTTTGTGAATATCGTCATAGCTGGACTCGTCCTCTTGCATGTTCTGAATAGCCATTGTTAGGGATGCAAGTGACTTATATATGGGAATGACAAGTGACCCGGACTTGCTGATGACATGACGCATGGTCTCTACTGTAGTGTCGCCGTGTACCAGTGTTGTGACTGGCTGTTCCTGCGTCTGAGCTCGTGCAACGATGGAGTCATTAAGGCTCTCCTCATGCCGGAGAGCTACGGTTGAAGTGGCCTCAGCTGTTTCGGATGAATGTCCTCTCGGCAGATGTAGGCAGGATTTGTCTCCAGCGCATTGCTCCGGCGGTATCGCACAGAGTGTCCCTTGCGAGATGACGATTGCTACCGAGTTTAAAGTGACCAAAAGCCACTCTAGTGCTCCCACCAATTCTAGGAGATCGTCCTTGACCTCAGGAGCTAATGAGTGAACCGGATGCGGCTGTTCAACAGGCTTGGCCATGCCTTTTCTGCGCTTCCAACGGGGCACCTGAGCACCTGATTGCAAATAAGCAGCTGCCTGTGCGCAAAGGCTTTGAAGGCGCCGAACACCTTCAACATGTGCAAAATCAGCATCAGCTTGCAGAGCACTGCTGTCCCCCTTTGTTGGTGGAGGACAGATTGTCCCAAACAGGATCAGGGATAATGCCTGGCGGAACGAACCAGTCGCGGAGATGTTCTGAAAAAGGATATTTTTGGCCTTGTGCCAAGTGGCAGATGCAAGGTCCTGTGACAGCTGCTTTCCGTTGCCATCCCCGTAGACCGAAAATTGGGACGCTGTTGCTAATGCAACCCATTTATAAATTTCATTATACATAGCACTACGTGCTGCTGCCCTAGGTGAATGTTCTGGATTTGTACTTTGTTCAAACATGGAGTCCAGGACACTGACTGGGAAGAACAGATGAGGCGCCGGTCCCGGGAAGCTCCAGGCGGATGTGGGGGTGTTCCAACAGTGCTTGACCCAGGTCTGAGCCTGGTAAATATAGGGTGACAGTTTAGAATGACCATGGAGGCGTGGGAGGACAGCAAGGCCCAGCGGGAACTGCGGTGGCATGCAACCACCAGATAGCTGATCAGCCAGCGGTACATCTATAGCGTCGATGTATATATTCAACTGGTGGGCAGTAGCTGCACTCCCGGTAAATTGCCTGACGAGCTCTTGCTCTGGCCCGGACGAAGCGAACCACTCCTCGACTGCAAGTGGAGCTTCGTCCACCGAGGATTGAGTGCTTGATCTGTCTTTTTCTGATGGTGCGCACGACATTCTAGCAAGCTTTTTAACCTGTTGTGTGCTTTGTCTGCTTGCGAGCCAGGATGCAGTGCAATCCAAGCCACGTACTTCGCAAGTTGAGCACGAAGCGTCAGGTTTGCCATTCCGGATAGTGACGTTGTGCTCATAGAGGTCGCAGGCCCTCTTCGCGATCCGACATGGGTCACAGGAGTGATTCTGCCTCCGTGGTCGGCTTCTGGCCAGGGGCTTAACACCCGATGAGCCGAGCCTTGATTGCTCCATCAAATTCGTGGGTTCGACTATGTTTTCGCCCTTGGGATCATTGTTGCCGACAATGCCACCGATATCGACGACGAGCGGCGAAGTGCTGGACCCGTTGTGACCAAGATTGCCCTGCTCCGATGATGTCCTGGGGCCAAATAGCGTCCCGAGGTTCTCATCCCAATCTGTGACATTGTCAGATGACTGAGAATGGACCATGTCGGCGGCCGCAGCCCAGATGTGACTCGTGGGAGAGGGCCATCCAAGGGCGCACGTGGTGGGCATTGGATAGAGGTCGTCATGCGGTGGTATCTCTATCGCATTTGCATCGTCGAACATCATGTTTGGATCGCGCTCGGGCTCAAGGTGATGTAGTTCGAGGTCCATGTGAAATCGTGGAAATATCCTTCACGAAAAGGTGGCCTTGAGCTACAGCAGTGGTTTGTGGCGGATGTAGGACGACGTCAAGGCCAAAATGATCAGCGCCTGGAAGTCATGGCCATTCCTACGCCAAATCGAGGGTGGTCTCCATCCCCCACTTTCTCTCACCGGCTTGGAGCTTATCGGTAGCCAAAGACCTGGGAGCTGGATTAAGCTGCCCCAGCAAACTATAAGAGATCCAGCCGCCCATGCACGTGACTGGACTCGCGGACCCGCGGCTCCGGATTGGCAATGGCACCCATCTTGACCAATGACATCCGTCATGCTGCATGCTTACCCACTCATCAGATTTCGCAGAGGTGAATGATCGACAATGACCCGACGGATCATCCTGCCTCAGCATTCGTTTTGAAATCTGCCAACTACAAGAGAGCACAGACCGTCTGCTGCACGTCGAAGTTTCTCTCCAGTCAGCTTGCGCCGACTCACGCTATACGTACCGCTGGGCCTGCGGCACAGGCGAGGGTGCTCGCGACCAGTAGTCGCTGTTATCGATTACTTTCTCCGTGGCATGGTCTGCGCATAGGATCAAATCTGCTGGGACAATAGATGATTCAATTCAGCTGCCTCGCGGCCGTATCCTTGTATGATGTAGCACATGAACTATATAATAACCAACACAACTGACAGAGAAGCCCCTTGATATTCCCTAAACCCATAGACAATCTTGCCTGACGGATGACATTTACCCTGGCCACGATCATGGCGTTACGTGATGTTTCTGCCTTGAGTAATATGCGACATAGTAGATCGAGGCAACAAGGACAACGCCTCCGAGAACGGCAGACGTCCAGTTCATGTAATCTGGGGTGACGGGAAGGTAAAGGGGGAAGTTGATCGTTACCAGAATGAAGATAGTCCATAGGTCTGCCACCAAATAAATCATTGTACCCCAACGCCCTAAATTCAACCATCGATCGGACCTGAGTGAGCTGCGACCTTTATAGAGCGCGAGACTGAAAGAAAAGATGATTCCCAGAAGTAGACATGCAATGGCTGCACCCAAAAGGGCGTTCATCTAGACAGAAAGTGCATTAGCTTGGTCCTTCTTGTTGAAATTTGATTGAGCAGGTCTTGAGGGTCCATTTTTGCAGGGTGGAAAGTAGGAAGGTCGGGAGGATGATTAGAGCCACTTACGGCAGTGTAAGATCCAATGCTGATGGCTCCGATCGCCAGTATCAGAAGCGTGTTCCAGAGCAACGCGTTGACGGGTAAATTGTCACGCGATGTTAGCTTGGACATAGTCCTTGAGAAAGGTAAAGCTCCTTCGCGAGAGAAAGACCAGTACAGTCGAGACCAGCTCACAAGAGACGCTGCTGAGGAGACAAAGAATGCGTATATGATAATGGTTCCGGTAACGATAGTGAATGGTACCGACTTGTATGCGTTGAGCAGCAGTTGGATCATAGGCTGGCCTCCGACAGCAGTGAGGAGACTCGCTGGATCGACATTGCAGAACTGATAGCACAATATCAAGGGTAACGCGGTCCAAAAGTTCATCGTAAACGTTCCAAGGATGACCTGAGGAATCTGCTTTCCCGGATTCGCAACTTCGTCCGTGAGATGGGTGACATTATCCATACCTCCTAGGCAGGCCATAGCTGGTAGGAGAGCGAGGAAAAAAACCCACCCATCAGATTTCCAGCCAGATTCATTGACGAATTGAACGAAAACAGTATGAGCGTCCTGCCTAGGAGATGCCTTAACCAACAACGAGACGAATAGATAGATGGCAGTACCGTTAAGCGTGAATATGACGGCTCTCAAGAGATAATTGACAGTCTGGAAGATTCGAGGCAGGTTGATGACCAGGCTCAGCAAAGCCCAAGCAACGTAGACGAGATACGTTTGCCATGCTGTAGGGGCAAAGTCTGGGTGAGCTACCACCGCCAATGCCATGGTAAGCTGTGCAGAGTATAGCATGGATGCTGCACACACGAAGAACCACCCTGCGTTCGTGGACCACCCGATCATGTATCCTAGAAGTCGGGACAGTCGAGGAGGGGCAAGTACAATCACCCAATGTGCGGGTCCTGGAACATGGTCAGCCAGTGCCGAGCCAGTGCCGGTAATTGATTGCCATTGAAGCACTCTTCTGCTTACCGGACGAATGTGGAATTGCAGATGCCAGTTCCGATATGGCCAAGGCGACTGTTAATTGGAAACATCCGGTCAGGATGTAGCCCCAGAAATAGGTCGGAGATCCGCCCAGGCCCACGACGAGCGATAGATATGTCCCGATGGCGACAGGGGCCGCTGTTACTGAGTACTGCACTCCGATGGCAGCCAACAGATTGAACTTGATTTTTGGTTGCCCCACCTGGCCGACCTGCAACGCTTCTATTTCCCCTTCCTTGGACGGTGCATTCAGCTCTTCTGAGTTGCCCATTGTGCTGGAAGTTTCAGGTTGCCAGCGCCTAGAGATTGTCGTCTTCAGAAGCTCCCAGCTCTTTGTTTCCGAAGGATTGTGAACAGACATGAAAGGCGACCAGAGTCAAGGGTGACAGGCAGACGCAAGGACACAGAGAGCGTGTAGGGAGGGAGCGCGGGAGAATACTGACAAGTCTCCAGCTCATGAGATGGATCCTTGTGACTTCGTCTGATAGACACTTGGATTTACTGGTTTCGTGGGATGCAAGTTTATATGTCAGTCCTTTAGTGTTTACTACTGTCACCACGAGTCCTCGTATCGTTTCAACGTTCAGTTTGTGGGGCCCTACCGAAGTGCTAGTGGAAACCTTGGGCTGCTTGCCGTCGTCTAGGCCCCTTCGGCCCTCTTTTGCAGCTTGTGCTCGTCCGGAACCGCGGCCGCTCAATATTCTTATCACAAATCTGGTCTTTTGCCCCTTCGTGGGGGAAACAAATTATTGTGCTAGGACCAGTATCCAATTATCTCGTGTGCAAATTGATTGCCACGCAAGCGTACACGAACGACGATATCAAAAAGATACAGAAATCTAAACCTACCAGAGTCTTATCGGGATGTGGCCTGGGAAACGGGCATCGACACCTGTAGGCTCCGACAAAGTCCAATGTCTTCTTTGATCTGTGGCGTTTCGTGTTGATTGTTGCAATGAACTGGCATGAATAGCAACTCTCTTTTCTTCAACTGCGAATTGTTCTACTTTCGACACAGCGAAGGAAAACTATAATGTCTGCAGAAAAAGTTAGCCCAGGTGTCGTCAAATTACCCAACAACAGGTGACTACTTGGTGTAAGAAATGAAATGCGATCATTGCAAGAACATGAGATGGCTTCTACTGTAATTTAAATAGAAGACGATCACAGCATCGCTGATAGCTCGAGCTTGAAGCCTAGCTCCCGCGCAATTATACTCGCGGCCTTTTCTCCTACTGCTATGGCAAGATTGTTGGTATTACCCCCCACATTCGCTGGGCAGATACTAGACAAGTGTCAAAATCACTCGGAGCGAGTCATTGTGCTCTTACCTCAGATCGGCCACCTTCAGGCCTGTAGTGCCATGGACATTGAGATCCCCATCAACAACGCCCCCTTCCTCAGCTTTCTTCATTGCACAAGTGCCAAGAGAGTGCCATGTGGTGTTGACAGTCTGTCGGATCCAGTTCTCGATCGTCTCATCGTCTTGCTGAGAGTACTGGATACGATCACGGTCCCGACTGGGCAGAAATCCCTCTGACGCCGTGTGTCCGGGAAGTTTGGGGTGTCCCATTTCTAGCTCTCCTTCAAAGAACGGCAGTCGACGTGCAATCTCGCGAATCAATTTGTATGCCCATACTTGCTTTTTGATATCAGATGGATGACTCAGAAAGCCTGCGTCAAAATCGTACCCGCTATCCACATCGGTAGCCGAGTTGATATGAATTGAACCCCGGGAATAAGGATACGCAGTATACGCTCCTAGCGTAAAATACTGGCCAGGACTGACCAGTGCAGCATCCCCCATGAAAGCATTCACCATGCCGCAGAGCATCACAGGCCGAGTTGGATGAGGCGCAAAGTCTCGTTGCCAGTCGGCCTCGAAGTCCGTGCCAAGTGCTTTCGCATCTTCATCTGTCATCCGGAGTTTGGAACATATGTCTTTCACATTTGGTGTTAGCTGCCTGTGTTTACGCGTTCCCTCGAGGATAGTTACCAATAGCGTTCCAGCCCAGTCGATGGTCCTTCTTCTCGGCTGCTGTGGCGACTTCCATTCGAGAGCTGAATATGTCGTCTAATGTCTCTTCTGGAGGGAGACTAGAGTGATAAGGATACAAGCACAGGTGGTGGTCCTGGTAGTTCTCACCAACACCTGGCAAATCGCTGACAACATCGACACCGAGCTTGTGCAAAAGTTCGAAGCAGCCAACTCCCGATCGCTCGAGGATCTGGGGACTACCTAAGGCTCCTGCGGATACGACAACCAGTTTCTTGGCCGAAATGGTCTGCACCTTGGGCTGCGAGAGCTCAGTTGCAGGTTGGCTGACAAGCTTGGTCTGATACTCAACACCGGTCACTCGTGGTGGAGACTGTTCCCCATCGAAAACGATACGTATAACTTGCGAGTTGACCAAGATATGTAGATTGGGGTGCTTCCCGTCTTGCAAGAGTGGGTGAATGTAACAATGAGCAGTATCCTGGCGCTTGCCGTCCGGTGAAACATATCGTTGCCACCTCTAGACACTGGTGAGTTATGATAACAGTGGATTTGGCACGTCTTACAGAAAAGCCGCCAACCTGATCTAGATCCTGTAGATCAACAATCTCGTCAAAGCCCATCTGTTTCACGGTGTTGATGAACACATCGCTGCTCTTGCTTCGAAAACCTCCTGAGGAGATGTGTATCGGTCCTTCATATCCATGCTTATTCTTGTCAATGCCTTGCTCATCCTGATGGAATGTCTCAAGCTTGTTAAACACCGGCCGCATTTCACGAGCCGTCCACCCTGGGGTTTTCCACGCATCCATGTCAATACTCTGGCACCTCGTATACATCATGAAGTTTATGGAAGAACCACCGCCGAGCGTGCCACCTGCGGGCACCACAGCCTCACGCCCATCAAGATGACTCGATGGACGAGATTTGTAGAACTATGAGGAATATTAGCCATTCCACGGGACGTCTCTCATGTCTCTGAAAGGAGGAAACTTATGGTCAACAATTATCATACCAGAGCTGTCTTGCTGTCTGGTGACAGATGCGAGAGATATAGTGCAGGATGAACCACAGCTGGCTCTTCAAAGTTGTTCGGCCCTTGCTCTATCAACAAAATTTTGAGGGTCGGATCTGCAGCCGCCAGTCGTCCAGCTGCCACACAGGCCGCAGTGCCTCCGCCTGCGAATATGATATCCATGTCGCCATGCTTTTCGTGCGAGTAGTGTGCCATTTTGCAATTAGATGGGGAGCAGAGGCTTGCTTCACATCTGACACCACTTCAGCGAGGACATCCAACACAGAAATTTTGTAGAGATATATGTCCTCCATCTCATCAACATTGAAGTCACGTTTCGGGCTAGCTAGCTCTCGACCAGAACATTACTGAAACACAATGCGACCCTGCGGTGCCGCGGTTGGTGCGTGTGTTGTGAGCTGGGTGTTGAAGTTGAACGCGGGTCCGTAGCAGTCGGCACGAAAATGGACAGTTCGACGATCATTGTATGTGATCTAAGAAAGGCTTTGGCTGTTGCAGGACGCAAATCGATGCGGTCATACCGTCCAATTCGATCTGGTTTCGTGGACAGACATTGCGAATACTAGGCAGAGAAAACGTGGCTACCGATAGTTCAGGCTCCGCGTCTGCCCGGAAATGTGCCCGAGGGGCCCCAGACCCCGTTCAGGTTGTCCTGAACCACAAGCGGAGTCGACTCTAAACCTACATTCAGGCAGGCTCCCTAAGCTCCCACGTAGGCGCTGATTCTAGGCTTGCTCTACCCCAGACCAAGACTCGGCCTTCTGTTCCCACGCGAGCAGAAACTTCTCTCCCAGCTCAATACGCTCTGAGGTACCACACTCGCATCCACTAAACATAAGGGTCACGTTATCACTTAGTTGCAGCTCGACGTGGACGTTGTCTTTGCGTTTGGAGCAGCCGCTCTTTTGTTTCTCATTTCAGTAAGATGCTATGCCTATGCCACCTGTTCCGCGTGAGGCAATCAATCTTCGAGGATCAAGCATTCCATGCCAGACCGGTCTTGATACTTCCATACCATGCAATCATAATGTCCTTCCAGTAATATGATCTACGACGCCAAGGTCCTCTATCACCAGCTCTGGGCAGATTGGCATTCCCTTCTTTTACGTAGGTCGACTTGAGCCTCCAGAACGGCAGCTCTTTCATGTTCGCCTTCTCTTCGTCACTCAGCCGCGGTACAATCATGCGAACGTTCTCCTTCTTCATCCTAGTCAACAGTCTGCACGCAAGCTGAGCACTTGCGTCTGCCCCCAAAGTCCAACTGGCATCGACGTAGCCAAATGCGAAGACGAAGTTGGGCAGACCCTCAATCAAGGCGCCGTGCCACGCAAAGTGGTCTGTGATGTGGAACTTTTGATCGTCAACAAAGAAGTCGACACCACCTCCAAAACGAAGTTTGAGACCTGTAGCTGTGACGATGATGTCTGGAGCCAGCTCTTCACCTGACTTGAGACGAATACTATTTGCAGACACCGTGTCGATGATGCCCGTCTTCACGCTAGCAGTACCGTTCCTCAGGCATCTGTAAAAATCTCCACCTGGGCAGAAGCACAGCCTTTGTTCCCACGGCTGATAACTGGGGTTGAAGTCCGGATCCAGCGACATGCTCGGAGGGAGTTGTGCTTTGGTAGCGGAATCGAGCATTTTCCGAGCGGCATTTGGGAACCATTGACAGAAAGTTGGCATGAACCAGCTTATCATCATCCATTTGAATCGAATGAGCTTCAGAGCCAGGCTTTCGGAGCACAGAGCCCTTGTAGCTCTCTCAAAGGCATCTTCACTCGGCAGGGACCAAACATAGCTTGGAGAGCGCTGCAGCATTGTCACATGCGCTGCCGAACCGGCCATAGATGGAAGCAGAGTGATAGCAGTCGCCCCAGAACCAATGATGACAACGTTCTTGTTGCTGTAGTCGAGGTCGGAGGGCCAGAACTGGGGATGCACAACAGTGCCTTTAAATTTCTGGATGCCAGGAATATCGACTTTCAATCCTTCATTGTAGTCATAGTATCCAGTTCCAAATAGAAGAACGTGTGTTCGCACTGTCTTCTGAGCCACGGCCGTGGTAACTTTGAGCGTCCAGGTCTTGTCCAAAGTAGACCACTGAGCTCGATTGAGGCGATGGCCATATTGAATCTTATTATCGATGCCCGTTTGTGCTGCACATTCTCTGAGATATCGAGCTATGTTCGCACCTGATGCCAATGTAGTCTTCTCCTTCCAGGGATGCCAGGGAAATCCAAATGTGAACAGGTCGGAGTCGGACCGTACGCCTGCATCTCCATCAGTGGTTCAATCTCTTGGACTTCGATAGACACTACGCCTCACCAGGATACTGGAACAGGCTCCATGTTCCACCAATTTCATGGCGAGATTCGAGCACACAATAGCTCAGGTCTGGATTTCGCTCTTGCAATCTATGTGCAAATGCAATGCCTGAAATTCCAGCACCCACAATGACTACATCGTAATCGAGCCGCTGAGGCTGGTGACTGACAACCATGTTGTACAGAGCTCGGATTCCCAATGCAACGAAATGTCCAGATGTGCTCTGCTAATAAAAGAAAGGCAAGGAAACCGTTTTTTCGGATACAAGGAGCCGACCGTGGCTCAAGTCTTCTACTTGGCCTGAAACTATGGTCCGGCGTCTAAGGCTTCCCTAGTTATACAGATCTGCCGCATGGTATGAGATCATGTGACAGATATAGAGGCCCTTGAATGGGTTCGGACGGCTGCCAGAGGCGAATGCCCGGGTCATTGACTATTGTGCACTCCTGACCGGTCCCGCGGATCAGGGTGTCCGGTATTCGCATAACCGTGGAGTCAGTAGCCCTTGGCATTATCTAGCCCAGCCAGTATATCCTGTGGCATAGTTCCCGGTACCTCAGGGAGACTGAACCGATAGGCACTCTCTGTTATGATGGTAGGAACAGAAGACGAATGGACTGATCTTCGAAGCACGGGGAATCCTTTGCTCGAATAGTCGCTTTTTGCGACAGCCTACCTGTTCACTTGTGGTTTCTTGGGCATCGATGCTTGTATTTCTGTGTTACCTAGACCCTTGCTTTGTTACTCCGCGGTTCCGCTGGAGGACTTTCCGGTGGATCCCTCCAATCGGCTGTTTAAACCATGATACGAAGACTGCTGGACGGCTGGTCCAAGATAACTAAAAGCATGTGTAAATGCATGTTATCGGTCAATTCGTTCGCCGTTCTAGAGCATCCCATTGGTATCTCTCGTCCTTATGAATATAAAAAAGGTGTGCATAGTCTCTGCTACGACGTGGATGGCTAGCAACTCTGTATGGAAACTGCTACGATGGCCGCACACTGGGAAAAGACAGTTTCTGTTGTGGGAGCTGGAGATATGGGCTCAGCTCTTGTAAGAGCTTTGTTGAACAACGAGTTTACCACGACCGTATAGAACCGCTCCGCCCAAAAATGCCAAACGCTCGAGGCAATCGGGGCGTCAGTTGCGCCATCATTCGGCGCATGCCTGGCTGCGAGTCGGGTCTCTATCGTGTGCCTGAACGATACAAAATCACTCAACACACTCCTTGAAGGACAAAACGGCTCAAGATTTGACGGCAAGATCTTGATCAACTTTTCCGTCGGTTCATTTCAACAGCTTGATGCCTGCAGCCAACTTGCCTCAAAACTTGGCTTTCAAGCGTATATACATGCGGCAATCTTCAGCACCCCTCCTTTCGTAGGCCTGCCAGAAACTGTTTCCTACTATGCTGGTGGCAATGAGGAAATATTTGCTTCACTTCAGTGCATCACCAATTCCTTCGGTCGTAGCGTCTACCTTGGATCCGCTTCAAAAAAAGCCAGGTTTCAGGAAATTCTCATGGGGGGATGCTTCTTTGGTTTTGCTACCGGTTTCTTGCAATCAATGGCGACACTGAGATTTTCGGAGTTCTACACTCCCGGAGCCGCTGAAGCTCTGATGTCCGATATGGTGGTCCCTCTACTCACGCATGCAATGCCTCAGATATTTGGCGAGATCGCCAAGCAGGTGGATAAGCGCGAGTATGTTGCTGGGGCCAGCGGTGGGGAGGCCAGGCTGGGAGTATTAGCTACTGCTTTGCGGGACTGTAATGAGGTTTACAAAGACTTTGGCTTGTCAAACACCGCCATGCTCCCCATGAGAGACATGATCGAAGCTCGACTAGCCGACGGTGGTTCTCTGGACGAAGAAATGAGTAGCTTGATTGAGGTCATTCGAAAACCCAGTTTGTTAGACCTGGAGAATGATACCTCATGAGCATTCATTCCAGCTTTCCTTGGCCGATGTACGAGTCGATTGCCGGCATCAGGGAAGGCTTTTCAGAAATCTTTGCGGGGGCATGTGACCTGATCACAACATGTTATGTCCATCTCCTGGGAACGGTGCTTGCCGGGAAGCTTATCTGACCTCAGGGATTGTGCCGTTGAGATCCCATGGCTGTTTACGCTTTGCTGAGACCTGCATGCCCTGGGTCTCGCCTTCCAGTACGGCCTCCTCAATGCTTTCGTTCGCGTGTCGACGAACCTTGCAGCCATGCGTCTTTTTGCACATGTGGTGACTGTTCTTTACACGGATCACTATCACGGTCATCACAATACTAGAAGAATGTTTTAGTCCAACGATTTTCGACGAACGCGATGTTGCTCTTGAACTATGCGCCGGCAGTAGAATTCATCTCTTCCGGGTAATCCTCGAACTCCATTAATTTGACTGGCCCGGTCTCGGAATCAACCAAATTGATTGAAGGGCATCTCAATTTGACGTCGGAAAACTCCAGCCGGGGTCGCTCTCCTCTGCTATGCCTTTTTGGTGCGATCTGTAACTGACCGTGGCTCTCTTGAATGTGGTTCCAAAGATCAATCTTAGAGTTTACAATCGTAGAGCAGGCAGAATGTCCGCATGGGATTCGCTTCGTTGGATGCGTGTCAAGCGTGCTGAGCATGAGGCACTCATCCATGAATCAGGCTTCGCATCACGCGGACGTCCAGTCACTTGAGAAAATACTGTACTCTTGTTCGACTAGAACAGGAGGGAGCCATAGAATCAAACTGTCTCATATACCCTAACTACTTAGCAGGTCGTGCTAGAGATGCGCCAGAAATGTAGAGTGTGCGGCATCACTCGCCTCGCTCGGCATAAACACTTGCCTCGCCCTTTGCCATGTAATCAAAGCTCTCCTCACTGGTCGTGGTAGCAGGCGGACTCGGAGTCTGATCCCCGGCGATGCCACCTTGGATATTCATATCACTCTCATCTCCATCATCACCATCATATTCCCATCCTTCTCCATCGCTACCTGCCCGTTTGCCTTGCCAGAGAAGTCCGTCACCGAATCCCCATCCGAGGCCTTTCTTCGTTCGGCTGACTTCTTGTTCCATCAGAGGTAGTGTCGTCGTCGTTCCCTTGACACCTTCGCCCCGAACGGTAGCATCTTGAATTGGCAAAGTACGCTGATGCCAAGCACCTAGGAACATGCCCTCAGGGTCGCTATCGTTCCTCACACGCATGAACTCGGCCATGTCCTTCCCATACATGGCTTCAATCTCGCCCTTGGTCGTGTACGCAAAATTCTTTGCCCAGTGTGGGCGGCCGCCAAGGTCGCGCATTAACCACTCAAAAGCGCGGTAGTAGGTTTCGTGGCAAGGCGGGTCGCGACCATATGGCCGATACAACGTGGCATTGAGGTAGAGGGTAGGTCCGACAGCGTCAGTGGGGTCGAGGAACGGTCGCACACCCGAGCTATTGGATTCGGAGAAATTCGTGTCCGAGACACGCACCTCGATGGGACAATGCACCCAAACGCCCTTGCTGGAAATGGGGATTCCTGCTGCAGCATCGTCACGATTGATCCATGCGCCAAGTCGTGCGATGGCTTCGGGACCTTTGTGAAGAGGCAATGCCCATTCGTTGACGAACTGGCTGTATAGGCAATCCATCAGCAATCCCTCACGTGCAGGCTGAACGGCAGACATGGTAAAAGATCCTGGTTTGAAGCCGTACTGCATTCCGAAAATGAACCATTCAACCCAGGGAAGAATGCGGGGAAAGATGTTTGACAACCATAGGAGGTTGTGATAGACATAGTAACCAAAGCTGCCTCCGTAGAAGGTCGTGTTGGGTGGTTTTGGTGCCTCGTCGGTCTTGGAAGCACGCCATATGACAGCCTGCTTCATGTATGGAAGCCACCAGACGCGCGTAAATTCTTCCGTTTTCCACAGGTCTTTGTCCCACTCATCGATCACAGATTTGAGGGTGTAGAGAGACTGGGACCAGGAAATGTTGAAATCTGGGACGGCCTGGACAATGATTTCGACGATAATTCCCAAAGAACCCAACGAAAGGAGGGCTGCGCGGAAGAGGTCTTCGTTCTTGGTCGCGGAGCAGGTGACGAGCTGAGCGTTGGACAGTAAGATGGTCAAGGAGGTAATGGATTGAGAGACCAGACCATGCTTGAGACTTGAACCATGAGTGCCTGTTGAGATGACACCAGCTACCGATTGGACATCGATGGAGCCCAGGTTCGGCAGCGTGAAACCGTCCTTGGCAAGCTCCAGATTGAGATTATGGAGCGAGATACCAGCCTGGAATCGTGTCAGGCCAGGGGTGTTGTCGACACTTCTTTCCAGGATTTGAGACAAATTGTCCAGATTCACCAGCCAGGAGGATGTACAGGTTAGGTCCGAGGGCGAATGACCGAATCCAGTGACACATACCCGCTTCCTAGTGCGCCTGGCAGCGGTGACAATCTTTTGCAACTCTGGGATAGACCATGGTTGAAAGTACAGCTCTGGTCGCGAGAAGAAGGTTTGCGCCCAGGTATGATGCAGATACCGGACTTGAGGATTGAACGGGACGGCATCGTCGAGACGAGCAAGCTCTCGACGGAGTTTGGGTTCAAGGTACACGGTGGCGGTGGGTACCGGGGATTCCCGAACGGTATTTGGTTTTGTTGTGGGGAGGTTGGGGGCAGCCCAATCCATCTTGATGGTTGGCGAGGTCGGCTCTTGATGAGTCTCTAGAGATGACAAGATGCGATCAAAGCATGGTGGAAATAATTGTGGGCTCTGCAGTTAGGAGTGCATGATGTTGAGGCGGACGAGAGGAACCTTGAGATCGGGAGAAAAGTAGTTTAGTGGAAGGAAGAATCATGACTTTTAGCCGAGGGATCATTATGTAAGCATCCATGTGATTGGCCACGAATCAACGACGCTCGCCTGGATCTGCGTACATCCGAATGGGGAAGCTTCGGAGGCAGAAATGGCATCAAGTCTCCTGATGTTGTGTATCATTTTTACATCAAATACAATACCAGACGAAGGTATCATGCTATTTGGCACGGTTCCTGGTTTATTGTCCATGGCTGACATCATCACCATAGCTAATAGTATCATCATCATCTGTCTCGTCATGATCAGTCATGTCTTCACTGAACCATCAATCCCATCTACGACACAATATGATATGTCCTGCTTTGTCCTCGAGCTACCCAACCGAAAGGGTGCCAGTCACCTCCACCTTCTTTACATAGAAGCAACTGCTGTATAAACTATGACACAATGCCCAGCTCTTGCATGACATCTTCAGCTCGAGCCGAGATAGACCCCTGCGGTAATGTGGACCTTGTGGGCTTCCACTTGCGAAAGGTTGCCTTGATGTTGTCGGGTATGTCGCCTGAGATGACGTGACAGGTCGGCAAAAATGGTCGATCTTGTACAGAAGGTGATAACACGGCCATCTCCTGTGCAACCTGTAATGCCGTAATAAACTCTACAGGTTTCCGTGCTGATTGTCCAACAATGCTATCTTCGGTATTAGTATTCGATTCCATTTGACCCTGAGAAACAACTTACACATAGAGTTCACTGTAGACATCGAGAATCTGGATACAACTCGCATCCAGGTCCTGCTGAGTGAATGGCCGAATTTCCTCGATCAGAGCCTTATTCGAAGGCTTAGAGGGTGAGGCGGCTCGCAAGCCCCAGAAGCCGCCCGAGGATTTGGGTCGATCGAGCTCCACTCGATACAATCTTGTCGACTGCCCGCGGTGTCGATCCGACTCAGAACGCCCAGCCGTCGTCTTTCGCTTTCCAGAAGTGTAGGGAAATGATTCCCAGAAACTGGCCGGTTCTTCTCCCTCGCTGATCTCCTCGATTTCTCCCGTCAGCCCCAGATCCATACCGATGAGTCTCGCACATCCCACATCTTCTGGGTTGCTACTGGCTCCTTTCCAAAGGTATAATTTGCCAAATTTAGCCGAGATCAAGAATGGCAGGCCTGAAGTGAGTTGATCAGGCGCAAAGTCAACTTCATCAAAGGCAACATGGCCAAGATGTCGTCGGCCACAGAGCATATACAACGCCGAGGTCTTGTTTCGGCGGATAATGACGATTCCTCCCAGACCCTGGAAAAATTCCGACTTTTCCTTTCCTTGTCGAATAATCTCAAGCTTTGCGTTGTTCTCTCGAGCTGCCTTGCGACAGAATAGTTGAGCATCCTCAATGGCAGCTTCAGAGACTTCATCTCCGCACCAAAGGTAAGCTTCCGATGTCTGTGTCCCGTTCGAGATTTGCATCACGTGGATACTCAGATACATGCTGTCCTCAAACAAGATGTGTTCCTGCTGAGGCGGCATGGGTATTTTCTTCCCCCCTGCCCCAACCTCCCAAATCTGGTGATTGACGGTTTTGACCTTCTCACCAGGTGCCTGGGACGACAAAAAGGAATGGGTATCAAACTCTGCCCTATCGGTAGATTGCGGTAACGGGCCAAGGATCGCTTCAAGTTGTGTTCTGACAAGATGAGCATTTGTAGTTGACTGAAGCGGCTTTTGCGATGGCTTGGGAGGAATTGGCTTCGAGCGGCCCGCAGATAACTGTGATTCTGACGGAGGGGTCAATTCAGATGTTGCAAGAGGCTTAATGTGGGGCGAATCAATTCGGACGCCAACGCCGTTGGCTTTTCCGGAAGACGCCAGGCTGGATTTAGGGTCGGTGTCGGCTTCTGGTTTGGATTTTGGAGTGTTGAGTTTCGATTTGCTGGGAGTCAGAGGCATAGTTGCTGCGTTCAAAGGTGTTTTTGAGATCACTGCCGGTTTGTCTTGTGCATCGAGTCGAGATTGTTGATCTGAGAGTACCGAAAACTTCTTAGGAGTTGCAGGTCTGGAAGAGATGGCATTTGAAGACTCGGGTATTTCAGAACTTGACACCTTGCGAAGCTCTTCAGATTTCTTTGCCACAATGGGTTTAGACTTTGAGAAAGGCTCAGGAGTGGATGAAGGAGCAGCAACGGCACGCTTTGCCGATTCAGCAAGGCTATCTGAGAGGGAGCTAGGCGACAATAGACCCTTGGGCGTTGTGGTAGAAGACGGAGGGCCTGAAGGTGTTTTTGAAACCTCAATCCCGGCACTCGGCTTTCTCGGGGATGGTTTGACCACTGATGATGCGAGTGGAAGAGTTGCAGACTTGCTTGCCTGCTCGGGAGCTGGAGACGCTGATTGTGGCGCTTCAGCTTCGGAGGTCTTGGGTGGACGATCTAACGAATTTGCCTTCGGTTTGCTGTTGCGGCCGCTTTGATTGTCTTTGGGCGTTCTCCTCTTCGGCCCTTTGGCTCTGCCCTTCGTCATATGGGTCAGTCCTGCAGAGGGCTGATCTGCCGCCGTAGACACCATCCGTCCTGAGCTTTGAGAGCCATACTGATTACCCTCACTTGGAGGGTCGCCGGGAAGGCGAGGACTTCCACTACGAGACAAAAAGCCAGCCAGAGCAGGGTTGAGACGTGCGGCCAGGTTACTCTTCTCTGATGCACTTGACTTTGGTGGTATATTGGCTTGAATCGGGCGGGCCACACTGGACACTGGCAAGGTGACCTGATCTCTGTCCTCTTTCTTGACGACATTAGAACCGGGTAGTTTCTGACCGTAATTGGACGGGATGGGTTCCGAGAGAGACTTTTCCTTGGGCAGTGGCTTCGGTACAGCCGACGGCGGCGTAGCCTTTGATGGCGAAGTCACGGGTGTTTGAGACCCTTTCCAAGCAGGGCTCCCTGTCGGCGGCGACTCCTTTTGTGAAAGCACCGGAGGCTTCTGGGGCTTATCGATCTTGGCTGGGAAGGTGCGCGATGACTCTTTCGAAACGTCTGGCAACTTTCTAGACTCAGTATCAGGCAGTGAATTGGTTTTTTGCAGAGCATTTCGTCGTATCAGGGCTTCAGGGATTTCATCATGTTTCGGTTTTGATGCTTCCATTGATTCTGGCCTCTTGCTGGTACTCCCGCCAGCCGCCTTCATTGCTTCCTTCTTCTGGAGAATGCTCTCCTTGAATTCATCGACACGCTTCGTTTGTTGAGGCCCACCTGTGACTGCCAGTGCTGCCTTTCCTCTTGTAATGTTGTCCTTCAGAAGGTCTGGTGCCACATAATTTTGCGTCTGTGTCCGTTTCAGCTTCCCGAACACCGCCTTGAACTCGGGCTCAGTCCCATTGTTGTCATTTGAGGCCGGCTGGCGTGCTTTGAGAGCGGCCCGGAAATCGGTCTTCGGTGGTGTTTGGGGCTTAGGTTTGAGGATGGTACTTTTGCTTTCAACCTTGACGGGGGTATGTTCGGCAGGACGAGGTTCCGAAGCCGACTCGATTCCTTGAACCAAGCTCGAAGAATCTGGCTTCGGTTGTTCTTCTGCACGTGACACGTCTTTGGAGATCAGGTTGCGCTTCGAAGGCACCGCTGGCTTCTCGTCCTGTTGCAACGGAGCTATGATGTTGTTTGAACTTGGATTCCCAGTCCCTGGAATTGACTTCACCGCTTGTTGGTCCGTCCTAGGCGTAGCAGACGTAGGCGTCTTTCCATGGCTCTCTGAATGAGCCAGCGACAAATTGCCGCCAGCAGGAGTTGAGTCTAAATCTTTCGCTTCTGTCGATTGGCCGAGTTCGGGAGACTTGACACGTTGCTCCTTGGATCGCTGCATGTCCAACTTCCAGGCAGGAATCTCTGGCTTCTTCGTGAACCTAGGTGCATCAGGCTTTTGCAGGGCACTCTCGAGCCAGCTCGCCTTGGTCGGACTCCACCTGCGGGGATCAAGCGTCTTTGATGGACTTCGCGACAACAAGTCCTCAGAAGACTGCTGAGTGGAGGGGGGCTTCTGTTCTTGTGGAGGTGATGTGACGGCTTCGGAGTGATCATGCTCGCTTAACGGATTACTCTTGGCAGCGGGCGCTGAGTCATCTACGCGAGGTGTACTGCTTTTGAGAATTGGCACAGGGTCAGATCCATGGCTTGATACGGGTCTGGAAGTTGACAAAGGCGATGATTCGCCGTCTTTGAAGCCGCGTACGTCTCTGGAAGAACCTCTGGAATGCCCGGGGGTAAAGCCGCTGAGACTTTGGAGATGTGCAGGTCTAGATGTTGCGACCGAGTCCCCGCGCTTGAGTCCTGCACTGGCCTGAACACTCCACCTTTTACTGACGCTATCTGAACGTTTCATCATGGCGCTTTGAACAAACCCACCTAGACCTTTGGTAGGCGAAGATGGCCGACTAGTAGAGAGGACACTAGAAGTGCGAGCAATACCAGGTGCATCAGGATCTGATGGACTCGGTAGATCCAATGATCTTAAGTAAGGTTGATCAAGCGCAGGAGATTTTGACGGGGTTAATGAGATTGTAGAGAGCGGTCGAGTAGTGGCCGGTGCTCTATCGGCGCTAGAATCGTGGCGTGAATACGATGGTTCACCAGACGGAATGCTTGGTGATGAGGTTGTGCTTGTTTGGGGACCATCGGCTTGGATATTTTTGCCGGGTATAGACGATGATTCTTTGGCCATCCCCGGTAAGCGCATACCTCTGCCGAATGATGTCGCTGTGGTTTCAGAAGAATCGGTTTCATTCTTGCGGTAAGCGGCCGAGCTTAGGCCACGGTCCGAGGTCTGGCGAAACCATGAAGGATCTCGTGAGGCGAGCGAGGCGGCAATATCTTGTCTGGACATCTCAGGAGCGTCCTTGGAGGGGGAGGGAGGTCGACCGACACAAGAATCGGGAATAGATGCCACTGACTGCGGTCGTGATCGCACGGAGCCGATCGCGCCGGCTCTTGATAGGGGACGCTGATTCCAGGAGAGAGTGCCGCTTCGAGATAAAGAAGTTGCATTGGTTGAGTTGCCCACACTCGGGGAATGGTCTGCGGGCGATGGATGAGGAGGTAGAGGGCGATTGAAATCAACGGAAGCAAGAGAAGGCCGTTCAGCTCTAGGGGAAATTGAACCGGATCGGCCTAGAGTCTGGGGACGAGATTGCGGAGTGAGGACGACAGGAGGATCAATGCCCCGGGTTTGTACCGGCGTAGTGTCAACGACAGATCTCAAGGTCGGGGTAGGACCAGTCTTGGAGGGCGAAAGTGATCGTGCACGTTCTAAGATGAAAATCAGCACTCAGGATAACAGATTGTCAGGGAGTGTTCAGCTTCTACCAGCTCTTCTTGCCTGCCGCTCCTTACGAGCCTGCATCATCTCTTCCTCCATTTTTCTCGAGCGTTCGGCGTCTTCTTCACCCTGCTTCAAAGTGAGGCTGGCGATACGAGCCAGGAACTGGTCGACAGACTCAGAGCCATCGTTAGACGCGTCCATGATGGAGAGAAAATGTACTAGGTTTTTGAGGAGTGGACCTTGTGGATGTAGTTGCTGGTGTGGACTATGGCGCAGTCATGGTACGGGGCCTGCGTGTATGGCCGTCGGAGAATAAAGGCTTCAAAGAACGGAAGATTCGTTGGACTGGCTTAAAGGAGAAGCAGAGGCTCGGGAGCTTCTAGGGCCCGGCAGAGTGTGGATGGCTGGCTAAAGGAAACAATTTTTTTCTGAACATCTGTTGTTGATGTTGATGTTGATGGATGCGGGAGACGAAGGAGGAAGGAGCGTCGCGGCGCGTGTTGTTCTCCGCAGCTTCCCTCGGAGCAAGTTTTTGGGTTGTTGGTTGCACGTGTGTCAGTACAGCTCCTTCCTTTTGTTATTATTATGCAGTTGGCAGTTGCACTACCAAGGAAAGTCCGAGTCGCGAGGTGCAACCCAAACTCTGATCTTCTCCCCAACACTTGAGGAAGAGAACAGATGTTGGATCTTTTAATTCATCCTCCATGTTTTCTTGTAAAAATCTATGCCCGTTTATGCCAAAAATCTATCACTACCTGTGGGTCGCTGATCCTGCGGCCACTTTGTTGAGGCTGCAGTGCCTGGCCAAGTCGTGGCCAGTGCGCCTGTAACAACCGAGTGTCCATGTGGCCTAAGAGCCCTAAGACCTATCGGTCCAGGGGTGCTTTGTTTCAGGTTTTGAGCTTGCGAATAGGCGAGTGCCACCCATAAAGAGACCGAAGGGGCCCCCATGGCCCCCAGGCGAACTGCTTCGTTTATTTCAGTATAAAAACAGTCGGTCTCGTGCATCTTGCACAACCCATCCTAATCCTTTGTCGAGATTTGATCCCGTGACTGCGCTGCAGGGCACAATCATCCATCGATGGGTCATGATCCTGTCCAACTCCAGGCCCTGTTTGATCTCTTCTTCAGTCATGCATCCAGCCACATCTGTCTTGTTCAAAAACACTAATAGACTTGCCCCAGCTAGCCTCTGATGTACTGGTCAGATTCTCAACAATAGCCTGCCAGCAGTTGCTCGCGAGACGCCTTACCTCTTCTAACAACAGTCCTCTGAGCTCGACCCTGCAGTCATCAACACGTAGCCGGTCAGTGGCATCCACCACCCAAATTAGAGCATCGGTTTTTTCAAAGTAGTTTTTCCAGTAAGAACGGATGGTTTTCTGGCCTCCCACATCCCAGATATTCAATTTGTAGCTGTAGTGGTCAGCCTGATTCACGATCCTTTCATGTTGTCTCAGGCAAACCCTTGAAAGTCAATAGTCTTGATGATAAACCCTAAAGTCGGACTGACGGTGCTGATGTCCTCATTCATGACGCGTTTGACGATCGTTGTTTTTCCTGCATTGTCAAGACCTCTAGACAAACACGTGATCAGCCAAGTCAAAGCCCAATGTCAATGGATATCATGCTATCTCACAGCATCAGGATTCGCATCTCCTTGTCTTTGAGTCGGGCTTTTCGGAGGATAGACAACATGATGTTGACGTAGAACCCCCTCAAGACAACGCTCGATCAAGTCATATGCGGGCCAATCAAGAACCATCCGCTAGGCTCTGATGGAATGAGTCAGATACAATTGAAGAACTTCGACTGGTTCATTGTTCTTGACCACATGTCAATCTCATCATCGTAACCCAATCACCTATATTCTATGTACATTCATTTGTTGACGGTGTGGGAATTCTGGGATGTGACTGAAATGATGTGGCTGCCTGAAGCGAAGAATGCCAAGCAAGTGACTGAGGCAGCAGTATTCTGGTGCCTTATTGGCCTTTGAAAGCAGCATGCTGCTAGCCTAATCCTGGACACATCTAACTCAACATGGACATGACTCTTGACTTCATCCCATCAGTGACAGTTGTTCCTTGTCACTCATCTCATGCTATTCCTCCCGGCTCATGTTGTTGATTCGAAATAGCAGCTGGACACGCTCTCGCATTTACTTCCTGTGGCTACGGCCTACAGCGACCCGCAGAATTGGGCCCTCTTCACCGTCCTAGCAGTGAATCAACCACGCTTAACGGCAAGATCCAATCACGACTTCAGCATGACCTTGAAGTTAAGTGAACTTAACTTTTTCGCGGTCCTGAACCCGTCATCCGCGATATGACAGTGCCTTTGGCTTTCACATGTGGTTCGGCGTATAAATATTTTTATTTAAATCCCCTCCTCACTCCTCCTTCATCCTCTCCAACCCGCTTCGCTCTTCCGTATCGCCAGATCCACTTGTTATTCTCCAACCTTTGAGGAGTGGTCAGGACCTCCTGCCGCTGGTTATAGACTAGGAGAACTAACTGGCACTGCGGTGAATATCGGCGCTGAAGTGAGTTCCGGCACTGCACTAAGTTCCGGCGCTACAGTGAGTTCCGCTCTCGGTGGTTTAGACTCATTGCTGACAGAACACAGCCCTAGATCATGGAGACATCATTCTCAAATCGGCGAGATCACCCACGCTTCAAGAACCTTGGCCTTTCTGAAAATGATGATCTCATCACCGACTCTAGACAAGGTGGCTTTCACGCAAACAACGACACCATGACAGATGCAAGTCACCACGACCATACCCATGAAAGCTCACCACTCCCCGGAAATTTTAATCCTTATGCATACGGCCACCCATCTGCCCAACCCCCAAAAATGTCTTCAAACCCTGTTGGCGCAGAGGCGTCCCATACCGAATCAAAGAACGTTTCAAACGAACCTGATGCATCCAAAGCCAGCTACGAAACATTAAAGCTCGACGGTGAGACGAGAGAACAGACCTTGCAACGACTACAGGAGAGAGGTATCCAGAAAGTCTACATCAGCGCATTGAAGAATGACAAGGATGGCCTCCAAACCACAAATCTCGCAGAGCTCAAAACACTCCGTGTTGAGCTTAATAACGGTGGCCAGCACTCAGATCAGCCACAACGCAAAAATCGGACTGAGGGGTCGGACATAAGGGCTCCAGCGTGGAGCTTATATAGCAATGCAGCCAGTTCAATGGGCGATCTTGATTCGACCAGGGCCATGGGTATCGACGACAAAGCCGAATTCGGCCGGATGATTTGCAGGGTCGAGCCTAATGTCATGGACTCTCCTCTGAAGGGTTGGGATGGTAATTTCCAACCTCCGCCAGAGGACTGGGAACAACGGGTCAAATATCAACTTCATGCCGACAATACCGAACATCGACAGTGGCTTCGTAATTGGCTCGATTCCACAATTCCCACATGCTTTGCTCTGAGACGAGCACAAGTTCCCAACATTGACTTTGTCATTTACCCTAAATCTGACGTTCTCGACGTTGCCAATCATGCTGATGGAATTGGTCTTGTTGCTCGTGACACGACAATCGATGCCTCAAACGGTGCCCACTATGGCTATGAATTCAGGAGCGACACATTCTTGAGAGTAGGGGGTGCGGTCGCAGACTTTGACGGCGATTGTTCAATGGATCTATCCTTGCCACAAAATTTCAAGGTCAAGGACGAGACCACCAACATGTACATCCAGGCTAAGACTGGAACTCTTTTCCCAGAGAAACTCAAACAGACCGAGGCATTCTCAATCCGCAACGATAGTCAACAGCCGCCATTCAAACCTTTGCAAGAACCACGACGCCCCAAGGCCAACTTTTATCTCAGACCTGCCGTTCGTTCTGACGTGCGTGGGATGATGGCCATCTACAATTACCACATCAAAAATGGCGTTCGACCATCTGAGTTGAACGAGATTGGCGAGTCCGAAATGCACCAGCGCATGGACATGGCTCAGCAATCTCGATTGCCATTCATCGTTGCTGTTGAACGAAGCCGGGGAAATTCTCGCAAGAAGACCGTGGCTCGCACAGCACATCACACCCATCCAATCCATAATGTCGACACGACATATTCAGGCGTGATCAAGGATGAACATGTCATCGGCTGGGCCTCAGCTACTGACTGGTCCTGCTTCGATTACGTGGAAAACATCAGCGCTGATCTCGAGTGCTTTGTGGCTCACAACTTTCGTCGAAACGGGGTTGGCCGCAGTCTGATGGACGCATTGTTGGCTGCCACAGACCCTGGATATACAAAATCGGGTGAATATGACTTTCACGCAGCACAAGAAGTCACGTCCTTTTACACTGGCGGCGGCGTGCGAGACATTAGCAAGCTCATCATCCAAGTACGATCATACAGCAAGCCCATGACCCCTGAGGCTCAGTGGCTGCGCAGCCAACCCGTGAATCCCGACCATCCATTTCTGCACGCTGGACGCCCTCCGGCTCAGCCCACGCCTCGCGCCCCAAAGCCAGACTTTAGCCCAGGCGTCAAGATCGACGATCGCGAGGATGATTACCAAGTCTGGTTGAAAAAGTGGCTGGAAAGCTATGGCTTCGAAGAAGAAGCATGCATGCGGGCGATCGGAACAAAACATTCGCGTTACCTAGATCTTCGATACGTGACGCGCGGAACTGCATGGCAGAAATGTGATGGAAAGGCACCAGATTACCAAGCGTATCCAATTCAACTAGGTTGAATTATCTATCGAAGGGCTGCTCTTCATGCCTATTCACTGCACGAAGACGAAGACGAAGACGTGCTAGACTGCATTGATCAGCGGTGCTAAGACGCAAGTTAGAGATCGAAACTGAGTGGAAAGCGAATCTCTTCTCGGCATAGACGGAGAACATGGATTGACTACAGAACCCCCTTGGACATTGGCTTTTTCAGACAGAATTCACAGCAGGCGACAGGGGCGTATGAATGCGTTTTGATGATAACGACACAACACGGGCTTTTTGTTTTTCTTGTGCAGGCCAGGCTGAAGGCTGCAGGTACTAGGTAGGTAGCTAGAAATGATTTTCAGACAACTCAAAAGATTCTCTCCTCTACCCATTGTGCATACAGTGATTCCTACGTACTTATGTACCTATACGAGTAGTCTAAAAGATACATGAGAAGCCAGCCTAGTGGTGGCCCCCACGGCCCTGCATGTATGTTTTTGATCAGAAATGGATTCACGAGATATGATTGGTCAATAACAGGTGCAGGCGGTGGTCATGCTGCTTCCTACTTCCTCTTGCTTGCTTGCATCTGCACCTTCATCTGAATACGAAGTTGTCCACGCCTTTTTGATTGGTTGATAACCTACCTTGGGAAGACATCCAGCGCCTGACAGGTTCGGTGGCCTTGATGCCCGTATTCGGTCAACGGGAATGATGGTGGGATCTTGGAATCAAGTGGATTCCACAGAAGTGTACTTAAATGGAGCAGCCAAATGTATCAGTCAATCATATGCGAAAACCGAAATTCGGCTCCGATTTCCGGGGAACCTTTGGGCTGGGTTGAGTTGGCTGCATTTGCAGGGTCGAGGGGCACTTGGTGATAGGATAGGATAGGATAGGATGATGAGACTACGAGTAGTGAGCAAGCAGTGGTGATGGATGATTGGCTGATAGGTGCAAGCTGGCAAGGTCGTAATCGTGATCATGATTATGCTGGTGGGATGACGGAACTGCATAAGGAGGTAGATACCTAAGCATCCAAAGAGCCTTTTACTTACCTGGTGAATGAGAATGACTAAATGTACGGTTAGGTGGATGATGGATGAATAATTACCTAGTATTATAGTGTGCCTTGTGTATTGATGATAGCCCAGAAAATAAAGCCACAGCCTCCCTTTTCTGCAACTCCTGTTCCCGTGAGCCGGGGTTGTGGCCGCTTCTGCCCCTCGGTGGCGATTAGGCGATAGCGATAGAGGGCAACAGAACCCTTGGGCGACTGGGCGGGGGAGGGGGGGGACCCCTAGGACGTATTGGGGCAATCGAGATAATGCCGATAGGCGAGCCCGGAGCGCGGTTGAGTTGGACGATCAGACAAGCCAAGTACGCGTACCTGGACGCTTTAGGACACACATGTTCTCGGATATGCAAGTCATCGCCCAAGTGGGATGATTGGCCTCCAGGACATCTGCGGAATTTGTTGCATTGACAATAGATACCTGCAGGTTGATGTGTCCTTGAGGTTCAATATCTTCGGAAATTAGGCTGTGGGCTTTGAACTAGCATTGTGCTGAATACCTGAAAGGGGAGATGGCAGCACGTTGACAATCGTGCCACCAACAGATTGCCTAAGTTGGTACCTAGTAGTAAGGTATCTAGGTACCTATACTTAGGTACACAGTCACAGGTGAGTACTGGGCGCCCGTCACGGCGGCTACTACGTACTGAAGCGCACTCGCTCAGGGGTTTCTACCTAAACAGGAGTTGTCAAACACCGATCGCCCACAATAGTGACAGTCAGCCTCTTTTAGGCATGGCATCGACTTCAACAACTGCTGTGTTCAGTAGACCTATATTCATTGTGGATGTTGTCAGTTTAGTTAGTTACTCTTTTGTTCCTGGTCTCTGTCTGTCTCGACTGGTTGGTTGGCCCGAGGGGCCTGATGTGTAATTGAGTTTGGATAGAACAAATGTCATTGCACCACTAAAGGATTGACACTGGGCTAGGTGATGTGCCATTTGCCATTTGCTCTCGGCGTTGTTGTGGTGTCGATGCCGATGCCGGTGTTGTAGTTCGGATGTCCGTGTTTCTTGCTATAATGGGGCGTTGAGATTGGGATATACACTATAACATAACAATGCTCTAAGAATGTCAAAGAGGCTTCAAGAAATCCTTCCTTCGACATTGTCGCATTGTTCCAGTTTCGGTGCTATTGATCATAAACCCCGATGGGCTTCAGAGATGGTCACTCTGACGGCATGTCAAGATTATGTCAAATGTCCAGGGTCTAGGTCCTTCTGTTGCGTGCGACCCTGTCCTTCCTTCCTTGGTCCAGCCAGCCGCTCCTGCTCCTCGTGTATGAAGTTTAGCTCCAAGCTGCCATTTTAACGGCGGACACAGGCATGCCAGGTGGTTCTGACAGCATTCAACATTGACTTAGATCCAAAAGAATCCGACTACGTGTCCTTTACTCTCTGCTCAAAATACTTAGCCTCTACTCCGTAGGTCTACAATTTTCTGAGGTCTTGCACGAGGGGCAACAAAAGGTCGGAAACTTACTCCTGTGGGGACATCGGTGCCTGCAGCTCACCCGCTCTTGCCAAGTTTGGGCACTAAACAGGATCTAGGAAGGAGCACTACGTACATGGTGTTTAGAACCGGATTGATGCTGGGTACCGTCTTTCGAGTCGAGTGCTCTGTTGCTGGATTTGCACAGGAGAATAATGGTGTGTAATCATCATATTGTACTCTCAATTTCTCGTGGTGCAAGATCAAAGCTCAAGCAACCCTAACAAATATATTATGTGAAGCAAGAAGTTTTGTCGTTGTTCGCGGGGCATGGGCATAAACCTCCGGGCGTCATTGCTGCCTATTTGAGGTGCGCATGTGACAGCATAGGGCATGGTAGTCTCCAGACTGCCCTATTCGCCGGAGCCGGAAGCTCTGACAGACATCGTGGACCCCTCAGGCCCCTCTTCGCGGGACGAATTACGCTAAGGAACCCATGGTCGTTGGCAAATATGGCGTTGATAGGGTCAGATTGAGTACGGGGGAGCCCCTCGGTCTGTGAGATCCCCGCCTATTGCAAGCTTGTGGTGAGGCAGCCATGCAGATGAGAATCGGCCTCGGTGGAAGATGCCAGGTGCCAGAACCCTGGAAGAAGTAGTAAGAATAGTGCCCAAGCTGCCCAAGAGTGACTCTCTTTCTGCCCCCCAACTCCAAGTCCAAGCCCAATCCCAAGCCTAAGCCCAAACCCAAGCCCCAAAGACCCTCTCTTCAATCCTCCTCCACCAAGCTCCCTCTCTCTCCCTCTTCCCTCTGCTCTACTTACTTTCAACTGCGCTCAACCTTATTCCTGCACCCGCACCTCCACCTCGATAACCTTTTTTCTCTTCAACTGGCCCTCTTCCTCCTCCGCCCTCTTCTGTCATTTCTCTTTTCTTTCCTTTCCTTTCACCTCCCACCCGACTCATCTGTCATTTTCCCTTCCCTTCTACCCATCTTCTTGTCTGCGCGTCCTCTTAGTTTTGCAGTGCTACTTGCTTTCTGCTCCTCTTTGTCGCCTGCTCTTCTCGGAGTTTCTCGAGTTCGCGCCGTGATCTGTGGCTTTTGGCTATATCCATCTAGCCCCCATCTACAACCTGCGCATTTGATCCGGTACGTCAAGCTCTTTTGTATTCTGCACCCTCAATTCCTCGACCGGTCCTGGCCTCAGTCTTGCCATTGCATCCAATGCAAGCCCCGACGTTGTGGCGACGGCGCAGCTTCGCCGACATTCTGCCTCAGCCTTCCTCGGCCTTTTCGCTGCGACTCGCGACCAGTACCAGTACCAGTACTGGCGCAACTGGACTGCGACAAAACACGACTCTAAGTAGACATTAACGCGACATGACAATCCCACATGCCCTCAAAACAGATCGTAACTGTTCAGTCAAACTACCCGCCAATCACCATAGTCGCCTTCCCACAATCTTCAAAATCTTCACTTCACCTTGTCACTATCACCATAGCGCCATCAGTTTGTCCCCAACCTCACAAGACACGCGCTGACTTTGTTTTAATTCTCTTTTTAGATCCACTTCAGATCCAATCTCCTCCAACAACCTTCCGTCTTGCCTTGCAGCTCGCGACCTTTCAAAATCTGCCATTAGGTTATTGTTCTGCGACAAGAGTGGGCTTAGTGTTTCGCTTGCTCAAGTGTACATTCATAATCTTCGCACTTCAATACACGAACATCCTTCTTCAGGACCTCACTTCTGGTAACCCTACCTCATTATGATCTCCAGATCCGCAGTTCGGCTATAACCCGCGACACTAACTAACCTCCCCAGGTTACTCTCTGTCCGCTGATCCTCAAAATGTCTTTCGAATTCGGTCAATTTCCCAACAGCCAGCAGGATGGCGCTCCTGGTCAAGGTCCTCCTCCTCAGGACGGCGCCGCCCCCGGCCAGCAGCAAGATCCTTCTGGGCAGCCCCCCATGCAATTCCAGTCCCCTGATGGAAGCGCTCCTCAACAAGCTGGCCCTGGTGGCGAAGGCAAAACCACTCTTTGGTAAGTCGCATCCACCCACCTCTCTACCCTACGATCTGCATTCTAAACTTGTTGCAGGATGGGTGAACTCGAGCCTTGGATTGACGAAAACTTCGTCCGCAACCTCTGGTTTCAGATGGGCGAGCAAGTCAGTGTCAAGATGATTCGAGACAAGTTCTCTGGGTACGTTGACACTTCCCCCGCCACTGCGGCAAATACTCTTTTCTGAACTGATCTTTAGCAGCAATGCCGGATACTGCTTCGTTGATTTCTCATCTCCTCAAGCCGCCGCCAAGGCTCTCCAACTCAGTGGCCAACCTATGCCAAACTCCAGCCGCCCCTTCAAGCTTAACTGGGCTTCCGGCGGTGGTCTCGCCGATCGACGAGACGACCGTGGTCCTGAGTATTCTATCTTCGTGGGTGATCTTGGCCCCGAGGTCAACGAATATGTTCTGGTCTCGCTGTTCCAGAGCCGATTCCCATCTTGCAAGTCCGCTAAAATCATGACTGATCCTCTTTCTGGAATGTCCCGTGGTTACGGTTTCGTTCGATTCTCCGATGAGGGCGACCAGCAGCGTGCTCTGAGTGAGATGCAGGGTGTCTACTGTGGCAACCGACCCATGCGCATCTCCACCGCCACTCCCAAGAACAAGGGTGGTCCCATGGGTGCCGGACTCAATGCTGGTATGAACATGCCTGGAGCTGGCGGCCCTATGGGCTATCCCCCTATGGGAGGACCGCCATTGGGCTACTATGGACAACAGCAGGCACAGCAACCCCAGCCTATGAACCAATTCACAGACCCCAACAACACCACTGTCTTCGTCGGAGGTCTCTCAGGATATGTCACTGAGGATGAGCTGCGTTCCTTCTTCCAAGGATTCGGCGAGATCACCTATGTGAAGATTCCTCCGGGTAAGGGATGCGGATTCGTTCAGTTCGTCCAACGCCACGCTGCAGAGATGGCTATCAACCAGATGCAAGGCTACCCCATTGGAAACTCCCGCGTCCGCTTGAGCTGGGGCCGCAGCCAGAACAACTCTGGACCTGCTGGCACCCCCTACCGACCCGCCCCTCCCCCACCCATCTATCCATCAATGGGTGGGATGCCCCCTGCACACTCGTACGGCAACTACGCCCCTATGAAGGTAAGGCGCGACCCCTTTGTCGCTGGCGACGCGACATACGCACAAGACATGTGACTAACTGAGACCAACAGTGATTTAATGAAATGTCGGCGCAGCAGGCGTTCATTCATTGCCGTCCACTTTTTTGTTGAAACGAAACGCCGCCTTTTCTTATGTCCCTGAAGCAACGCAGTCGAGGTTTTAGCGTCATCGTTGGATGGGAGGTGGTTTGTCAAACAAAAGTTTCGTCGTTTTCACTTGACGAACCCCGCTTTGCTCTCACAATTTTTCCGATTGTCACTTGGCTATGTGTACAACATCAACAACATGGCATTCGATTTCTAGTCACCAAGACGATCCCAACGAACATGTGCATGCGCTGGAAAACGGTAACGGCATGATAGTGGGGGCATGGGCAACCGAGCGTTGAAGATGGGTGATGACCGCTGCTCGTGCCTGGATGTAGACGTGGACGACTCCAGCTGGCGGAGAAGACTTTCCTTATTGTTTCATTCTTTCCTTAGTCACGTTGACCGACGAAAACGTCTTTTTGGCCACGAAGCCAGAAGCATGGATACCAAGAGGTAACCCTGACCTTTTCCTTCAAAAAGGAGTCTGGCATCAAGCATACGATACATGACAGTGCTACCATGAAAACCAATTGACCATTAAGTAATGTCACATGTGCCAACCCACATGCTGACTTTGGTTGAATCATAATTACATCCATGGAGCTGAGGAGCTGACTGTTTCAATCTGTTGTGACTGTGACTATGTGACTAGAACGATGCAGAGCATGTAAACACATATTGACGATCTGTTTGGCATGATGACGACTGTCCTGGACAACCAAGGAGGATCTGCGTGATCTACTTGTGTTCCCTGTCTGGATGAGGATGTTCTGCTTCAAGTCCCGTGACTTTGTGATGAGCTTTGTGCTGGTGATTATGTTTCACTCCGCCATACCGGACAACGGTGGATCATAGACAGGTCTACCAACCCCACACGCCAAGAAACCCCGACAGTGCCTCTCGCCCCTCACGTGCCACTCCCACGACTCTGACCTCGGAATTTCCTGAAATGCCTTGATACTTCTCCAATTGTCTCGGTCATACTCGGTACAGACTCTGACTGAGGGAGACCTGACTCTGTGACGCGTCACAGAAGGACTGCAGATCCAATCCCGTCGGCAACATGTAGAATATATTTCAAGTGAGGCTTGTTGCCTCAGTCAACTCGACTACAACTACCATCTGCTTCTTGGAGCGACTTTGTACAACACGTGACTTACTGAAGACCAGCAGATCTTCAAACAGCCACCGTCATGACTTCTCGACCCGTTCGAATTGCAGGTATGTTGGAAGAACACCTTGTGCTCAATCTGTTCCCGCTGACAAGTTGAGGGGCTTCGGGCTCTGCATCCGACCGCCGCCATGCCATGGCTGCCTTTGCAAAGGCATATCCCTCAGATCCAGTCGACGTCATTATCAGCGACTATATGTCAGAAGTCAATATGACTATTGGTGCTGCTCGAAAGGTCGACAATGACGCATTGACTCCAAATCAAGGCAATGCTTTCATCGGCGCTGGCCCAGCCTTTGAGGCCTCCTTTCTTGAAGCCTTGGAGCCAGCACTGGAGGATCTGGCCAAATATGGTATCAAGGTCGCTGTCAACGCCGGCAATGCCGATACCAAGGCTCTCTATGATATTGTTGTTGGTATGATTGCCAAGAAAGGCTTGAAAATCAATGTCGCTTGGATCTCTGGCGACGAGGTTCTTCCAGCAATCAATGCGGGTCTCAAGGATGGCACATCCACCTTCAGAAACATCTATACCGGCGACATTCTCTCCTCCTGGAAGTTCAAGCCAATCCATGCCTACGCATATCTTGGAGGCATGGGCATCGCTGAAGCCTTCTCCCAAGGAGCTCAGATAGTTATCTGCGGTCGTGTTGCCGATGCATCTCCCGTCATCGGTGCTGCTTATTGGTTTCACAAGTGGCAACGATCCCAGCTCGACCAATTGGCTAATGCATTTGTTGCTGGTCATTTAATTGAGTGTAGCAACTATGTCACTGGCGGCAACTTCACCGGCTTTAAGAGTTTGGAGAATAGTCCAGGTGGATGGGTGGATATTGGCTATCCGATAGCTGAGATCTCAAAGGATGGATCGGTCGTCATCACCAAACAAAAGAACTCTGGAGGCATGGTCACAATCCACACCTGTTCTTCTCAGTTGGTGTATGAAGTCCAAGGACCTTGGTATTACAACAGCGATGTGACGGCCGTGCTCGATCAGATTTGGTTCGAGCAACTTGGACCCGACCGTGTTGCCCTCCACGGTGTCAAGTCCTTGCCTCCACCTCCAACGACCAAGGTCGGCTTGACCGCCCGTGGGGGTTTCCAAGCCGAGTCTTGGTACTTTATGACCGGCCTCGACGTTGAAGAGAAGGCTCGAATGACAGAGGCCCAGCTTCGAAAGAGCTTGAAACCCTATTCAGACAAGTTCACCTCCCTTTCTTTCAGTGTGCTTGGTAGTCCAGCGAAGGACTCTGACAACCAGAATGCGGCTACCGCCATTTTCCGCATATTTGTACAAGCCCCGACTGAGGAGGATATCGCACCACAAAAATTCCTCCGTCCAGTCATCGACAACATCATGCAGGGTTACCCTGGCAGCACCTTCCACCTTGATTTCCGTCAAGGCATTCCAAAGCCTTATTACGAGTACTACGTGACTCTTCTCGATCAATCCAAAATCCAACATGTCGTTCACTATAATGGAAAAGACACTCTCATCCCTCCTCCGCCGGCAACCAAAACATTCCCACAACGGCAACCTAGCCAAACAAGCGCAACTCTTCAAGTCGACATGAGCAAGTTTGGACCTACTGAACGTGTCCCACTAGGAACCATTGTAAACGCGCGGTCAGGTGACAAGGGATCAGACTGCAACTGTGGATTCTGGGTTCGCAACCAGGATGAATACGTTTGGTTGAAGAATCTTCTCTCGATTGAAACGATCAAAACTCTACTTGGCAAAGAGTACGACACTTCACGAACACCAAAGATCGAAATTGATCGTTTCGAACTCCCTAATCTGCGGGGCGTGCATTTCTTATTCCGAAATCTCTTGGACAGAGGCGCCACCAGTACGGCAGGAGTAGATTTCCTAGGGAAGAATTGTGCCGAGTTCTTGAGATCGAGATACGTCGACATTCCAACAAAATTCATTGCACGAGGGAAGCTATGAAAAATGCATGATTGCTTTCTTAATGTACTATGACAAACTATTGTCTGGAATGGTCGACTCAGACCGCATATGACGGGACTGTCATGTGAATGGCCTGTGCATAGTTGACGACTTCTAGAAGCTTGTTTGGCATGATGAATGACTGGGCTTTGGTATGACCGTGCCACCACAAACGGGTTCATTTGCTCAGCTCTGCTATATAGTTTCTTGTTCATGCCTCTATATCATCTAAGCTGCTGTTAAATACAACATTCGTCTAAGCTTACCTTTCATCCGTCCACGCACCAGCGCAACCTACTAACACTTAATATTATCGACAACGTCGACATAACGCCAAAATTCGGCCTTCCACGAACCCCTAATTTTCTCCCCAAAGCTACATCTCCACTTAAATCCAAGTCGATCGGCCACTAAGTCAGTCCTATCAAATCCTACTAAAGTAACCAAACCACTCCTCCCGAAAATCATTCATCCCCCCATCTACCCCAAGGGGAGGGACAAGGGGGAATGTGCTATATCCCTGGTTCAGCACGAGAATGTCCCATCTGTCATCGCGAGGAATTCACCTACTATGACCCCGTGCGGTGTTTGACGTACGAGCGATGCAAATGGCATAGAACGCCAAGTTCTGATCTTCCAAAACGCATTCATGCCTGGTTCGAGAAGAGAGTTTGTAAAGCATGTTTGGATGAGCGGGAGAGATTGGGGATTTCGGAAAAGTGGTATGACGATGATGATGTCGATGGGGATGGAGGACATCGGTCTGGACGAGATATCGACAGTGGCTCTCGTGGCAGTGACACAAAGCCCGATGAGGGGAAGGGCAAGTATCGGTCAACTGATCGATCGCCCTCTCCTTTGAATGTTAAGCCTTCTTCATCAACACGAGACGATGGAAACAACAAGCTCGACAAAGGGAAGGGAAGAAATCGATCAAGAGATCGATCGCCCTTCCCTATCGATTTTGAGTCATCTTCATCAAGACGCGACGATGCAGGCCACAAGGTTGACATGCTAGAGGGCAAATATCGATCAACTAATCGGTCACCCTCTCCTGAGAGCATCCCCTCATCATCATCGAGACACGCTGGTTCAGGACCAAAAAAGCCATCTCGTCGCGTTACATTCGTCGACGTGCCTGAGGAAGATGAACACAAAGACCGTGATCACCAGAAAGGAGAATCTTCTCGTCGTCACGATCGCCATCATCGAAAACACAAGCCCAAAAATTCATCCAAACACGGAGATCAGTCTAATCGGCATGGATCTCCCAGTCGCTCACCTCATTCACACAATGACTTTGACACATCATCAGGCCATGTTTGTGTAGTATATAAACGCGATCTACAAGGCTCTCCCAGTCACTCACATCAGTCACATAATAATGACTTTGACACACCACCAAGCCATGTCCGTGTAGTGTATAGACGCGATGCGCAAGGAAATCTGCCTGACCCTCCACCAGGATTTGAATATCGACGTAAAGAATCAAAGTCGAAAAAGAAATAGATTTGTCATTGCTGGAATTAGATTTTGCGTCGGGGTTCAGACATGGTGTCGGAGTTGTCTTGGTTGAAGTGATTAGATACTGGGAGGTAGACGTGTGAAACCAAGAAAGCTTAATGATGATGGTGCTGAAATGTCCATATGGTACTAATGGTGGCATCACTTTAGGCAGATTGTGAACTAGACAGTGGCTTGATATTTCTTTGTCTATCAACGTGGATCTATCAGTGGGATCGACGGGTCATGTCTCGGACATAGCTTTGTGGGAAGGCTCGGGGTGAATCAGAGATCTCTTGTTTCTCTGTGTGAGGTAGATCGATTTCAACATCAATTCAATACAGTGGCGGATATGCTTTGTTCTTATGAGCTGGGCATTTCCAACTCTTCAAGGGGTTTACTCATGTTTGTCATCGATCCATTGACACACTTTTTATCGCCAGGTTTCGGATCATGTTCAATGAACTGATTGTTATGCACCATCTAACGAGATTCCAGGCATGGACTTCTCAACATGTATCTTTCGCTACAATTTCAGAATTATGATTTTCTTTTCAAATCATCCAACCATTTTGTCATCTGAAAGATAGTCAATAGCTTCGAATATCACCTTCCGCAGCAATAAACCAACTCCCACCAGGTCAATTCCTCAATTCATCTAGATCACTCTTATCTCACACATTCCAAAGATCCCAACTCTTCGAAACATGTGCTATATACAGAGAACCCTTACTATTTGTCGTCAGTGTGAAGAACCGATTGGTCGTCCGGTCATCAACACCATTTCATGCCCACCAGGCTCCAATTGCCGCGCTAAATACGATCGAAAACCTCTCACTTGCATCACCACTACCAACGGTGACAATATTTGTGACAAGTGCAAGAAGCGAAACTCGACCTACCTCCATCTCATTGGACGTGTTCCCATGGCTGTGCCTCCCATTGAAGCGAAGAAGCCAGAAGCTCGACAAGGTGAGATTGTCAAGCGTGGAGAGCTGGCATTGGTGCGCAAGGGCCACAATGGCACTACTGGCGATAGAGGAAAAAAGCAAGAGATTGTTCGTCGAGATAGTCATCACGGCCGTCACCATGATCATCATCATCATGGTCGTGATCATCATCGTCGCGAGGTTCCTGATCCTCAATCTCCACGTGTTGGTATTCATCCGGGACACATCATCCTTCTAGCTAGACGAGTCCGTGAAGTCCGTCTAATCCCATTCGTGCGAGTTGCTGGATCGCGTCGTATCGAGAGACGTCAAGGTCGAGATGAACATGAAGATGAAGGTCGTGATCGACGTGGTCCGCGAGAAGAAGAGCATCGACGACGTGGCTGAATAGCATTGATGGTTAGCAGAGCTTGGAGGGGCTGGAGGGAGAACAAGTGGGATAAGGCAGACTGGGGCTTAGATGTGAAGATTGCTAAGAAGATATTGGGTCTCTCAAAGGAAGTGAAATGATACACTTGGATAATAATTCGTGAACAGGCCTGTACTGCTTAAGAAAATCCTGAAAACAGTTGATGGCGAATAAAATAGTCAAATCCTTAAAAATCAGTATCACGGCAAGAAATGGTTCCTCCAAGTCTGGTTAAAGGTCACATCGAACACCCATTTCCCGAAGAGGTTTACCACTTGAAGTCCAGTCGGCAGAGAATAAGCACTTATATTCTTCTGATTATACAGTCAACCACAAGATCAAAGGCTGATGCCTCATCAAGCAAGCATTGGGCTAAGCTTTTTACCCAGCCCCGCGTCTCACGTGATATTGCTAAAGATAGCTCTCCACAATTCTTTTCCAACCCCTCCGTCAATGGTGGAAATCAATTCGGATGAACACGAGATAGGGGCAAACCTTGTTCATCAACAGAAGCTTGTGAAAATTCAACACCCTCTATTATCTACGCACGTATCGTCTGGACTTACTCAGGTGTCAACGCGTTTTGTTGCCGCCATCAACTCGAATCACGCGAGTGTTGGCTGTCGTGGCAGTGTAACCTTAAAACCGAAGCACACTAGTACCAGCCATATCTGTGCGAGAAAAAAGCGATCTTCGGTGGCTACAACCTCTTTTCAGCTCCAGCTGTGTGTGACATTTATCGCAACGGTGATACAGACAAGAATGTCAAACCTCGCTCAATATTAACTGTCATGAATCGGTGGTGTTCATTCGAGTTCAGACGCCGACTATATGGCGCTGCAAGGCATTCGTGGCTACGCGCCTCTCAACCTCAATGCCGGGGATCAAACTGCGCCTAATCCGAGTCAGAGCCCCTTCGAGGTGAATACAGCATACGATCCGGCCGATATATCACAACGCGGCTTGTCACCAAGGCAAAGTTTCAGATTCACGAACTCATTGCCTCCTGCCTCATCCCCGCCATCAAAGCGGTTGGACACAGAATGGAATCCTTTCTTTCTGCGAAAATGGGTCTTACTCTGCTTTGCCCTGTTCTTCGCTCTTGTCATTGCCTCGCTACAAATTCTGTACAGTGTCAGCCGCAAGAACGATGGAATTGCAACCAGCGATGGCGGCAAGCACTATCTGTGGACCTATGGCCCGACTGCCTTGTTCGTCGTTGTGACAGTCCTCTGGCGTCAGGTCGATTACGCCGCTAAGTCCATCCAGCCTTGGGCTGAGTTGGCTAAAGGTCCGCAACCCGCAAACAACAGCCTTCTTTTGGATTATGTCACGCCATTGCAGATCGTTGCCTTCTGGAAGTCGCTTCGAAATCGTCATTTCGTCGTCGCCTCCACGATTTTGGTCTTTGTCCTGGTCAAAGTCATCACCGTCGCTTCCACCGGCATATTCAGCCTTCAGGCTGTCCCAAAAAACAACATCGCCACTGTCATGGCATTGAACAACACTTTTGATGCCTCAGACTTTCAGCACGCCGCCGCCGTTGATACTCGACCTGCCTACATTGTCTACGGCCATCGCGAATACAACAATACGCTTCCAATTGGTACCACAGATTCATACGCCGTTCAGATTTTTGCGCCGAACAATGGCTTTGTGAATGGGTCAATCACCTACACCGCCGAGGTCGACGTCTTTAGCGCCGCTATTGATTGCGAGACTGGTACGCTTACCTACGTAAGGTCCTATGATTCGAGATCGAACGCGCCAGTAGCGTCGTACTACAATACTTCTATATCATTGCCTGATTGCGAGGTATTCAACGCCTATCTCGATGCGCCCGATTGGTATTACCAACAAAATGATACTCAACATCGTTTTGGATATCGCGGCACCTTTCAAAACGTCACTTGCACCAATCTCCCAGAAGACGACCCAACCAGAGAGCGCTATTTGATCGCTTTCACGTACTCAGAAGGGGTGGGGCAAAATAACAATACGATGCTGAACTCGTCCAATGTTGTCTGCAAGCCTCGATATTCACTCGAAACTGCTACTGTCACCATAAATCCTGATGGACAGGTTGTGTCCGTCGTCCCCACTGGAAAGTCCCGAAACTTTTCGGATTTCACCGCTGGTGATATTGGGCTAGGAGTTTTCGCGTCTGTCAGCCAGACATACGCCCTTGCTGTATCTGGTGAGGAGCTTGTCTTGGATCCATTTACCAGTTTGATGCAGCAAGACACTGTCGACTTTGAGAACCCTATTGTCCTTGATACTCAATACCTCAACACCACAGGGAACCGCATCTTCACCAAGGTCGCCGCGCAAGTCGCTAATATGTATCTCCTCAAGCAAACTTCCGGCGATTCGCGGCCGACCGTTGAGGGACTAGTCTCAAAGCACACTAATCGTCTGGTGGTGCAACAAACCCCAGTAAGAGTCATGCAAGGAGTTGCTGCCACAATGCTCATCTTATCCCTTGTCATGGCTTTTGCCACACCGCGAGGAGTTGTTCCTCGATCCGTCGACTCGATTGTTGCCATTGCGGCAATTCTTGCTCGCAGTCCGCAACTTGAACGTCAGCTGAGAGAGACTGGCCACATGGACATGAATGAGCTTGCATCGCTGCTCTCGCCATATATGTTCTGGACAAAGATCGATAATGATAATGATACGCGCACATTCTCCATTCAGATGGCGTCAAAACTAGACAACAATTTCGGGCCCAATCCCACCTCCCAAGAAATCCGAGTTCACGGGATCAAATGGACAAGACCTTTTGTACTACGCCGGATTGCAATTTTCACTACGATATTGTTATCAATCGCCGCAATCATCACGCTAGAGATCTTGCTGTCGCGATCTCAGGCCAATAACGGCCTCGCCAATGTTGGCAATAACACTTCCACGCGGTACAGTTGGCTCTACATACCGATGATTGTTTTCCTATTGTTGGGAACCCTTTTCAACATTATGGATTTCGAGATCGAGTTTAATGAGTCCTACCATGCGCTGTCCAAGGGATTCTGCGATGCTCAGTCAAGCATGCTCTGGTATCCTCTACGTCATGTCTCATTCCATGCAACATGGAATGGCCTGAAGCATAGTCGGTTTGCACTAACAGCAGCATCGGCTTCAGCGATCCTCGCACCATTTCTCACAATCGTGGTCGCAGGTCTCTTCTCCGCACGAGCAACTTTGCATACATCTCCCATCGACGTCGACGCCTTAGACTGGTTCAACTCGACCGGCTCACCTTCCAGTTCTTCCTCTGAACTTCCGTCTCTTGTCATTCAAGGAAACATGTCATATCCGAGCTTCACCTTTGACGAACTAGCCTTTCCTCGGCTCGCCGTTGCTGGAGATGCAGATGTTAACGGCACAATCACTGTGAATACTCCTGCGCTCCGAGCTGGGGTTATTTGCACACCGGTCCCAGAATCCCGCATCTTGGAAGCCCAAGTCATTGACGACAACTACCTTGAGACCAACATTTCAACGCCGGATGGCTGTGGGAACTCTGGACGTATAGAGGACCCTGTGTATTACTTTCTCACCAACAATTTGCAAGTTCCAATTAATGCATCTGGGTATTTCGGAGACAGTCTCTCACTCGGCTTTGAAGAAAACTGTCCAACTATTGCATTATACTACGGGCATGTGACCGACAATGCTGTCGATGAATTTATTGCAGTCTTATGCACACAATTCATAGAACGGGTGGATGCCGAGCTTATGCTCACCGTACCGGATCTTGATATTACGTCGCCTGCTACAGTCGTGCCGGATTCGGCTGCGAACTATTCTGACTGGCACGAATCATTTCCTTCGTTTCAGACAATTAACATTACGGGAACAAAGGATGTCTTTAGTTCTACTTTCAATGCACTGGTATATGGACGAGATGGGGTACCACAGGAAGAATTACTCAATGCCACCAACCTGATCACTGGCTATACTCACCTCTACCGCCAATACGTTGCCCAAGTATTGAACCTCTACTTCCGCTCGGAGCTTTCATCGTTGCCAGCCAACGAAAGCGAGGTGGTGGTCAATCCTCTGGTGGCGACACTGGACGACTTTAACCATTTTCGCTTGGTACAGTCACCATTGTCGACCCACTTGCTCGTCGGAGTTTTATCAGTCCTGACAATATGTGCTTTGGTGATGCTCATAACAGTCGACATGCGACACGTGCTTCCCAAGCCCGTGGGCAGCGTTGCAGCAGTTGCTAGTCTCCTCGCTGGAAGCACGCTGGTAGATGAGCGATCAGGACTAATCCCCAAGGGTTCCGAGTTCTGGAGCGATGAAAAATGGGACAAGGCGGGCATCTGGCAAGGCCAAATGTTTCGCATGGGCTACTGGAACAAGTTCCAAGAGCCAGTGGACTCGAATAGTCGAGTCATGTTACCCACGTTTGGAGACTCCGACACGGGTATGCGAGAAGATGGGGAATTAACAAAATCGTACAGAATCGATGCCAGACAGAAGATGTATGCATTGACCCATATTGGGTCTGGCCAAGGTGATCAAGGGCAAGATGATATTTGGCCATCTACTCGTTGATGCTACAGAAACGATAACCAGGATTTGATGAACTTTTGTACTTTTACTGCCAATCATGCATCATAATATACAGACGCAGAAAGTAATTTACTTTAGAGAATGCACGAACTTGGACCCGTACAGCGGGAATCCCTGGGCTGCCCAGAAACTCAAAGCCCTCTTCCATGCCAGGATAATAAGTATGTGGAACCAAGGGAATACGATGATAGAGAATGGCGACAGCTCCAAGGTTCAGGCGTCATTCTCCCCCACGGGGGATCCCCGCGTCCCCCCTCTGCCCACAAATTTCTTCTCGGAGCTCTTCTGGAGGCACGGCGGCAGCGTGGAAAGGGAATAGACGGGAGCCATAAGTATCTTGCGCGCCCCCGAAACCCTGGCCCCATCGTAGGTCATGTGGGATCTTCTTTCGCTTACTCCATTAAAAGCAGGCTGCCGCCATGACCATCTAAACAGAGGGCAGTGATTTCACAACACACAACGCCTTCATCAAGGCATAACAAGGTATGCAGGAACCTGCAGAGCGCAAATCCGCCGTCGTTGCCTGCACTGCCTGTCGTCGGAAGAAAATAAAGGTCGGTCTCGCCTTTGATACGAAGTCCACGTTGTGGCTACAACCGAAGGCTAAAACTACGGTGATAGTGCGATAACGCAAAACCAAGGTGTTCCAATTGTCAATTGTACTCGGCTGATTGTGTCCCGGGTCAAGACAGAAGGAGGTGAGCGTGTTCCCACGTGCAAAGAATCTATTGTATTTATGTCACTCAGGAGAAACACATCCAACAAGCTTCGCGAGTCTCAGAGTGCGGAGGCAAGCGCGAGTGCGACTGAAGTTGCTGTGAATACTGGTGGTGATGAGGGTGCCAGTACAACAGGCGTACCAGTAGTTCCTGATTTTGATTCTGGTTCCCTGCAGCAGGATGATGTGGAGGGGTTATATGGCGCTCATCGCAGCATTTCAAATCAGACAACAGGAGGTTGTACTCCTCTTCAATATCAAGAATGACGCTGATGGATAAGCAGGTCAATTAAACATGCATGCCACAGAACAAGATTTCGATCTTTCATTGACCGAGCACGAGACTTTCGGATTGACCGATGATTGTTTCGATCTCTCGATGAATCACGTCGACTTACACGGCTTCCCAAGCCCACAACCAAACTGCGACGACGGCTCTCGACCTTTCAGGAACAATTTCGCCACCAACACTTTCAACCCTTCCGACCTGAAGCTGATGGGTCCTGCAGGCGCAGTATTTGATTTCGTGGACTGGGATCAATTCCAAAACGCTGTCCAAGTTGCGCAGGAGCCTAGTAGGCCTGCATCACGAATGAGAATTCGTCCAGCAGAGGCAGACCCAGACGAAGATGCTTCCGATGACGAACTCACAAACAGACTAACCGCCCGCTATGCGTCCCTCAAAATTGCCGACAACGGCCAACTTCGTTACTACGGCGTTACCAGCAATCTTCACATGCTCGGAGACCAACTAAGTACGCTGTTTCAACCACCTGTCAGAACTACTCGCCATGACGCCGATGACCTTCTTAACCAAGCTGGCCTTCATTGGGAGCCAGACAGCGCGTATGAAGATCACCTATTCAACCTACATTTCACATGGTTCCAGCCCTTCATGCAAGAGGTCGACCGAGATCTCTTCTTCCTAGGCCGAAAGGCATATCAATCAGGCGAAGATGCCTCATTCTACTCACCTACTCTTGAAAATGCCATGTAGGATTCCTTATCAGCCGCCTTTGCTTCGTTCCTGACAAAATCCTACAAACAGACTCTCTTCTGGAGCCATGTATTCTACCCCGGACTATGGTCGGTTCAACATGACACCAGCTAAATTCTTTGCCTCTCGGGCCAAAATCTACCTCGACATCGAGTTGGACAGCCCATCTTTTGCCACTGCTCAAGCACTTTTGCTCCTCGCTGCGTATGAAGCTGCCCAGGGACAGGACTCTCGAGGTAAGTTTCTCAAATTCCTACGGTGTCACATTCACTGACAAACGTCCTAGGATGGGTATATATTGGTATGTTTCTGACAGGATACCCTGGGATTTCACAGAGCACAACTGATCCTCTCAGGAATGATGAGCCAAGTCGTCACCGATCTAGGCATGCACATCAGTTCCGAGGTGGAATTGAAATATATCCATGAAGCATTCTCTGCTCATGAAATCATGACACGACGGAAGAATTTCTTCTGGTCTGCATTCACGGCCTCAGTGTAAGTTTGAAATCGATCAACATTATCATGACATCCTGACCATCGAAATCTGCAGCTTTTTTGGCTCTTATAGTGGTCGACCAGCGTTGCTTGCGAACATCAATCATAATGTCGCTAGCCCAGCATCCACTGGGAAACGCACCTGGCAGCCATACACCGGTCCAGGAAGTCCTGCACTTCTCAATTCAGATGCTGAGGCGCATGCATTAGGCGCAGTTCCAGCATATCTAGCCGGTCTGGCTAGGAAAATGGCATCGATTGCCTCTCTACTGTATGGCACTTTGACCTATCTGACTACTCTTGTTGATCTCAAACAGTTATCCTGGAATCCGTTCTTCGACCGAAAATGCCCGTGCTTTCGCAAAGTCCATGTCCAAGGAATTGGAAGACTGGCTGGCTGCACTACCGCCAGACTTGCACATTGACTCAACTATACCGACCACGCCAGAGGGACAAGATGAGCCTAATCCAATTGTGATTCAACTACATATGCAATATCATGCAATGATGATACTGTTGCACCGCCCCTTCGTCAGAGATTTTATCCCTCAGAATGGCGTCGACAATTTGAACCTCGATGCATGCCAAAGATGCAGCAATTCGGCAATTGCGATTACGAATTTGCTACAAATATTCCGGCGCACCACCAGCTGGCGCTATGTTCACCTTCAGGCGGTTCACAATACCACCATCGCAGGAGTCATCCATGTCTACGACTCTTGTACTTTCCCAGGAGAGAGGGGCAAGCGAGCACAGGAAGGACTGCGGGTGTGTGTTCAGGCACTGGCAGGCATGGCTGAGTCGTATGAAAGCAGCATGCGTGGGTACGAGGTCATTGCTGCTGTCAGGAGGGAATCGCAAGCTCGCCAATGGTTCCAGGCAGGCTCTAAGAGACAAAGGGGAGCTGCACAACAACATGCAAGAAGGATGTAAAATGCGTTTGGTAACAATACCCTGGTTCGGGGCCCTCCTTGGAGATGTTTAGGGGCGCCGTGTGCTTAGTTTGCACTTATAGGGGGTCCGTATTTAGGTACTCGAGGGCTCCGCGGGACTCTAAAGCATTTGCCTTAGGCCACGATTCCCAAATACTCGTCCTTGGGACATACCTCGCAAAAGAGTGGAAATGAATCAACATCTCTGGGGAAGTCTAGTATCCAGAGATTTCAGTATCGCGTATCGCCGTGGAGATATTAGAGGTACCCCTCGTCTGGCCCCACATTAGCGACAAGCAAAGTATGCGGAAGCCTCGAGCATTGGGCTCATAAGAACGACCCCTGTATCTCCGGCCCTGATGTGGAGCATTCCCCAGACGAACCCCTACACCTCCGTGCAAACAATATGCACATGCTGTGAATACGCATCTCCGCCTGCTTTGGGCCTGCTTGGCAAGAAGCAGGGGGTCCATGACAGCAGCATGAACTTGTAGAAACAATACTTATGGTTTGAGGAATATCTTTTCATGGTGGCTGAACACAAGATATATTGTCAAAAATTCAACATCGACACCCATCCTTGCCACCATGTCCCCAGGTTTGACGCATCGACGAGCCATCCGCATCGGCGGCGGATCAGGAGGATTTTCAGACAGACGACATGCGATTCCTAGAATGGCGAAGACGGCCGAGGTTGATGTTATTGTTGGCGACTGGCTTGCAGAGATGACCATGACCGAACATGGGGTAGCCAAAGCCAACAGGGCAAAGTCACTAGCGACAAAGGCTGGCATCGAGCCTAGTCTTGCAGAAAGAGTGAAAGATGCGCAATTCTCAGTCAACTTCATCGATTGTTTCGAACCAGCCATCCCGGACGTGAAACGCAATGGAATCAAAATGGCAGTCAATGCTGGTTCCTGCGACACTGAGATCTTGGCTCATCTAGTCAAACAACTGTGTGAGGACCATGGTTATCCGATGAATGTCGCCTGGGTGGAGGGCGACGATGTCATCGACAAGGTCAAGTCCCTCTCACAGCGGGGGGAGAAGTTCAGAAGTTTGAACAGAGGGAAGGATATTAACTTGGCGGACTGGGGTTACGAGCCTCTGTCAGCACAGGCATATCTCGGAGGTCGAGGAGTGGCTCAAGCATTCCGAGACGGTGCTCAGATTGTCATCTGTGGCCGGATCGCAGATGCTGCTCCTACTATCGGTGCTGCAGCGTAAGTCCACTAACTACGATACCCCTATGGGCATTCATTCAAACTGATAACCCTTTTACAGGTGGTGGCATGACTGGGATGACACGGATTTCGACGCCTATGCAGGTTCTTTGGTAGCCGGACGTAAGTGTCACTTGCTGAAAAGCTCTGTCTTCATACCAAGTCTGATCAGGAATGCAGACTTGATCGAGTGCTCAGGCTATGTTACTGGAGCAAATTACTCAAACTTCAAATCCATGTTGAATGCAAATGACCATATTGACATGGGCTTTCCAATTGCTGAGGTTGAATACAATGGAGAATGCATAATTACCAAAGAGAAGGACACAGGCGGTCGAGTTGAGCTTGGGTTGACCATTTCTCAACTCATCTATGAGATCCAAGGTCCACTCTACTACAATTCCGATGTCACTGCAGACCTTGAAAATGTCCGGATGGAGGAGATTGACAAGAATCGTGTGAGAGTATGGGGTGTCAAAGGTAAGTTCAATTATCCACGTACCAATCGCTTGCGCTGACCGTGATATCATTCAGGATTACCACCTCCATCAACGACCAAAGTTGGGTAATGATTCCGCTGTTCCTCCTTATTACCACCATCGCTAATCAATTCATAGCATCACTGCCAATGGAGGCTGGCAAGCGGAGTATCACGTGTACTTTGTGGGCTTGGATATGGCCGAAAAGGCAAGATGGACAGAGGAGCACGTTCGTGAATCTCTTGGGGACACTGCCAATAAGCTGTCGTTGCTTAAATTCCACC